AAAGTGCAAGTTTCTACGTACCCCACATGTATACCAGAATAAAGTCCTCTCTGAAAATTCAGGCTAAAAGAGATCAAATATAATACCATCCGAGCTATTTATTGGAATTTTGGATAAAACAAGTAACACCCGTTCTCCACTGGTGAACGAGATAGATGATGCAACCTCCTTTTGGTATCAGGGAAGGATTTCCCTTCTAGCTAACATTTGAACTATGAAATCCTCTTCCCTAAGACATGCTGGCTGCTGTTTTGTATAAGTATCGCCTCCATCTCTCCCTGATGATGTCCTCTACCACACTCATTTCCATTCATTGACTCGAACAGCCAACATGTTCCCCAATATAGTTCAACTTAAGACAGCTGCTCTGGCTATGCTCTTCGCTGGCCAGGCGCTGTCCGGAACCGTCGAGTCCCGACAAGCCTCTAAGAGCATTGATACCAAGTTCAAAGACCACGGAAAGAAATACCTGGGAAACATTGCTGACCAGGGCACCTTGAACAAGGACCCTAAGACCCCGGCAATCATCAAGGCTAACTTCGGTCAACTGACTCCGGAGAACAGCATGAAGTGGGATGCTACTGAGCGTGAGTACAAATGACCCAGGATAACTAGATAATCAGAAGTTGACTTGCAAACCAGCAATCCAAGGACAGTTTTCCTTCGCAGGATCGGATTCTCTGGTACGTATCCAAAGTCTTTCACCGCAAAGTATTCTTTGCATGGTTCTTACCTATTCCAGGTCGATTTTGCCGTGACAAACGGGAAGCTGATCCGCGGCCATACTCTCGGTAAGTGCCCAAGGCTTCAAAGTTCAGACATATCACGGAAAGAGAAGCTAAACTCGACAAGTGTGGCACTCCCAGCTCCCACCTTGGGTCTCTTCCATCACGGACAAGGCAACCCTAACCGATGTGATGAAGAACCACATCACCACGGTGATGAAGCAGTACAAGGGCAAAGTCTACGCCTGGGTATGTTGTGTCCGCAGCTAGAGTCCCACAGAGCTACATTACTGATTGACCTAAGGACGTTGTCAATGAAATCTTCAACGAGGACGGTACCCTTCGTGACAGTGTCTTTTCCAAGGTCCTTGGGGAAGACTTTGTTCGGATCGCCTTCGAAACAGCTCGTGCCGCAGACCCAGAGGCAAAGCTCTACATCAACGACTTCAAGTGAGTCGTAGCCCTCTCCTTTCTATTTTCTTTTTTCATTTTGCAATTCTAACCTTGAGCAGCCTGGACTTCGCCAGCAGCCCTAAATTGCAGGGTATGGTCAGCCACGTTAAGAAGTGGGTTGCTGCCGGTATCCCAATCGACGGAATTGGTAAGATTCCTACCAATTCAGTTCGCCGTGTACAATTACTCACTCCTTTCTAGGCTCTCAAACCCACCTAAGCGCTGGTGCCGGTGCCGCAGTTTCTGAATAAGTACCCTCTTACTCCTTGGCCGAAAACTACCTAACAGCCTCTCACAGCTCTTAATGCTCTCACCAGTGCAGGAACAAAGGAGGTTGCTGTCACCGAGCTTGATATTGCTGGCGCCAGCTTTACCGACTACGTAAACGTGAGTCTCCACGATGCCTGCTATGATTGGCTTCTCACTAAATCTCTGTTTTATAGGTTGTCACCGCCTGTCTGGACCAGCCGAAGTGTGTCGGAATCACAGTTTGGGGAGTGGCTGACCCGGTAAATGCCAATTTCTCTCAGATCAAAAAGACTATGTACTAATGTTCTTGTTAGGAATCATGGCGTGCCGACGAGAGCCCGTTGCTTTTCGACGGCAGCTACAACCCCAAGGAGGCCTACAATGCTATTGTAGATGCCCTCTAGGCGAGATGTTTTCCATCTTTACCTGAAGCTACGAAGTCTGCTACTTTGTAGGCTACGCTTCAGATTGAAGCGTAGAACCGATGTTGTTGAGATACAAGGGTGACGGTGAAGAAGGGCTAGGAAAGCTAGGAAAGAATGTTGTGATTATCATTGAAGAATAGTGTATCTGAGGAAATAATCTCGCTTTACTAGATACAATCGGAGGGTCTTTTCTAGTTGAACAGAACTTGCTTTCTTACTCTAATTGAAGCCAAGAAGAAAACGGACATTGTTGAAACCATCCTAGGACGTCTTTTTTTAATTGGTAGACTGAGAGCTTGCTTGCCAATGTTAGGCCTCTATATAAAAAGGCTTTACTTTGCCGGCTTGATTGGCGAAACTTTCTTCTTGCTTCATTTCCTCACTAGCTTATAGGTAACAAGCACAACTAGAGTATTTGTCTACAACTATTGGCACTAGCTATGGTGATACATATATTCTTGTTGTGAATTGCACAGGGGAAGGAGGGCAGAATGACACTGTATCGGCTATACGCACGTAGCCTACTAAGGAGCGAATGCCTTTTGGATGATAGGGCTCTTAATTCTCTTGCATAACGATTCAATCTCTTCTTCTATAGGGGTTCGAGTGTGCGGGCCAAGCCGCTAGATCACGTAATCCCATGGATTCGTATCAATTCTAGACTGACGTTGGGATTCACAGAGGCAGAGTGTTTCTCAGCTGCCGCAAGAACGGCAATACCAGCCATAAATAATATACAATAAGCTCACCGTCACGCTGTTGCTTGCATTAAACCCCTCAGTTACGATATGTATACGCGGTTACTAGCATGCCCAGTCCATCCGTCGACAAGTAAATTGCGGCGCACATTCGTCTCGGTATTCACATGCTAGATACTCAGCAGCTCGCTCACCAGCACCGATTGATGGGCTACTCTATGGACCACCACTACGAGCCGCTCCTTGAACCGCGCCACCTGCTTGAAATATCCCTGCATCTTCTTGAAACGAGCTTTTTATTTAGGAAAGGGTGGGATTCACTTCGGCTGCAGCCCCTGAACCACTAACGCTAATGAGTTACCTAGAGAAGCTGAACAACTATTATTTATCTAACGGGTTTTGTCTGGTAAGCAACAGCCGACTATAGCCTAAATTCTGACCTTCTGAGCTTCTATCGCGTCCTAACCGAGCAACACAATCTACCTTTATTTATTTATTTAATTTTAACGAATGTCCTGTCCTGTTCTAGCTAACATGGGTTCCTTTAGAGCATGGCCTGCTAGAGACCCGATGTATGCCAGCTTGGACCTTGGACATGTACGTTCTAGCATATCATACTGGTTGAACCAGGGAACTTTGTCACTGTGAGCGGGCCAGGGAGAAATCGTACTCTACCGTCTTTGTTTAATACTATATAATATAGTTTGGCTATATATCATTGGTCTGTAATTTTGCATACTACCGGTTACTGAGTTATAACACCCGCAAACTAGCGTACCAACAAATGCTTGGTTTCTGCGATATATTACCGACCAATTATATTACCAGGGTTTACAGGAATAAAATCGCAGATCTCTGGCTAGAAAAAACCCAGTGGTTTATAGGAAAAGCTCAGGGCTGAATGAGAGAGAAAGAACAATTGAGGAGATTGTAGCATAAATCAGCGAAGAGGCAGTGGGGAACAGTGATGTCTACGTTTTCACTGGTGACAGACCTAAGAGCCAACCATCCGCCATAAATTCCACAGGGGGCTTCTTCGTCAGGTTGACGGAGACTACTGGGGCTTAGACAGCCTTGTCCTGCACAAACATTGTTCGACCTTTAGAAGCCGCTAGGATTTTGCTTCAACGTTAGAAATTCTAATAGTCAGGGCCTGCTCTGTCATAGTACCGTTTCTATTTCCTATTCTGGAAAGTAAATGGCCCCTTCTACCTTAATCACCGTATTTAGGCCAGCCTTGTAACTAGATTCAACGAATCAGGAATTCATATTTGTGTGATTGAGTACCATTCGATACGCTCTCCGACAGATTGAAATGGGGTATTAAATGCTATAATATTGGTAAGCTGATTACATCCCTGTATTAGACAGTCACTCGCAGGGTTTCTATCTCACAACATTCCTTTATCTCAGAACTACTTGTACTTCGCTGTCAGCCAAGTTTTGAGCTCCTAGTTGTACTATTAATTATCACAATCTCAAAGAACAGCACAGTATGCACGGCTGATGTTCCTGCAAGAGTAAATGAGTTATTTTTCAAGAGAGCAAACCCGACATTTCCAGTGCAGGCTACTGGCTATATAGGGAATTCCAACATGTACATTGTCTTCTCAAGCAGGTTGTATGGTCCACAACACGTCCACAACACGCCCACAGTCCAAGTCTCAGCCTCTTCGCTACTATAACAAACATCAAGCGAAGAATACCCCATTTTCAGGACAGTACTCAAATATTTCCGATAATTGACCGGTCGATCTACATAGTACCTACGCTTTTTCCACACCGACTTGTTTCAATTTCGTACGGGACGCGCGTCACCTAAATTAAAAATAGTTACTATGACAAACATCAAGCGAAGAATACCCCATTTTCAGGGCAGTACTCAAATATTTCCGATAATTGACTGGTCGATCTACATAGTACCTATGCTTTTTCCACACCGACTTGTTTCAATTTCGTGCGGGACGTGCGTCACCTAAATTAAAAATAGTTATCTTATACTTCCATGTATTCAAAACACCACTAGATTATATGGCCATTCAGTATATCATAGAAAATAGGACGTGGAATTAATTAGTACTTATCTTAATGCTTAACATATGGCGGACCCCAAAACCTGTTCGGATTACCCGTTTATCACGCGGAGTAAAAACCCAAAACACAAGCGGTGGTTTCGGCCCCTACAATTTTGTTGAAAGAGGTAAATCTCATCGCCAGTCCAGACGCTATTTGGTGTTTATATCCGACGGGGTAATGGATATCTCCCGCCAGACGATGTTGCACCAGGCCAAGGAAGACAGACGACCATAATAACAGGGGTGAGCATCATTGGCTAGGCTCCGTCTATTTAAGCCTTATCGTCCGCTGTTCTCTCAGTTTTCGTCTTCCATCCAAACGGTGATCCCCTTATCCCCTTCAATATTCTATTGACCAGGGCCCTCTCGAGTACGATGCCTAACATGAAGCTCTTCGTCGGACTTGTTACACTCTCGGCCACCGTTATGGGCCAAAAGCTCTGTGATAAGTACGACAGTGCTAGAAGCCCCCCATACTCGGTGAACAACAACTTGTGGGGAGAATACCAAGGCACCGGCTCCCAGTGCGTGTACATTGACAGCCTCTCCAGCGCGGGTGCGTCGTGGCACACTACTTGGACCTGGAACGGCGGTAAGGGAACGGTGAAGAGCTACTCTAACTCAGGCGTGGACTTCGAGAAGAAGCTCGTGAACGATGTGCGAACCATTCCCACCGGGGTAGAATGGACGCAGGATAACACCAATGTCGATGCTGATGTCGCATATGATATGTTTACCGCGGCAAACGTGGATCATGCTACATCCAGCGGTGATTATGAACTGATGGTTTGGTACGTATGAACAAAGCTCTCCTAAGTTGATTGATTAGATCTATCGTTTCCCCGGAAAGAGCATGAAACTGACATTGCTGGCGTTGGGCCGCATGCTAGGCTTGCTCGTTACGGCACAATCCAACCCATTGGTAAGCAGATTGACACGGCCACGGTGGGAGGAAGGTCCTGGGAGGTGTGGTATGGCACCAGCATCCAGGCCGGTGCTGAGCAGAAAACGTACAGCTTCGTGCCAGTGAACCCGATTAACAACTACAAAGGGGATCTCAAAGCTTTCTTCGACTATCTATCCAGCACGCAAAGCTTCCCCTCTGCCACCCAGTACCTGATTAGTAAGAGAACTTTCGACCCGCATGCTTCTGTAGTGGAATTGCCACTAACAAACACGACGAATAGATCTTCAGTTCGGAACAGAGCCATTCACCGGGGGTCCCGCAAAGTTCACTGTGTCCAACTGGGCTGCCAGTGTCTACTAAGACCATAGGGGCATTGGACAATGGAGGCATAGTCTTGGTATATCTCCAAACCCGACCGGTAATATTGTGCGTTTGGTTCGGAGCGTTGGATACGCACGGGCTTGGATTTTCAATGACTAGTTGGATAGACGGACCTATTCAACATGGGCCCTACCCTTCTAGAGCAGACGTAGATAGTGAACAATGCAGTTTATTCCGCTTTGCGCCTCTGGTGCTCTTAGCACCCCTTTTCTACGGAGGGAGATTACAGTCGCGTAGGGATTGACCTTTATAGATATCCTGCCCCTGATAGCTTGACACCGGGTATGGCTTTGCTATATCCTCACAGCACGTACGGGGGAGACGGTCTAATATACTTAAGAGTTTGTTATTCTTCGTAGAAGGGAACAATTAATTCCTGAGGACATCCAAAATAGGAGAGGCCTAAACTCGCTTCCAGCGTCTTGAATATGTCAAATTAGGTGTCTTGGGAATGCGGCAGGTTTCATTCCGTCTGTCTCAAGAAACCGTTTTTGTAGTTATGGATGGAGTATAACGTCATATAGACTTCTAACGGGAGCAGAGCTGAGTACAAGTATAGTGGCAGTGGTCATGGTTACGGATATCCGGTAAATCATGGACAGACTTCCATCATAGATCGTAAACCTTGGACACTTCCTAAGCCACTTGGCCTGTGAAACAAGCCTAAGGGCTTTGGCTGGAAAGCTTTTGTGCATGAGAGATACTGGTTCTGGTTCTGGTTAGTCCCATCCCCCACCGATATAATCCTGACATGGTAGGTTATCTTGGGAACCAAAATGGATCTCTTTCCGTGGTAGGTGAATGTGCTCGTATCGTTGATTACAAGGGTTGCGGATCTTGACCCTCGTAATTCCACCAGGTTAGGTGCCTGAGAGAGGCACTATACTCCGCACATCAATAATAACCCGGACAACTATCATCGCACTCTTTTGATCTTCTTGATTTATGTTCGGAAGCTAAGCAGCCTCCAGTCGACATTTTGTCTATAGAACATAACCGCTTATAAGCTAGTATCAAGTTCTGTTATTGTGAGTGTCAAAGAAAACAATGATTTCCGCTGCTTTGAAGGATTGTTTGCACGAGCTGGCGTACCACCCTGAGGAGTTGCCCATTTCGGAATAGGAACTGCTTGAATGACTGGGGTTGGATGTTATACCGCGCGAAGATCAGATCGAAGACTGCTATCTCGGCCTCCTCGGCCAAAATGGCGGATACATACTATTAGGACAGGAATATATGTATAAATGTCCTTGCTTCATTGCAAATTGAATACAAATTGGGTTCCTAATACGTCTAATGTCTTCTCTCCTTAGCTAAAGCTATTTTCCTTTTCCTTGAAGATAGGCGATCGTTTATTTCCTTAAAAGGGGCCTTCCTGCTTGCTGCTCAACTAGCCCTTGGGATCCTATATTAAGCCAATACCGCGGCATTCTTGGGCTGTGGCAAACAAGGTGACCTCACCAACGGGTCTAAATGCTCAATGGCTGCGAGTAATCCCTAACATCCCGGACAACCACAACCCAACCAAGCCGCATCATCTCGTCTTGGGCCTCCATTGGCGGTGCAGAAATACTACCGCGCATCATAATTCAAACAGTCAACATGTTCGGGTCACAGACTGACAGGCAGGAGATGTTTTTATTGCCGGTACTCCAATCTTGAAACTTGTAAGTATAGCGCTAAGGTTCTGTATCTTCCGGATTCTGATGTAAATTAGTACCGATTAATATTGTATCAAGCTTTGTAGATTAGCAAGAAGGTGCAATGATACACGGAAAGCTAGAAGCGGAGCGCCTCCCCGACCTTCACATATACGAGAAATGGCATCGATGCCCTCCAGACAGTCCCGAAGACCGAGCTGTTCGAGTCTTGGCGCAGCTTTAAAAAAAAAAGAAAAAGAAAATAAAAAGAGTTGAGAAAGGATCTGACCCTAGCTCCATCTTCCATCTACTGAAGATCTTCCATGGAGTACCGCTACCTAGAAATGTAACAAAAGAAATTTCAGTAAGAGGTAGCTGCACTCTACTTCGCAAATTCATCTCCAGGTGGACCGACGGATATTAGACCAGTGGTCTCATCGCTATGGGCTATTTCTTGATATTGCGATTCATTAAGTACCAGTCTTTTTTGATAGCCAAAATGACTTGCTTTGTGACCGCAAACCCCTTTCTTTCAATATTGCTGATAAATCGCAAGATCCGATATTTGTCCGGCTTGCGTGCCATTTCCATTCCAATGGCGTACAGAACAGGTGCATAAATTACAGACTCGAGATGGAGATGCTGGAGTGAGCTTTCGGCATGATTCAGTGCAGAGATTGCTTGCTCGTAACTCAACTGAAGTGGCATAATCGGCAGTTCACATTCCAAAGACAGCCAGCATGGATCAGAGAAAATTTGTGAGATCTCGATTATCGCAGATTGGTATAGAGTGAGCATGGCGTTCCCAAATATCCCTAATTCCTGGTGTGAATACCAAAGGATGCAGGCAATCATATCACGTTGAAACTTGGAGCCAATACAAGCTATATTGATTCCACCAACATTACTTCCTATTCTGTATGTTTCAACGATACTTTGTTGTAGTTTGGACAGGCTAGCCTGTGTTTTCCATCCTATAGCCCACCATTGTAGCTGAGCCCACATCTCGAGGTCCTGAGCCAATCTATCAAGGAGCTGACCCTGACATTGTGTCAATGGAGCACCTTCCTTGGTAAGCAAGAACTTTGTGGAGCCAAGGAAAGGCAATTGACCAGACACATCGACGTTTGGGTCTTGCGGGCGACAGATGGCCCTCAGTGCATTCAAAATTCGGGCAAGTGTGCTCACTGACCTCCCAAACGGGCTATGTGAGCTACTTAATTCTTGATGCTTTGCACTGAAACAGTAAAGCTGACGGACTGAGAAATCCCATAGCTGCCCAGAAGGGTCCACCAGTAGCTATTCGGTTTGTCAGCCTTACGAACCACGCGCAACCGAGTATTGGGACTAATTACCTCAACAAAGCTCAGTAGTAAAGCGCAGATCATGACTACCAGAGGGCGATCTTTACCTTCAGTTGGCTGGAATTCTGCTGCAACAAACTTTCGCAAACTTTGTAGAGAGCGAAACAGGCTCCTCTTGTCAGGTTGTGAAACCGACAGTAACTGCGGGTTATTCAAGGCATAATATCCGCCCAGCAAGGACACTGTGTCTTGCACGAATACATTATCATGTAAAAGAGGGGCCAAACAATCCGCCGCGAATACTGTGGTTAAAACTGGAGATGCGCCTACGGCAAAGAAGAAGGCACGCTTGTAGTGCTCGCATGTGGGGGTAACAGGACTCCCGTATATAGCCCAGCTAGCTGATTGCTGGTTTTGGATTATTTGAAAATTTGCCTTTGACAGACACGTCGAATTGCAAGGGATCCCCTTCTGCTTGCAGGCGGTACATGGCCTTGAGCCATCACACTATATGACAATATCAGTATAATTTAGGCAGCTATAAAGAGATAATTCACACCTTAAGGTGATCTTTTCGACAGCGTTGGCATCGGTAACCGTGGCGGCGCTTATCCCTAGGCCCGCACGGCATCTTGTAACAGTCTTTGTATCATATGAATGGAAGAACTTTTCTAGGGAAACTCCGTACATATATAATTAGTTGATTACTGAGTGGTAACTTTTCGATTCCACTCGTGGGGCGGGTACTTATCGAACAAAAAACGAAAATTTGTGTTTGCGGAGAAGATATACAGGTGATAAGATCATTCGGATCCACTTTCGCAAGAACATTCCCTAATATCGCCTAGCGCGAAACATGGAAAGTGAAACATCATTTTTGTACAGTAGAAGTCGAAAACAGCAGACGCGTTCTTTCCCAGCACCCCACTTATAAATCGGCTAAGCTTAGTAAAGGGAAAGCCCCTTGTTGGGGCCATTCTGCATCATGATTGGCTTCTGAGAAACGAACTGAAACCAGGCAATCCGGGGTTGGCTCTCTAGTGGGTCGCCGGGAAAGAAAGCGTGTCTTGAGGGGAATCTGTTTTCGAAATCCCCTGTAATCCGCACTCCTGACGAGGGAGATAGCATTGATCCGCGACAAAATCCATGTCCAGTGGAAGCACGAGTGGAGCTCCAGCACCAAAGGAGACCATCTACAGAAGATCGACAGTACTCTGCCCGCGAAATACACCCAGAAGTTGTATGGATCCTTCCCCGGAACCGAGCCTACCTGCTCACCCAACTCCGAACTGGCCACTCTTTATTAGCCAGCCATGCCAAACTACACCGCTTCAGGGAGGATGATAAGTGTGAATGTGGAGCCCCAGAAACAGTGGTACACGTACTAGTTGACTGTCCAAAATTGAAGAACCTACGACAGGAACTTCAGAGGAAGATTGGAACTGCTTTTAATGATATTTCAGGAATGCTGGGAGGTGGATCACAAGGTAAGAAAGGTAAGAAGGATGATATGCAGTATAGTAGCGTTTTAGGCGCAATACTAGACTTCGCAGAGGCATCAAAGAGGTTGCAAAGCCGCGCCACAGGGCCGCTTAACAGAACACCAGACATGTAGGCCACCACAGGCCGTGACGAGGCTCTAAATTCGTCGATAATCAATGGACTACTGTACATAAACATACATAAGGACTAGATAGTGGCATCCAGCATATCGCTTAGTGAGGGGTCAGGGTATGAATTCACCACCACCACCACCAACTGTACCGCTAGTGTATCCACTTTCGCAACATTTATTCCGAATATCACCCCGAGAGTTCCCACACCCAAATATTACCACACCCAAGTGTTTATAATAGTTTATTATAGCTGAACAATTAATGTATAGGAGAAACGACGAAATGATTTGCAAGGTTTATGGCCGGCTCCAATTGCGTCTTACTATCGTAGTTAAGTATCCTTTCGGTTTCTTTAAAGAGTACGCCGTAGGAACCCCCGGGCCTCGCAATCATTTTCTTTCAGGAAGCTCACGAGTCTCTCCAAACAAATGCCACAACGATTTTTCCTCGCCATGTCTTTTAAATTCTCTGCTCTGTTATTGGCTTTGATGGCCTCCGTCCAAGCCATTCAAGTCGCAAACTTGAATGTTTCTGAGAGTATTGCTAGCAAATACGGTTGTGACTCGACCTGCTACAAGAATTTTCAGGAAGGTCTAGCTGTGGATGCCGCTTCTTACGGCTCAATCTATGACACAACTTTCTATGAGACCGCTCATAACTTTTCCAACTCAGAGCCCGGCGATGCTCTTAAATTAGAGCCCATCAATGCCACTCTCCTCCACGATGTCCCGAAGGGTACAACTGCCTACAGGTTCCAATACGTTTCAAAGGATCTCGATGGCAAGAAGATTCCGGTTACCGGTTTCATCGCTTTCCCGTACGCCAGTAGGTTGAACGGCCATGTATACCCTGCAATCGCCTATGGTCACGGAACATCCGGTGTGTTTCGAGGTTGTGCACCATCGGCTATGCCAAGCTTGTATGAGTATGGCAGCTGGGCCGTTTTAGTTTCGCGTGGATATGCAGTCATTGCAACAGACTATGCCGGGCTCGGGAACAACTACACCGCACCTCAATACCAAGCTTCACCAGCACAGGCTCATGACTTGTACTACTCCTTTGCTGCAGCTCGAAAGCTATTTGGTCACGCGCTCACGACCGAGTGGATGAGTGTCGGCCATTCCCAAGGAGGCGGTGCAGCTTGGGCTCTTGCGGAGAGCTCTCTGCTGCAGAAAAACCCTCTGTCACTAGGCAAGTACCTTGGTACGGTTGCTCAGGCACCTGGAGTTCGAATGCAAGACATGGCCCTTGCTGCTATCCAGAGCACGTCTCCATCCGGTGATGCTTCGGCTCGTGGTGTTCTTGCAGAAGCTGGATGGCTCGCTCTCGGCTTGCGAAGCATTCTTCCTAAAGACCGTCAAACTTGGTTAGAGCCTCCTTTTCGGAAGCGTCTTGAGCTCGCGACACTCGCCCAAGCATGCTACGCCTCAATGAAATCATTAGTTGCGGACCTTGATGTTACCGACATGTTCAACATCTCAGACCCAAGCTTTCACTTTGCCTTGGAGAAAATGCAAAATATCACCGCCAGGGGCGAAGGCAAAAGTCCCCAGCCTGTCTTTATTGTACAGGGACTTTCCGACGTTTCGGTGCTTCCGCAAATGGTCGAGACCGCATACAATACCAGCTGTCAATCTGGAAATGAGATTCACTTACAAACGTATCCTGGAATCGACCATGACCCAGTGATTCCTGCTTCGGCTCCCAGTTTCCTCCAGTGGGTTGACGATCGTTTCGATGGCGTCAAGACAAACGGCCGATGCAGTTACAAGACGGTTCAACCATTTGACTCTATCAACATGTACGCTCCGAGCGACGCAGCTAACTAGAGGATCGCCTGTGTGCCTGCTAGAGGATTTAAAAAGAGCTGGAATAGGCGTACTTTTATGCAGTAAAGTTGATATTACAAGTTGAATGCTCAGGCCGGTAGGGCAGGGTGTTGTTTTGCTAGCTAGTTAGCTAGACCGTTTGGACAGCTTGTCTTCTTCAAATCAAGAATTCTCTATTGCTATCTCACTACCATCTACTAGATTTCAACTTAGAGTAAAAATGCTACGTTATATAGGCAACTCGAGAAATTGAGATTCAGCGAATGGCATAATTTAACAGGGATTGGGCCACGCAGGATACATCTGCGTCAACAAGCATCCTCGCAGGGAGGTGCTGCGAAAGAAGTCTGTCAGAGCTTCCGTGATCACGGCTATCGCTTCCAGGAGCTCAGCGATGTAAGACTTGAGCTCCCTCACAGCCAATGTGCCTCGTGACTGTAAATGCACCCAGTCATGCAAGACTTGACTCACCAAATTGTAAGATTCTAGCTGAACTTCGGTAGTGAACAACTTGTATTCACTTCATTCCTGCCTTTTTCGCGCCATCAATGGAAAATGGCATCTTTCATTCAAATGTAAAGTAAACAGAGGGGATGTGTGGGGACGCTGTTTCGATAGAATGTTTGTTATGGTGAGAGTTGGTGAGAGTGATATGAGGCTGGTGCAGGCCAGGAATCAAGCCGCACGATCGGAATTAATCCCCGCATTGTCTACACGAAAAACCAATTTGACTAAAAATCAACTTGCTGTTTTCTCATTGTACATATAGTCTCAGACAATCCCTCTGGTAAAATAATAATTAGTATCCCTTTGAACTGCAACATTGATTTGTTGCTGTCGATGTAGTGGAAAAAATGTCTTACCATCACTATAAAATTCAGCCAGCAACCATCGCGCAGATCTCTTGATTGTAGCCAGGACCCCGGTGATTTCCGTGCATATTATTCAGCCGCACTTCATCCATCACCACAATACCCTGGAGTCCTGAAGCCTGGTTTAGTCTTCTCTCTCTTGTCCCCAAAGGTCATGATGGAGCAGCATCACGGGAAGTGTTGGAGGACGAACTTTTATAGTCAAGAATTTGTTTAACCTCTGGTAGTGGGACTATGGTGCCAGTTGGGTTGCCCGGGGAAGTTAGGAAGACGACTTTAATATTAGCATCAGCCGCGATGGTGGCGCATATCTTCAAAAGTCAGCAATAGCTTCATTGATTACAAGGCCCGCTGTACCTGCTCGACGGGAAGCTGAAAATCATCCTGGGTAAAGTCTTGTCCACATTCATGGGCTCCGACCTCGTGAAGAGCAGCGCAAACTTTGTACAGCTCAAAGCAAGGGGGCGTTACAAGTATCTTGTCCCGAGAAGGTGTACACGTAACACGTATAATAAGGTCTAGAATATCAGAGGCTCCTGTTCCCAGGCACAGGTGACTGGAATCTGCCAAAGTTTAGTCTCTCCGTCGTTGCCATGGGTATTGGAGCAGGCGGAGGGGTAGTCTCACTTGGGAGCTGTCGCCATTGCACAATACGCTTCTTTAGGCCCTCCTGTGACGCTGACGGGTACCGATTCAAGCGGTCGATAGCCACATGAGACTGACTCTCTATAAGCCACCTGGGCAACAGAGACCAAGAGGCAACGCAGCTCTCCGCGGTGATCTCGTTGGCATCAAGGGCAATCGTCGGACGCGATTCTACCTCATCAGACGTGGATGTCACGTAATTGGGAAGGCAAGGACATTTTGCCGAATGGCGAAATCGAGAGAGAAATGGTTCGGCTGGATCTTTTCGGGCATAATAATTATCAATTAGTTCCAGGCGGTTACGGATATCCCGTGTATTCTCTTTGTTGAGGAGCTCGTGGATATCTATTCCGGTTCAAGAATTATTCTGACCACTCGCCCCCTCGAGTCATGGTTGGCATCCGTGGAGCGCACATTCTACGCCATTCTCAGCTGGAAGCGCTGGAAGCTCTTGGAGCTCATTGATCGTGTATGGGCCCCTACCCCAGGGTTTGCTTCGTGATCTCTTTGTTTGCTAACTACATACGCCCCCCAGCATTACATCAGCCTTTACATCCCACTTCTGCGATCTCCCCTATCCGCCCGGACCAACGGAAACTGGCAGGACACTAGTCGTTTGGCTGATGGCTATGCTGCCCATTATGACCTGGTATGCACCGCTGCACAGAGGCGAGGCCGCGAGGTGCTGGAATTCAAGGTCCAAGATGGTTGGGGGCCCCTGTGCAAGTTTCTCATTAAGGAAAAAGAGAAGCCAAATCATCCTTCCCCCATGTCAACGAGGGTGATTTCATTGCGAAAATCCATTATATTATTTTTTGGGTGCGGCAGGGACAGCTGCTCAAGCCGGGGCTGATTTGGGTTGTTCTCCCGTCAGCCGTAGCGATGGTAGGCCGGTGGTGGGTGGTACAGCTCTTAAATCAGTTGTATCTATGTCGTTCTTTTTTTTGTTTTTACATTAGGGTTCACCGAATGGAACTATTTTCGCAGCGAGCCACTGCATACTCCTTGTTTCAACAATATTGACGATGCCTTGCATCTTGGTAGAGCTTGTAAGCAACTAAATTCTATCTTTGATAATCTAGTTTCGCATGTCAATACCATCCAAATTATCATAATAAGTACTGTCTTCGAAATCCTCGGACATTTCACACACTTAAGCAAAGAAACCGAAAAAAAAAAAAACGCAGGAGAGATGAAACCAAGCAAAAACATTGTGAGAATCTTTGTTTCTTGGAAGAAACAGGACAACTCTTTCAGAGCTGCCTAAGCCCTATGTCGACTGCTTAAAGCTAGGAAAACACAGACACATCACATTTCCCATCAGTACCCTGCACGCCCAGTTCCTTCGTAGGATACACAAAGACCAGCGCATCGCATGAATCACCGTTCGAGTCCTTCTGTTCCGCGCACGCCTTCTCGAAGCGGGTGGTCAGATCATCCTCCTTCGATGCTGGAGTTTCCAAAAAACATTGCCTATCGCAAATAGTTCCTTTCATGCTGTCGCAAACAACCTTTCGCTTTTGGGCGTTCGTTTCTGGTATGTCAATACCTGTACACCAGGCACGAACATACCGTGTCGAATCAAGCGTGCTAGGATTGCAGACCATCCGCGCGTCACCTGCCTTCATCACGACGGCCCATTTGCCTCCTAGACAATTTTCGTCACATCCTTTGTTGGTGCGGCATTCTTGACCGGGGGTATATTTTGCGACAGCGGACGCAGCAAAAAGCGTGGTGACGGCGAAAAGCAGCTTCATAATGCTTTTGAATTGCACGAATCTAGGAGCTGAGGTTTAGTTCAATTAGTTGATATGTATGAATGCAGAAAGTGAAGCTTCAGAAGCTTATTCGAGTCGGGGGATAAATAGATATTTTACAAGTCAAGGAATAGGGCAAGATATTCGCTGTCTTGGAAGGACTGAACTTCTCGACGAGCGAGCGAGACCTCCCTATTTATAATGAGGAAGAGCGATCATTGTTGAAGAAATAAAGTAAGTTGCTTTTTCCTATGCCTGTTTTTTAGTCTTCTCGGATCGCTGATCAAGCTGAAATTTGGAATTGGTTTCAGCTCAGTATTTAGATAATGTGGAGGCAATAGACTTCGAGTAGAAATTGCTTTTTCGTGCCAGTGGTACCTCTTTCAATGGCGTCTTCTACGCCTGCTATACTTATCTTGCTTTTTCTACTCACATAATTCACTGAATTTTTTGCTCCTTTAACGGAAATGCTCCCCGCACATGTCTCTTGACTATCGATGTTGTGGCGAGCTGCTATACAGTACATAGTTTAGTGTTGTTTTTATTTGGCTACTGCATCTGTGGGTTTACGGCGTGCGAACACGAGGTTCAGCTTCATTCGGCGAAATACTTGTATAGTTTAGCGTTTCAATATATATATTTCGTCAGGCAAGTAGAGTTTCCATTGATTGATCACTAGTTGCCCGCGGCTGAATAGCTACACTAGCAGGTCAGCGCATACTAGGTTTTGACACCATAGTCGAAGTAGATAAAAGTGGCTTCGGGGCCCCTCTCAATATGATTCTGGACCGCTAATCAATTCGTACCCTAGACGGTGTAACAATTGTTCAAAAACAAGTTTCGACTCCTATTATATCGACCGAACTAATTGATTGGTATAGGTACTTGGATACAGACATACCCTGATCCTCTGATTGAAACACCTCTAGCAGCATTTCGTGAGGCAGTCTGCATTTGGTACTACATACAGCATCCTCTTTCCCAAGTTGGCTTTGGTTGGCTTCATCGCCACCCACTAGTGCATTAGAGCTGAAATCGTCACCTGGCCTACCACCCCTAAGACATGTTCAGTCTTCGATCTACCTGAGACTGAATAGCCCCTATGCACGCAGTATTTTTCATTCAGGTTTCTAGATGCTGCTCCTACATTCCTAAATAAGCACCGTAAGAATTAACTGCAATACTCCGCAGCGTACTCTGTGATCCGGGCAGTTGTGACTGTTAGTATCACCAGCTAGGTACCGTGTACACAGTGAAGTGAACAGTGTTATGCTTCCAAAGCGGTCACATAGGTGCCAAGACTTATTGATTGTTTGATTCTGGTACATTGTCCTCGAATATCAGCCCTGATAGGGCTTCCCGAGCTCCACAAACGGCCAACTCCCCACCTCACTTGTAGAAAAATAAACCAAGTAGAAAAAAGTAGAGGTCGTACCCGGGATCGAACCGGGATTACCGGAATCAGAATCCGATGTGCTAACCATTACACTATACAACCTTTCGTAGTTGGAGCACTTCGCTTATTTTGGCTAGATAATTCAATAATCATTTAGATCACCTGCAAACACACCTTCCATACCCAGAAGAACAGGAGGACCAGAATATCAAATGCCTTTGACTGCTAAACCACGAATAACCGCTTACTCTTGAAATAGCCCTGGCGCAAAGTAAGTACAGATACGTCGACGCTGGTAGTCTCGTGATTCATTTCACAATCGAAGCAACAATTTCTTCCACCCTTTCCCTAGGTACCTCGCGATTCAAAAGCCATCCAAAATGCCAAATGGTATCCTCCTGACATTTGATGGACTGCTTCAGGTGTGGCCATAGATTAAAGTGACCGTGCGGCATGCCAGGATAAGCATCGAATTTCACGTCAACCCCATTGTCTTTCAGAACCTTTCCATAGATAAGGCCGTCGTCACGGAGAATATCCAATCCGGCAATTTGAATATATGTCCGCGGAAGAGAAGAGAATGGCGCTGTCGAGTTGAAGGGCGAAAAGTCCTCGGACAAGAAATCCTGCTGGTAGAGAGCCTCGTATCCACCCATCGACTTTGAATCGAGACCTGGATTTCCAGGCGCGTTTGCGTTTTGCTCCCGAGATACCCACAGGTCCTTGTATTTCTCTGGTACGGTTTCCTCGCTCATGCAGACTGGTATACTGGCGACAACCCCGGTGATTGGCGGAGAGAGATTATCTTTCACGGAACGATGCGCTGCGACAATGGAAAGGTTACCGCCGGCTGACGCGCCGCCTATGACGAACCCTTTGGTCAAGTCCGCATCAAGTGTAGACGCGTTGGCAGCTATCCATTGCACACTATCCCAGATGTCATTTGGAGCAGTTGGGAACTTGTGCTCCGGTGCTAGGCGATACAAGGGCTGGACCACAGTAGCACCATACAGATGTGCGATCGTGCGGGCCCAGACAATTGACTGGATATTTGTGCCCATGACAAAACCTCCCCCGAATACAAGAACCACCACGGGGTTCCCTGAAGATGACTTGGCTGGCTTGACGATGTGAAGATTGCTTTGGTAACCATCGCGCATTTGAATGTCAATTGTAGTTTCCTGTGTATCGAATGTTGGACAGGAGTCGTATGCCGCCTTCTCCATTGCCAAAGCTATCTGGCGCGGTTGTCCAACGGGCTGTGAGAAGTCCAAGATAGGTGGTGGACTACGTTTTAGGACCTGGTTTGGCCGTAAGTGATTATTCAGGAAAGTGCTTTATGCTGACGTACTTCTTCGAGCTCCGGGTCAATTATGCCTAGCCTGAGGACATCTTCCTTGGTTTTATATTGATCCATTGCGGTCGATGAATGAAGGTGATTTGTGTTGTGGGTAGTGTGAGGCATTCGATTGACATGAATCTGGAACTGGACAATTCAGCTTCTCAATGCAGACTTAGGTAGGGCTTTTATAGGATGGTTAACTTTCTTCTAACCTTATGATTGATGATGAGTCATGTACAGTCATGATGATCTGTCGAATTGATCGATGCACGTTAATCTGCTGGAAACCTGCACAAGCATTATCTCTATAGTATGTGTCAAAATGAGCCATGGTCTTGGCATATCTGCCGCTCGGCTTGGCTCGGCTTGGCTCGGCTCGGCATATTCATCTTGCAATCAGATACTCTAGTTAAAAATGACCGTGGTATCTGAATTCGGGATTATTTGACCGCGTTCCCTTTCCTCTAGGAGCTGGATCATTTCATTGTATGCTCCTCAGAGCAAATTCCGGGATACCCAAATATTAAACCACGCCACGGTCAGTTTGTTATCTTGTCGCCTTATAACAGACCAAACAGTATAATAGTAGCAGTCAATTTACAAATGTATAAATCGAGAATGGTTCTATACAGCTTAACCATATTCTAACTAAATAATTTTTAGCCTCTCGGACTGGCACCTTAGGCTTAATATGATGACTTGTGCGAAATAGATGTAAATAGAGCAAGTTCGTGACAAGGCTCGGGGCTAGGATTATTGCCGTAGCTGCAATGGGCGTGATACGTGTCATGGGTGGGGCACAGGGGGCCTCAGCTCGCCGTGCGCAGAAAAAGAAAGAAAAAAAAAAAAAAGTTCAGCTTTGAACCACCAAAGACTGGTAGATGGTTTTTAGAATCCCAAGTGTATAAAGACGGGGTGAACGGATCTGACAAGACTCTCTTTTGTCCCGGAATTCCTGGGAGTGGAAAGACAATTATGACAGCAATTGTCATCGAAAACCTGCTGAAAGAATTTGAACAGGACTCATCTGTTGGAGTTGCTTATTTCTATTTTAGCTTTCGACAGCAGGAACGACAGAAGATCGATGATCTCCTTTTGAGCATCGCAAAACAGCTTCTGCGAAAGTCCCCTCAATTGCCCAAAGAGGTGAGAGGCTATTACGGAAAACACACCAAAAGAGAGACAGACACAACTTTCATACCATGAAATCTGCAACACCGTTTAGATCTCATTTAACTTATTTTGGAAATTCTTCCTTGTCATTGACGCTCTGGATGAATGCAGTTTCCCCGTTCGACCCGAGCTCTTATCGGAGGTTTCCAAAATACAGTTCGAGAAGGATCTCAGGGTGTTAGCAACATCGCGTCCAATTGGTGATATCATTGCGGGACTCAACCATGACAATACACTGACTATCCATGCCACTGATGAAGATGTGGAAATGTATCTCGATGGCAACATTACTAAAGTGCTACTAAACGCTAATATGGATATCAGGACGAGATCCGAGCCGGCATTGCACATTATGTTGGTGGAATATAAGTGAGCTTATAACGACTACCACCTACCATTGCTCTAATGAATCTAGGTTTTTACTTGCCCAGCTTTACCTGGAGTTCCTTCGATATAAGACGACAGAAAGGGACATAATGAACTCACTGAACCAGTTCCCAGAGCGAGGCCAAGGGACAAATGAACAGGATAAAAGAGCAATACTGTCTCAAGCCTATGAGCAAGCAGTGAGCAGGATAGAGGGCCAGCTTCCTGGGCATAAGAGCCTTGCAAAAAGAGTTCTTTGGATTACACATGCGAAAAGATATATCATTACAACTGAGCTCCACCATGGAACTCCAATAGCTGCTGCGAGTGCCCACGGGCATAGTGATTGTGTCAAATTTCTCATAAAGAACGGAGCTGATACAAAGAGCCGTGGTAGAGCTTATGGGAGTCCACTAAACTCCGCGTGTGGTGCAGGAGTTTCAGACCGTAGAAGATCTTCTGAAGGAAGATGTTGACACCACACACGTGAACAGTCTGCTCGGAACTGCCCTGCACGTGGCAGCTGGACGAAATCAGCTGAAGATAGCCCAGCTCCTTCTAAACCACAAGGTGGACGTCAATTGCCTCGGAGGTGTAGGGGGCACAGCACTCGAGGTGGCGTCATTTAGTGGAATTTTTGAAATGGTGAAGCTTTTGCTGGCAAATAAGGCTAATTTCCATATTCATGGCGGAATCTTCGATAATGCCTTGCAAGCAGCCGCCTATAAATGGCATCAAGACATTTTTCAGGTTCTATTGTCAAAGGGGGCTACTGTAAATTCACAACAGCTCATTTCAACAGAAAGTTAACATTACGGCATAGTGGACCCAGGTGATAAATTCACGCAAGCCGTGATCGACGGAAATATTGTGCCATTCTTGACGAGTCCACTTGCAGGGTCATGGCAGGCAGCTTCTTTCAGAGGATACACTGAAACCGCCAGACTTCTCATCCGAAAGGGTGCTGATAAGAATGGTCGATTTGGCATGCATGGGAGTGCTTTACAGGCTGCAGCATACCGGGGGCGCATTATCACGGCGAAGCTGCTCTTGGAAGAAAACGCTGACGTGAACCTAGGCGGTGGTCTCTACGGAAATACTCTACAAGCAGCTCTAGTTTGGACAAGAGATGAAGATGAAGATGAAGATGAGGACGACCATGATGGTGCTTTTTATGAGGATGTAATTGACGAGGATTGTCCTTATTGTGATAGCGAGGATGTAATTGATGAGAATGATGCTCATTGCGATGGCGAGGATGGCGAGAATGGCGAGAATGGCGAGGAAGATAAGGAGGACGACGAAAGTCGATATAACAAGGGTGGGACTAACGAGGCTGAGTATGAGGAAGATGAATGTGACGAGGTCGTAGATGACGAAGTTGAGGATGATGATAATGGATATGACTATGGCGAAGAGGAAAGCGAAGATACTAACCTTTGGAGGAGTATGGTGGAACTTCTTCTAGGCTTCGATGCTGATTTTAAATGCTAAAGGTCTCTTTATGATTGCCGTTCACGCGGACCTCATGACGGGCAATTTCCTTCTACTTTCCGAGCCAAAGTTGTACAACACAGCACATGACAATGGCACTTTGCATAGCATATTTTTCAGTGTCCTTCAAGCCGCCTGTCAGTGTAAAACTAGGGATATTACTCAGCTTCTGCTTGACCGTGGCGCGGATATCCACCGTTCTGGTGGCGTTTTCGGGACAGCACTGGCCGTAGCGGCCAGCCTGGGTGCTACGCAGGATCGTCGGCACGCCATGGATACTATGAAACTGTTGCTCGAACGAGGGGCAGATGTTAATGCTCGCGGGGGTGTATTCGACACTACACTTCAAGCATCCTCGATTCGTCGGGAGTCCTCAGGCTTAGTTGAACTTCTTATTCGACATGGAGCAGATGTTCGACTATCGGGTGGCATTTTCGGCAGTGCTCTACACGCTGCTGCATATTCAGGATGCTTGGAAACAGTGGCAATACTTGTCGAGAAAGGGGCGGATGTCAACCAACTTGGTGGAGTTTAAGGGAGGGTTATGTTGGCAGCATCATCTAGAGGCGCCGAAGATGTCATAAACTATCTTTTTGAGAGATATGCAGACCTTAGCATCCAAGGAGGTGTTTATCGCAACTCTGTAATTGCTGCTGCTGCCAATGGGAATATTGGGGTTTTCCGATTACTCCTAGACTCCGAACCAGTTGAGGGAACTGCCAGCGACAGTCAACTATTGTTGGCGTCTGCGAAAGGAAATTTGAAGGTCGTGAGGCAGCTGCTTCGCCAGGAAGCGGCCGCACATTTTCAGTCATTGAGTCATAGAAATCCTGAACATGCACAGTACAGAATGGAAAGCTTGTATGAGAAGATCGTGTCATTCCCTGCAGCTGACGCTCAACAGATCCAAAGTATTCAAGCGAAACTGTTCAGAATCAGGAAATACAGCAAGGATCGACATATGCAGTCGATCGGTTGAATGAGGGGGTGAAGATTCTATTAGTAAACCCACTTTCTGACCCCCTTTATCCTAGATACGTTCATACGCAGCTAGACAATGATCTCATTAGGTATGTGGGTATTGATGTGATTGCTGCAAGGAGACTCGTTTGATCCAATCAGCGTCTGAATACCTTTCACCTTTCCCCGCTTAGAAATATGTATGCCAACCATTCCTGATTCTAGGTAGCTGAACCCTTGGTCACACAGTTTACCTGTATGCATGTACATTTTGGGCTGGTGAAACGTGACCTCCGTGGTCTTGTGTTTTGGTTTAGTCTGGTCTTGACTGGCCTTCTATGCCTGCATGGGGTAAGGTGTCAGAGTCGGACTATCATGTGTTGATTAGAGGCCTCCTCCATTATCAGGATATGATGAAGCAACAGTACCCTTAAAATGGTAGTTGCATGTATTTTGGCATCTAGACTCGTGAGTAGATCTGTTTTGAAGATAACTATACAGTGATGGATCAACTCGCCTCGACGGGTTAGGTTACTATATTTGGATCAATCGTCAGTATTTTGGGTTTAGGTTGTAAATGCAAGGTATAAATGTCAAATTCCTTGCATATATCAACGGCGTCTGCTATTCTGTCTGCAAGATCATGACGTCGGTGACGAAGGCTGACAGCCATTGCGTCATGGCTTTGAAGACCATGTCAAGCACACAGCTCTTGCGTGGTGGAGAATCTCTGATTAATATAAATTTTTTTCATTGCTCGAGGTAGTGGAGTTCTTAAATGTCTGTCATTGGAAAATCGAATAGCCACTAGATCGGGAAAGAGGCATTTGTAGTATAAATAGTCCTTGAACAGCCATTGATACTTATGGCACAATACAAATCTTATAACACTCATTGAATCCCATAAGTCTATCCATTTATTGCATTAGAAAAGCAAAGCATGACAAACCTCGAAGACACCACCCACCAAGCCATCAGCTCTTACTTCGTCGGCCCTGGAGCGGAGAATCTCGACCACTTCAAGACGAATATCGACAATATCCTGACCGAATTAAAGAACACCAGAGAAGCCTACTTTCCGAGGTCACCGGTACGACTCACCCATTCTAAAGTCTTCGGCAATAAGAATGGCTAACCTTCCCCTTTCTGCTATCACAGAAATTCATCCCCGAAGACATCCGCAACACCGACGAATTCGTCCGCCTGACGAACAACTTCCGAAATGCGATCAAAAAGGCAGCTGAGCTGACGGGTAAGCATTCCGTCCCGTTCTGGTCCCCAAGATATGAAGCCCATATTGCGCCCGAACCTACCATGGTCTCTCTGCTGGGGTACTTTATGACTATGCTTTATAATCCGAATAATGTGACTACCGAGGCTAGTCCTTTCTCTACTGCTGCGGAGATATTGGTCGGCGAGCAGCTTTGTGAGTTTCTGGGGTATAATATCAATCAGATTCAGGATCTGCCCACTGGTTGGGGTCATATTACGTGTGATGGATCGGTTGCGAACTTGGAGTCTATCTGGGCTGGTAAGTGCTTTTCTCTTAGGTGTATGGAGGAAGGGGTGAAAGTATTGTTGGTTAAAGGCTGATTATTCTCCAGCTAGGAATTTGAAGTTCTATCCTCTCTCGCTGTACTTGGCTATCCAGGAAGGAGATCTGCATTTTCTGGCAGACATTTTCGAAGTTGAGACTTGCAGTGGAGCAATGAAGCAATTTACGAAGTTGACAACTTAGGAACTACTAAATCTCAAACCAAACACCATCCTAGATATACCCCAAGTGTTAAATGATAAGTGGGGGGTTTCATCTACATTTATTGAAAATGCTTTGGACAAATACAACATTCAGTCAATTGGAAAGACGGTTTTGGAACAGCGATTCAACATCCAAAAGCCTATCCGCTACATGCTGAGCAATACCCGACATTACTCGTGGCCTAAAGGCGGTGGTATGTCTTCTTGTCTTGTGATACTGATCAAATAAATCGGCCCGCTAATCTTCAATATAGCAATCATTGGCATCGGCTCGAAAAACATCCTCGGCATCAGAGTTGACAATGAGGCGCGTGTCGATCTAAGCGATCTCGTTGTAGAGCTGGAACAGAGCCTAGAAAACCAGCAAGCTGTTTATGCAGTAGTTGCCATTATGGGCTCGACCGAAGAAGGGGCCGTTGATCGACTGAGCGAAATCCTCAGGATCCGTCGACGGTTCCAACGAAAAGGCTTATCTTTTCTAATTCATGCCGATGCTGCATGGGGTGGATATTTTGCCAGTATGTTGCCTCGCAAGATCATGAGCCAGATGGCAAAGGCGGACCCGTTCGAAGGGGTCGAGACAACCGGGGATGGGTTTGTACCGGATCTTAGCTTGAAGGTGGACACACAAGAAGACTTGTTGGCGTTGAAGTGTGCCGATTCGATTACTATTGATCCACATAAAGCTGGGTATATTCCATACCCGGCTGGAAGTCTGGTGTATCGTGATGGGAGGATGAAAAATCTGGTAACATGGACGAGTCCTTTTATAGGACGAGGCTCTTCGACAAATATCGGTGTATGTGGTGTTGAAGGGAGGCAAGTCGCCTATGTTGGACTGATGGTTTACCACACGTATTGACAGCAAACAGCAAGCCTGGAGCAGCGGCCATGTCAACTTGGCTTTCCAACCAGTGCATTGGGCTCAACGAGAACGGATACGGAGCCCTTCTGAAAGAGGTTTCCTTCACAAGCACTCGGGTGAGTTCATCGGTACACCTACAGTATCTTACTAACCAGCCACCAGCTCGCCGCTCACTGGGCAGCAATGACCACTACCAGAGACTCCTTCGTCTGTGTTCCCCTCAACCGGCTCCCTGCAGAAATAAATGGTGGGGACGTGGAGGCACAGAAGAAGTTTATTCGTGACGAGATCCTGTCCAAGTCCAATGCCGAAATTGTGGCCAGCGATGCCGAGAAGCACACCATGACGCTGCTCCGAGCTATAGGATCAGATTTGAACATCAATGCCTTTGCAATTAATTGGCGGTATCCCGATGGAACTATCAACGATGATATCGAAGAGGCAAATTATTTAATGCTTCGTGTCGTCCAGCGGTTATCGATCAGCACGCCAATGATAAACCGACTGATGTTGGCTTCTATCTCACATCTACTGAGTTAAAGCACGAGAGGTATGGCACCTGCGCCGAGAACTTCATGGATCGGCTCGGCCTTGACGTTTGCACGCAAAATCTTATGGCGCTGAGCAACGCCGTCATGAGCCCATTTCCAACAGAGCATAACTTTATAGGAAAGTTGGTCAAGCAGTTTCAGAAGGTCGTGGAGGAAGAGGTCGAGGTATTGCTCAGTTAACATCCATAGACAGGCCCAAGGGCTAACAGGTGTCTGAATAGATCTGCCGACAACGAAACGCTTTTGGCCCCGCTGAACATAGCTTTGTCATGCAGGGTGCAGATGGGGTGTTCCTGGTGTATAAACCGTCCTTTCAAGAAGCGAAACACCGCCGTCAACTTATCCTTCGTGCCCGTCTCGGAAAAGACGATTTGAACAAGTACCTCAAAGTCAAAGGCTCCAGCGAGGCCGTCATTCTCAGGACATCAAACAAGACATGTCTTCAGTCATTACTGAACACGGTTAAGAGGAATATGCCAGCAATATTCGAGGGAAACCTATTCAATTCAGCGGGGTAAGTATCGTCATCATAATTAAGGCAGTACGGTGCTTACAGCTCCCAGAAAGCCAACCGGTCAAATTAAGGTGAATATTACCCAAATTATCAAGAACCGCTCACTGAGCTCCCGGAACCGCGACACGAAATACCCGAACACATTCATACCGTTCTATCTGTATGGCACGGGGACGCAGCGTCACATCTCACATATGCTGCTGAAGTCCCCCAACGTCGAGCTGTCTGCGGGCAACGTGAACCTCGACTTGGACGCCGAAATCGACAACAGTGAGCTTTCAAGAGGTGCTATCCTCTGTTTCACTAATGTCTACGAAGCACCTATGCAACCGTTCTCAGTTAGGAAGGGTGGACCGCCGCGCGGTTTCTTCTTTCGATCCGGTCAGAAGTTCCAGGTCAAGGTGTGGCGTGATTTGAAGAAGGCTGAGGAATCGGGACCGCGCCTTCTTCCTGATACTTTGAAGGACATGGGCCCCGAGCTTGCGGCGGGGACAATGGAATTGCGGGATGACGTTTATGTAGACTTGGAGGGTGTGAATAAGGATCCTTTCGACAGGTCGTCTGATGATGGAGAGGATGATCAATGGCGGGACTTGTTTCAGGAGATAAAGGATCAATTGGTGTCTTAGTGAGCCTGTTAGCATGGATATTGTCTGATTGTAAGAGCATATCGTAAGTAGAAGTTTCCTGTTAAGCAACTAAATCTACAAAATTCAAGAGATCATTTGGCAGCAAAAATTTTATTTCAGCGTTGAAGCGTGCAATTCATTGAGCAACCATAATCCAAGCGAAAGTAGGAATACAAAATAAGACATAAAATGAACATTGAATTCTCCATAGCTGCTGATCCCACAAGAAGCGCCAATTAGGTTACCCAAAGTTCCAAGTATCTATTGTAAGAGGGGAAGATTTTCCCTTGAACTCATAAATCCACATAAATCTAGTTTTAGCGTATCTGATACCAAGTGAAGAAATTTGATCTTGAGTCTTGGGCAATACCATCGAGATCTAACCGAGCGATTTCATGTCGCGCAACCTCTCCTGGAGGCATATTCACCGGGTATCCGCCCAGCTCGATTAATACTCTTGCAACACCGTCGTGGCCCTTGCTCACTGCTAATCTAATCAGGTGGTCACGATGTCCTTTCGTCAGAGCCGGGTGTCGTTTTCTAATATGATTCGGACTAGATATTCGTGGCCTTCGCTCACTGCTGTCCAAAGCATGGATTCACGTTCACAAGACGTCGGCGGTATTATGTCGATGCCGGTTCCTATCATGATTCGGACTAGATCTTCGTGGGTATATGCGGCTGCCTTCCATAATGCCAGCCAGAAAGGGTTCCTCAATTCGCTTGGGTCGCGGATCTCTTCGAGCGATTTTCGAGCGGTTGATGGGAGGCCGTGAGTTACTCCCCACCATAGGGCATTGTCCCCGTCCGAGCGGCACATATCAACATCGCGTCGGTATAGATATGAGTTGAGTAGCCCGTATAGGCGACGATTGACCTGGACGAAAGAATTGATATTCCAAGATTCTCCAAGTTCCTCAGCGATCAACAAAAGCACTTCGTTTGGTAGAGCGAGAAGGACCGTTGTGGGATAGGAAAAAGAAGCTATGAAAACAATGATTTGAAAGTCGAAGGCTGTAAAGAGGGGTCGAGGTTTGATAATGAAGATAAATGCCTGCTGCCTCGATAGTAGGATGATTCGACCCCTGGCTTGGGGCGCCTTCTCGAGCCCGCGATATCAGCCCAAAACAACCAGAGAAGAAATATACTCTTGTAATCCAGACGTCAGCGGAGTCTAGAAGCCTGAACATATCAGCCCTTCATCATCCTTCCTCACTAGTAGTTATATCCGCTACTCTCACTGCTCCAATTAGCGGGAAATGGCTTGCATCGCAAGCTGTGTCCGGGCTTTGACGGAGAGATCCGGCAACTTCACTTGGCCAGCTACTGTACATATGGGAGATCATCTGCCGCAATTAAGACATACTGCATGGATCAAAAATGCTTTCCTAGCTGTAAATTTAATGGTTTCATCGTCGTTGATATGTTACAAATATGGATATTAATGTGCGAGAACTATACAATATATCCCTACCAAAACCAGGCCATATACTCGCTCACTATCTGTATATCCCGCTTGACGCTACAAACAAACAATGCCCCCCAACCAAACAAATAAGCACATCAGACAACTTCTACTCAGGACCCCTCCTGAGGCATCTTTTAGATGGGCACCTCTATGGAAGATCTCGATTCTTCCTATATCAATCCATCAGTTCAATCATCAGTGTTGTTCAGGGCATCCCTCCATTCCTTCATTTCATCATCGTGCACCCAGTCAATTACTGTAGCCTACGTTAACTTAACATATATCAAACAGGAGTGTCAAAGTATCAACACACTACCAATTCAACACTACAAACATGTCAAGCTCTATCGATTATTGCACAGTTCAGACAGCTATCAACAACACTTGTATGGCATTCATATACAGCACACCAGCCATTCCATATGTACCATCGTTCAAAAAAAGGAAACATACAAGACCAGAAGGTTAAGTAAGGAACAATAATTTCGTAGTTTTTGGTTTGCTTTGCTTTGTTTGTCCGATGTTGGGACAAACTCACTTATGTGCCCAAGATCAGGATATTTTATTTCCACCACCACACCAGCATCGTCCGTCGCCTTCGCGTTCGACCTGGACCAGAATATCCATCTTCTTTTCCCGGAGGAAGTCGACGGTTCGTTGTCGGACATCTTCGAGATCTGCGGTGCGAGACGCGATGACGTGGATAACGCCGAGGACGTTGGGGTTGGTCTTTTCGTGGTCGTGGTCGTGGTCGTGATCATGAGAGTGACTATGGTCGTGAGAGTGGGGGTGCGAGTGATCGTGATGGCTATGTGAATGGCCGTGGTCATGACAGTCATCGTGGGTGTGGCCATGGGTATGGTCGTGACTATGGTCGTGGCTGTGACCATGGTGATGATGATCATCGCCTGAGGCTGCCGTGTCGTCTAACCAGAACTTGGGGACAGTGTATCCCACAACGCCCCTCAAGTTACTCACACCACCTAGAGTGTCGCGAACGTTGTATTCCACGTCCGCCGGAAGAGTGAGAAGCAGCGATTTAGCAGTGCTGCTGACAAGAGGGATAGCGGACGCAAAGATCAAAATGGCAATCATGCAAGAGGCAATAGGGTCGTATCCGGCCCAGCCCGAGTAGTGGACCAGAACGGTCGAGATAACAACGGCCACAGATCCGAGAGTATCGGCAAGGATGTGGAGGAAGATGCCGTGCATGTTCTCATTTCCGTGAGAGTGGTCGTGGTCATGTCCATGATGGTGATGGGCATGATCGAAGGCCATGATACCGACAAGGTTCACGAGGAGACCTGCAACACTCACGACGAGAAGCTCGCCCAGGCGGTGCATCTGACTGCCAGACGAGAGTCTCTCCACCGCCTCGTAGATAATTTCAATACTAATGATCCTGCTAGGAGTCAGTGATGGATTTTAAGAAACTGTAGATGGAAAATCTCACATAAGGAAGATGCCATTGGCAAACCCCGACAAGGTGTCTACCTTGCCGTAGCCATAGGGAAATCTCGCACTGGGCGGCCATTTACTCATGACAGCTGCACAAAGGCCAACCACTAGCGCGAGGCAGTCGAAAAACATATGGATACTGTCGCTGAGCAGGCCTAATGACCCGGTAATGAAGCCATAAGATAGTTGGACAAGCATAAAAGCGAAATTAAGACTGTGGCGTGTTAGCCGGTCGGTCACTCAGTGAAGTTAGGCAAGACATACGTCATGAAATAGAAGATGCGTCGCGAGTCACTCTCTTTGAGGATGCTGTACAACAGGGGATACGGCTCGCTATACCGGATGATTAATTTCGTTATTCGTGACTCATCCTTGCCGTGGTGGGAATGATGGTGATGATTGTGAGAATGGGTTCCGAGGCGCAAGTGCTTGTCATCAAACCGGGCGGCTGGGAATGAAAGCGCGGCCAGGATACCCCGGGAGATGTAGGTTAGATAAATACCGTCGCGCATAGGCGGTGCGCACAACAGGGATGCAGTGCCCGTCCCGATGGCAAGGCCGATCTTGTGTGGGGAGCGCAAGTTGCTCGGGATTAGAAAAATCAAGGAGACCGCAAACGCGCCTGCGGTCAAAAGTATATACACAAAGTCCATGGCTTGAAATGACATGCCTCTGGAAGTAATCGCAGTTGCCACTGCCAGGAGTAGACCTGTGCCAGCAGTGAGAACTGCTTCTTCTAGAGAGGTAACTGGAGAGGCACTCGCAGACGCCGATTTGGAGTCAACGCTACTTCCAGGCACTGAGATACCGAGGCCCGAAGTTGAAGTCGAAACTGAGGATGTAGAGGCGGAGAAAGGAGGGCGGATGACGAAGACCGACAGTAACAAGGATGAATAGCCCAGAAAAGGCTCCGTGTCCCAAGACGTATTCATGCCCAGAAAACTGAAAGCAACGACCGCCAAAATAACACCCACCGTCGGCTTCTTCTGCATCAGCCGGCCCTGGTTGCCAGGCTGAGGATTGTTGCCCGGAATGATTGTCGGGAGACCAGTTGCAGTCGCAAGTAACAGAGCGAATGCGACCAGAAACCCGCCTATTTTCAAGGAGGCATAAATCGGCAACGCGATAGAGCACACCTTCCCAAGGGAACTGCGGATTTCGTTGGGGCCGATTTTAGGCATGGTTGGCGTCGAGTCACCGCGTTGGACAAGCTGAATCGCCTGCGTACATCCGAGTACAACCATCGTTGCGGCAGCCAGGAAACCAGCCCTCTGCGCGGTGTGGTCTAACCGTCCACTGCTGGCAGCTGTCCAGGTATCGTCGCTAGCATCCTCACCAGGCACCGGCACCGGAGATTCCCATTGTACGTACTGCTGGTAATACCACGACACGGCGATCCACGGAAGCGCTGCTAGAATCCCGGTAAATCCCTCGTAACTGAGAGCGTCAGCTTCAGTTCCATCATCAATCAATGATTGGACGACTTACACGGTCGTCGGCTCAGGGTCCGCAGATACTAAGGGCGTATCCGGTGTCAATCCCGTAATACTGCCGGCGTGGCTATGTTTAGGGGTATGTGTGTGAAACGCATCGACGTGGTTCACACCCGCCCATCCGTTCTCATGGATCGACGAGGCATGGGAGTGCGTATGCTGGTGTCCATGCCAGTGTTTGCTAGGCGGCGAGCCATTGGAGATATCAGAAGCTGTCACAGACTGCGACAGCGGTTGTGTAATCGTCGAGGCGTCAAATGAGGACACCGAGTGAGAAATGGGGCCGTGCGACCACCGATTCGAGCGAGAATGACCGTGGCCGCGACCACGGCTGGGTCGATGTCCATGTCCATGGCTGTGTCCATGCGATATCGATGAAATTGTATCCACGCCGGACACCGGTGACCCCGTTGACATGGTCTCAAGTGTCGCTTATGCGATCCGTCGTGGGTGAGAGAGTCGACAGTCGGCGGCGACTAAGGGGAAACGAACAGGAGGCAGGCGGTTTAGGGCGATCGCCGGGCGGAGGGCACTTCCGAGGAAACTGAGGGGGTACCAGAGCCTTTAACAGCTCAATTGAAAGGAGCGACGGAGCGAGTAGACAAGGGGTGCGGCATAGCGCACTCAACGGATGCAATACAAAAGCAAGGAGCGACGAGGAGGGGAGGGAAGAGCAGGCGTGGCCAGAAGGGAGTTTGGACCCCAGATGCAACCCGGGGGCGGATGGCGGATTGGCGCTGATCGCCTGGCGATAAGGATCGCCGCACGTGATCCCCGGGTGGTTGTCTCTGCAGGTGCCTGACATTTCAGGAGCCGATAACTACTCTGGAGGACTCGATGATGGAACATGACGAACAGCGATCGGAGAATTGTCGTCCGACAAGTAATAATAGCCCGTCACCCCTGCACCCCTCCCTTATGGGGATTGCAGACCTGAGCTGCCTGCGAGACCGTGATTCAATAGTATTCAATAGTCCATACTCCCAGCGCAGACGCGCGCTTGTTGATCCTTGTGTGGGGGCGCTCGGGTCATGTTTACTCCGTGCTGTCCTTTTATCACCGATCATCCACCTGGCCAGTACGGTGTATAGCTTCAGATGAGCTATGCGGTCAATGCGCTTTAACTAGTGCATTCCATTCCACCAGTTTACTCAACGATGATCTACATCCAGTCTGTGTGGTTTTCATCCCCTATCTCACCATGATCGAGTCTTTCATCAATATCGCCTACTACGTCTCGACGGCTCTCACGCTCTCCCTCCTATTGTTACCGTCGCAATATGACCACAAACAGCGCAAGGAGAGGGCTCCTACTGACCCGAAAACATCGGTACAAATTTTAGTCCTGGGAGATATCGGGCGCAGTCCGCGCATGCAATACCATGCACTGAGCATTGCCCGCGGTGGAGGCCGAGTAGAGATAATCGGATACCAAGGTAGGAGTTCATGACATGATCATTCGGTGTAGGACTCAAAAAAAACTAATGCGATGTGTATAGAATCCGAAGTTCACCCCGACATCGTCTCCGATTCTAGAATCTCCATCGTCGCCCTCCCTCCCCATCCGTCCATTCTACAAACAAGCAACAAGCTTCTGTTCCTGGCCTTCGGTCCGCTGAAGGTCCTATTTCAAGTGATCTGTTTATGGTGGACATTATGTTATCGTACAAAGCCGGTGAAATGGCTTCTTGTTCAGGTTGGTTGCAGCTTCCGCCATTTCTGATGGCCTCCGTACTAATTGACATTCTTCACAGAATCCTCCGTCCATTCCCTCCCTCGCGATCGCCTCCGTTACCTGCTCACTGCGAAACACCGATCTGGTCATCGACTGGCATAATTTTGGATATAGCATCCTGGCGTTGAAACTTGGAGACAACCACCCGCTCGTACGGTTCTCTAAGTGGTATGAGAAGACGTTCTGCAGGTATGCCACGGCGCACCTGTGTGTGACGAAAGCGATGGCCTCGGTTTTGAAGAATGAGTTCGGATTGAAGGCCCCAATCCTGCCGCTTCACGACCGCCCGGCTAGACACCTACAACCCATTGAGGACGAAAACGCGCGACAGGAGTTCCTCCTCTCGCTACCCGAAGCTTCTTCCGTACAGCCATTGATTAAGTCGAAAGAGCTCCGTGTTCTCGTCAGCTCGACATCGTGGACACCGGACGAGGATTTCTCGCTTCTTATCGATGCCCTGTGTCGGTATTCGGAGATTGCAACTTCCTCGAAGCCCCATTTACCCACCGTGCTGGCCATCATAACGGGTAAAGGCCCGCAGAAGGAAATGTACTTGAAACAGATCTCTCAGCTTGAAGAGGCTGGGAAATTACACAAGGTCACCATTCGTACTGCATGGCTCAGTACGACCGGGTATGCCCGCCTCCTGGCGTCCACGTCCTTGGGCGTCAGTTTGCATACGAGTAGCAGTGGCGTGGATCTGCCAATGAAGGTTGTCGATATGTTTGGGGCTGGTTTGCCGGTCGTGGGCTGGAATCGGTTTGAAGCGTGGCCGGAACTTGTGACTGAGGGCGTAAATGGGAGGGGCTTCGGAAGCTCCTCGGAGCTTGTGGAACAGCTTGTAGATCTTTTTGAAAACCCCGGTAACCTCGAAAATCTAAAGGCGGGTGCGCGTAAGGAAAGCACCCGTCGCTGGGAAGACGAGTGGGATCCTGTGGCTGGGAAGCTGTTTGGGTTGACATCGTGAGGCAATATATTTAGTTGGCTGGCCCATCCACATCCCAATGAAAAAGACACAAATCTAACCACAATCACCACATACACATAATAAAAATGGAACAATAATAAGAAAAGTCAAGAGAAACATAACGCTAATTTCAAAATTTGCCATTGCAGTAAATACACGTGTCGAAAACGTCCGATAAAAGACTGTTTGCTTTCTGAACTTCAGGTTCATGCGAATTAGCCGTAAGTTCCTCGTTGAGAAATTCTGTCCCACAAAGAGAACAGAATTTCGAGATTCCAGGATCTTGAATAGACAATAATGTCAATCCACATCGAACTGCAAGCAATGTTAGAGTAAGCCAAACATAAGAGCAAGAACCGCAAAGAGGAGACATACCAAATAGATGACCCGAGGCGCACTGTGCTTCTTGACCGGAATGCCACCCAATCCCTGCATCACAAATCTCGCAGTTCTCAAACATCCGCTCACCTGGCCCTGTGAGCTGCTCTATAGATTTAGCACTCACAATGGGCCCTGGGGCCGAGCTTTTGTTTGTTTTGTCTTTGAGGTTGTCTATCTTGTTTTTTATCTTGTTGATCTCCTCGGATAGATCGGCCCCCGTCGTTTTGGCTAACCATTCAAGTGCCTTCTGGGCTTGCGACAGTAACTTGGGATCCTCAGATTCGACAAGCGTGCAACACGCAGCAGCATAAATTAGCTTGGAACCCCATAGTTGCTGATCGAATTTGCCGTTGTTTGAAAAGAGGATGTAGCTCAAGATCTCTTCACGCATTGCGCGCAGGAAACTAGGAGAACGGTCCGGTTCAGCTGGACGGATGACGGCGTCGTCGGACTCACGAGCTGGGTCGTATGCTCGGGAGAAAATAATCGTCGTTCGTTCCTCCGCTGCAGTGCGGTATTCAATCAGATCTCCTGGGTTTAAAGTAAATGCCGTGGCGACAAGCCCCCGGCAATCTGCGAGACCCCAAATGCGACCGATCGCTAGTCCGGCCAGGTCACCGTCAATATCGAATCGCTCGCGAATGCCGTCGAATTGCTGCTTCCATGGAGGTTCAGAGAACTGGTAGCTGGTGTGGTCTGCTGAAGGGATCATGGATAACGTGTATCCTCCGATGGTGCCAAGGTGCAGGGTTTGACTGTCTGTCTGTTTGTCGAATATGGACCTCATTCCTATCTTTTGTGAGCGGTGTTTGCGCAGTTGAATGAACTTTCTTACCTCCAATTGCTTCCCAATGTCCCCGTTCTTCACTGTCCGCGCCGGCTGCGTTTGTCTCGAACAATGATTCTTGTAATTGGGCTTGACTGGCAGCCCCCGTTCCATCGTAGGCACTGGATGAGAGTGTTATAAGAAGCATACCGCCGAAAGTGCCACACGTAAGCCGTAATTCTGGAGACCCATCCTGAATCAATATTTAGCAGGGTCCGATAATTGAGTTGTAACAACGTTTGTTACCTTATATAACCATTGAAGTGGACCCGTGCAATGATAATAGTTCATATCTGGCCACTGAACAAGAGTATTCTCTTGACAATCAGCCGTGATTTTGTGACGAGATTGAGACTGCTGTTGCTCTTCATCCCTGGCTAATGAAATATCCAATCTGACCAATTTGACTGTCGTGCCATACAGAACAGCCACATTTGCAGTTGCAGACGAGACAGCTTGCCTACCCTTTCCACTGAGACGGTAGAACCAGGGCCCACACGCGATAGACAAAGATTTTGTTTGCGTCTTAAGTACGGTCGATAATACCGAACCAGGCTGGATTTGAGGATATCGCAGGGCGGATTCTTCAACGAATACACTCGACAGCATCTCTATCGAGTAGCCAGTAGACGTCCTTCTCGGATGCAGCAGAATGACCTCATTCTCATCCGTAACAACGGAAAGCAAATGAATCCCCCACCTGCTCTCCGCCCCATCCCTTGAATGCGGAGTCTTTCCATCCTCCGAAGCAGGCACCTTGAGCGCAGGACACCAGGCAAACGAAGTAATCGAAGACTTCCGCACCCGCTCCCCTTCCCTCTGCGTCAATGATTGAGCCCGCTGGCTCAACGCCTGATTAACAAGAGCCACTCGCGTCCACTTCCCCTGTGCACCGACCGCTTCAAACAGGGACAGCACCATATTGGACGTTAAGACTGCCAGCACACAACGTCGGGACTTTCCCACCCCCGGCGGCGACCAAGCCAGAGCAGCAACATTACTGAGGGACTGCTCGCGCCCGACAGAGAAATTGGCCCGCTGCTGAGCCAGTATCGTGGGCCATTCTTCGTCCGTGAATACATTTGTACGAACTCGTGCGATCTGCCACGCGCTTGGCTGGCGGGCGCTAGATGCAGGTTCTGCACCTTGGCTGGCTTTTTTGGGAGTCTGGTTGGAAAATTAGTACGCATTTCGTGTGCTTGGTATAAGGAGTTTGAGTGGAGATTCACCAGGATCTGAACATGGTCCCCGGCTGCCACGGCCAATTCGCCGTCTTCCGACCATGACAGGCAGTTTAGACAAGAGGGGAATAATTGGAGCTCGAGCGGGTCCGGCATTTTTCGTACTAGAGTGCCAAAGGGGAATAGAGCTCATGATCAAGATATCTGCAAAGAAGGAAAACTAGATCCCCGCAGCGACACTTTCGCGCGCTGTTGTAAGTTTGTTGCAAGTGAAATGCGCTTCAGATCCAGATGCTTTGCGGATGCTTTGGGTTAGCGCAAAATATGACCTCCCAATGGGGAATAGCTTGCGATCGCGCATCACGTGCTGTGAGGGATGAACTACGAGATGGTCCAAGAGAATTATCGTCAAATTATGTGAAATTGGGAATTCATGATTTGTGGATTATGTACATTTATAGTATTCTGACAGGTGATTGACGGGTATAAGATTCATATGGCTGCTTTTGTCAACTGAGTGATCGATGTTGCATGTCAAGGAACCAGCACACTATGTATTGGCATGACTGTGTGTTTACTCGACCTTATCCAATTTCTGGACAACCATGGCACTAGCGGCACCGCCACCATTGCAAATAGCAGCAACACCATATTCACCAGGCTGCAACTGATGCAGAAGGGTTACCAGGATACGCGATCCAGAGCTACCAAGGGCATGTCCAAGGGAGATGGCTCCTCCAAGAGGATTGACGCGAGCGTTCTCAAGTCCCAAGATCTAGGTGCTGTTAGAAAATAAATGAGGCTTGGCAGGGTTTAGGGAAACTAACCTTCTCATTGGCCTTGATGACGGCGGCAAACGCTTCGTTGAATTCCCACACGGCAACTTGCTCCTTGGTGATTCCGGCTCGCTCAAGAGCAATTGGGACTGCTTTGGCGGGGGCAACGGGGAAGTCCACGGGGTCAATGGCAGCATCGGCAGAGGAGACGATGCGCGCCAAGGCACGGTTACCCTGACCGAATTCACGGGCAATGTCCTTGCTAGTGATGACCAGGGCAGAGGCTCCATCGTTCATAGTCGAAGCATTACCAGCAGTCACGGTACCAGTACCGTCTCTGAGGAAGGCCGGCTTCAAAGTCGCCATCTTGTCGGCACGCAAGTTCTCGTACCCCTCGTCACGCTCAATCACGGTGTCTCCCTTCTTGCCCTTGACGGTGACAGACACAATTTCGTCCGCAAACTTGTTCTCGGCCCAGGCCTTCTGTGCTCTCTCGTAGGACCGAATCGCATACTGATCCTGGGCTTCCCGGGAGATATCGTATTTCTTCGCCGTGGTCTCGGCACAAATGCCCATGTGGAATTTGTTGTAGACATCCCAGAGACCGTCCTTAACCAAACCATCTTCCAGCTTCAAATCACCAAACGGAGGCAACTGGCCGGCACGAGGAAGATAGTACGGAACCCGAGACATATTCTCCATGCCACCGGCAATCTGGGCCTCCGCCAGACCAAGTTGAATGTTCTGCGCGGCCAGTGCGACAGCCTTGAGGCCAGACGCACACACCTTGTTGACTGTCAAAGCTTCCACGGTGGGAGACAGACCGGCGAAGATAGAGGCCTGTCGAGCTGGGGATTGTCCCACCGACCCTTGCAGCACGTTACCCATGTAGACATCTGTGATTTTCTCGGTGGGGACATTCGACTTGCTCATGGCCGACTTGATGGCCGTTGCGCCCAGCTCGGGGGCAGAAACTGAGGCGAAAGAGCCGTTAAACTGAATTCGTCAGTGAGATTGAAATTGCGCTGGCAGACTGGGAACCAGGAATTCCCACCTTTGCAGTCGGCGTGCGGGCACCGCTGAGAATGTAAGCATCCTGGATCTCCTTAAACACCGGGCGAGCAGCACTGAAGTGTCTCTGCCACTGGCGAGCGGGGAGTCTCTTGGAGAACAGGCGGGCTGTCTGCCCGGTCGATGCGTAGATGGCCATCCTGGAATGGATTAATGTGACGAGCGGAGTAGATGGACAGATGTGTTGAGAGGAAAAGGGATGAGTGAAGTAGTGTAGTCGTGGCTAACAACACTACTTACATGCCTTCTCCGCAATAACGTATTCCGCCTGTAGCCGCTTGTCCGCCCGCCCGCGTTGGACCGAGGCTGTTGGCCACCGCTGCGTGACTTCAGATCATGTGACCGAGCTGCAGACTATGACATAATCGAGTGCGATCGGAGGCCGCGCCCAAAAGAGCTAGTTTCCCCTTTGGGAGAGTTCAACCGACGGCGACCAGCGGACCGCCCGAGCAGCGGCGGGATCTGCACCACCTGCCCTTATTGTTCCCTCTCGCTCTCTTCCATTCCCGTGTTTTCCATTTCATCCCATCCGACTCTACTGACTCGCCACTTCCTACACTTCCCCTTCACTCTGCGTTCGGGTCTCCTTTTTGTTAAGGCTTCGCAGCCCTCATCGGCATCCCGGTATCTTCGATTCCATACCCTTTATCGCCCGATAGCTCCCTCCCGATAGTCTCCCGTACCCCGCCGCGATGTCGACCTCTGCTCGCCGCCGTCTCATGCGTGACTTTAAGGTCTGTGCTCCTTGCCTGTTCTCCTTACCTGTGCACCCGCCAATGTTTCTATATACCAAGAATTCTATCATATATCTTTCTGTCCAGTTTTGATCGATTTGGTCGACATCTAAATTTAATGGAAACACTCTCCTAGCAAGATCTCGTGCGCTAACCAAGTCTTGGTGAACAGCGTATGCAAACCGATCCCCCAGCCGGCGTTTCAGCATCTCCAGTAGCGGACAATGTTATGACTTGGTAAGGCTTCGTGATGCTGTTGAAAAAAGCCGGCGTTGACCATGCTTTGCCTCCAGGAATGCCGTGATCATTGGACCCGCCGATACTCCCTTTGAGGACGGAACATTCCGTCTGGTCATGCATTTCGAGGAACAGTACCCAAACAAGCCGCCAGGCGTCAAGTTCATCAGTCAGATGTTTCATCCCAATGTGTATGGCACTGGCGAGCTTTGCCTCGATATTCTGCAGAACCGTTGGAGCCCAACTTATGACGTGGCGGCAATACTCACTAGTATTCAGAGGTAGGTCTCATTGGCTGCCGTGCAGATGCAAGAATGTCAGACTAACAGCGTTCCGCCGCCACTCGCAGTCTGCTCAATGACCCGAACACCTCGTCGCCAGCCAACGTAGAGGCCTCGAACCTCTACAAGGACAATCGGAAGGAATACATCAAGCGCGTGCGTGAAACGGTCGAGAAGAGCTGGGAGGATTAATTGGCTTTTCCCTTTTCTTTTGATTCGTTGCCCCCTTTCTATTATACTAGCCTTTTGATACACCTCTCGACTCTTATATCTTTTATTTTGTTTGTTGATGGTCTGATTGAGGAAACGACTTTGTCCGCTCATGTCGAAAACAGACGACAAGCGGCCTGAACCGGGCTTGTCGGGTGCTGTGATCGGGGAATTTCTCACGCCGTTTGATGACATGCACAGCGCGGGGTTTTGGCGCCTGGTAAATATCTTTCTGCTCGGTCTTGTGGATAATTGCATTTCTTGTTTTGTTTCACGTTGCTGCATCCTAGTGCATAAGGCTTAGCTGTTACGGCCGTCATTATGATTAGTTGTCATTCATTACACTTCATGTAAATTCCATGGATTGTTCTAGTTCTATTCTATTTCAATTTCCATTCCTATATTATCATCTAGTTCATTCTCTTGAATATTGTACCTTCTCATCTGAAGCGTGCACAGTCCAAGTAAACATCGTCAAAGAGTGTCGGGCGGATGCCAAGACCGAGACTAACGGTTCGTGTCGAATCGCTCTTCCCACCGACTCCTCAAGGAAATCGTCGTCTCTTTGCTTCTCTGCGCCCTGCTCCGATCCGTGAAATTTGCTCTCACGGGAACGCCCCTTGCTGTGTGATCTCTCCGGGTCTCTCGTCGTGATTCTGCCCTGTAGCCCGGGTCGGTGATCCCTTCAGCTGCCCACGTTATCTGCGTGTGCCCGGCACGTGGACCCCTGACCCAAACAACGCCCACTCCGTCTTGGAATTCCCACCGACTCGACCTCGACCTGACCGGGTTGTGAAATACCGTCCGCAATCCTTCCCCCTCTTCCTCCCCCTTCCCCGTGGGGTGTGTTTCTTTCTCCTTTTACCTTGTTTCTTTTCTTCTTGGTTTGGAACTTGAGCTTGGGTCAGAGCGATCATGGCGTAAGTTTCTCCCCGCCTCGTTTCACCATACCTCCCGCCCGAAAAGCACACACTGACGATATATCTGGAATGACAGGTCATCTGGCCCCAACACCATCAAGGGTACGTGGACCGTGGACCGTGTTGCTTCCATTTCCCTCGTGCGGTCGATCCGACTAACACGTTTTTGCCTTGTCCTTTAGTCGTTGCGAGATTCCGACCGCAAAACAAAGTTGAATTGTCGTCCGGCGGAGAGCCCATCGTTGACTTTGAAAATGAGCAATCATGTCAGATCAGCGTGAGTCTACCCTTGGGTGATAGTTAGAGATGGATGGTGGTATTGACTGCGTGGATAGTCGCGCGAAGGCCAAGGGTCCTTCACCTTCGATCGGGTGTTTCCCATGGACTCGCACCAAAGCGACATCTTCGATTACTCCATCCGACCGACCGTGGACGACATTCTGAATGGATACAACGGAACCGTTTTCGCGTATGGTCAGACCGGTGCAGGAAAGTCGTACACCATGATGGGATCGGATATCGAGGACGATATGGGCAAGGGTGTCATTCCGCGTATCGTCGAGCAGATTTTCGCCAGCATCCTCACCAGCCCGAGTAACATGGAATACACCGTCCGAGTCAGTTATATGGAAATCTACATGGAACGCATCCGCGATCTGTTGGTGCCCCACAACGATAACCTGCCCGTGCACGAGGAGAAGTCGCGAGGAGTCTATGTGAAGGGCCTGTTGGAGGTCTACGTGTCTAGCGTACAGGAGGTGTACGAGGTGATGCGCCGTGGTGGTGCGGCTAGGGCCGTCTCCGCGACCAACATGAACCAGGAGTCTTCTCGGTCCCATTCGATTTTCGTCATCACCGTTACGCAGAAGAATTTGGAGACCGGTTCCGCCAAGAGCGGTCAGCTGTTCTTGGTCGATTTGGCCGGTAGTGAGAAGGTTGGAAAGACAGGTGCCAGTGGCCAGACTCTCGAGGAGGCCAAGAAGATCAACAAGAGTTTGAGTGCCCTGGGAATGGTCATCAACGCCCTCACGGACGGCAAATCGAGTCACATCCCGTACCGTGACTCGAAGTTGACTCGAATTCTGCAAGAGAGTTTGGGAGGTAACTCGCGGACCACGCTGATCATCAACTGCTCGCCCAGTAGCTATAACGATGCCGAAACCATCTCTACTCTGCGATTCGGTGTGCGCGCCAAGGCGATTAAGAACAAGGCGAAGGTCAATGCGGAGTTGAGTCCGGCGGAACTGAAAGCGCTGCTGCGTAAAGCCCAGGGTCAGGTCACCAACTTCGAATCCTACATCTCGGCTTTGGAGGTGGAGGTTCAGTCGTGGCGAAGTGGTGACCAGGTGCCCAAGGACCGATGGACTCCCGCCCGAGGAAATGAAGTGGTCAGCGCCGCGAAGGCGGAGGCGCGCGCGCCACGTCCTGCCACTCCCTCCCGACTTCAAGACACCCCTCGCTCCGAGACGCCGCGACCGGATTCGCGCATCGGCGATCGCTCTAGCACCCCTAGCATTATTCTCGAGAAGGATGAACGAGAGGAATTCCTCCGGCGGGAGAATGACCTGCACGATCAGATCGCGGAGAAGGAGTCGCACATTGCCAACGTCGAGAGAGGCCTTCGCGAGGCCCGGGATGAGCTCCGGAGTATGAAGGAGAACTCGGCACGCTCGGGCAAGGACAACGACAAACTGAACACTGAGGTCAATGAACTTCGCATGCAGCTTGAGAAGGTCTCGTACGAGGGCAAGGAAGCGTCCATTACGATGGACAGTCTCCGGGAGGCTAACTCGGAATTAACCACGGAGCTGGACGACGTTAAGCAACAGCTTCTGGATGTCCGGATGAAGGCGAAGGAGACCAGCGCTGCTCTCGACGAGAAGGAAAAGAAGAAGGCTGAGAAGATGGCGAAGATGATGGCTGGATTTGACCTCGGCGGCGACGTGTTCTCGGACAACGAACGGAAGCTGCAGGATCTCATCCAGCGGGTCGACTCCCTGCACAAGGTCAGCGAAACGGGCGAGACGATTGCCCCCGATGATCTCTTGGAGCTCCGAGCAAGCCTCATGGAGACCCAGGGATTCATCCGCCAGGCCGAACTCACCATGAACGATCGGGGTGAACTGGGCGAGCTGCAGGACAGCCGTAGAGTGGAGGTGGAGGAGAAGTTGACGAATCTCGAGCGGGACTATGAGAAGTTGCTGGAGCGAAACCTGGGCGAAGGGGATATCGAGGAGATTAGAGAGCGACTGGAGAAGGTCTACGTTACCCGCAAGGAGACCGAGCTGCAGGCCGCTACTGAGCTTCGAGGGGAGATTGCACGCAAAGACGAAGAGCTGGGCAAGCTGCGCCAGTCCCTTGCCGACTCCCAGTCTCGGGTGTCGACCAATGGCGCCGCCGGCAAGAACCTGCAGCAGCAGATCGCCGAGTTTGACGCCATGAAAAAGTCCCTGATGCGCGACCTACAGAACCGCTGTGAGCGTGTGGTGGAGCTGGAGATCTCCCTGGACGATGCACGCGAGCAGTACAACAACGTGCTTCGCTCTTCGAACAACCGGGCCCAGCAGAAGAAGATGGCCTTCCTGGAACGCAACCTGGAACAACTGACCCACGTGCAGCGCCAGCTGGTAGAACAGAACAGCAGCCTGAAGAAGGAAGTGGCCATCGCCGAGCGGAAATTGATCGCCAGAAACGAGCGGATCGCAAGCTTGGAGAGCCTGCTCCAGGAGAGCCAGGAGAAACTTACCCAAGCCAACCACAGGTATGCAGGCCCCTCGTGGTCTTATCTGCCCTTGGCCAGTCGCTAACATTAATTCTCCCACTTAGATTCGAAGCGCAACTCACCGCTGTCAAAGAGAGACTCGAAGCCGCGAAGCAGGGATCGACCAGGGGTCTTCCAGCTATGGATGGCAGTGGCGGTTTCAATTTTGGCGGCTCGAGAATTGCGAAGCCGCTCCGTGGCGGCGGAGGAGAGAGCAACGCTCCCATTGCCGGAGTCCAGTCTCAGGAGACGGGGAAACGCACCAGCTGGTTCTTTGATCGACGATGATCCACGATTTCTCTTCTGTTGTCTCTTTTATCCCTTCATCGAAGATATTTAACCCATACCTTTTCTTTTCTTTCCCTCCATTTCTTGGCACGCCGATATCCTCTCCATATCTTTGTTTCATCATGCCTTGTGCTTATGATATGAATCTGGCCGAAGATGAATGTCTTGGTTTTCTCTGTTTGCAAAGAAGTTTCTTTGTTTCATTTATGCTCGTGACGTTGATTTCCTTCTGTTCTCTTTCCTTCTCTTTATACATACATACGCCCACCCATCCATCCACCCCCTTTGGTACATTTAGATTCGGGTACTTTTTAACCCTTCGGTTTCTCATCGATACCCTTGTACATGAAAGAGAAAAAAGATAGAAAGCATTGCGTTGCGGGAATAGTAGATTGCAGGATGAGTCGGTTTTTCTTGGTTCAATAATTGCGGCTGAGAATCAAATTCGATCCGGGCGATTTTCTTGATTTTCTTTTCGTTGCTTTGAAAGATGATAGATGTTAGGAGTTTTTTTCTTTTTCTTTTTTTTTCTTTTTTTTTTTTTGTCTAGGATATTTGTCTCTAATTCAGACTGGAATTCGATTCGAGCGTGGTCAATGGATGATGACCGCTTTAATGTATCATGGGCTGAGGATTTGTTCCAAGAAATATATGTTGAGTGAGATCTTGGGTTGACATGATGTTTTCTCTTCGTTAAATGGAAGTATTGTACCTAGGGCACTCCCATTAGGTATAGGTCAGTGCAGGCCATAATAAAGTAGTACTCCATGAACACTAGGAGTAGTCTGATATCTTGTTTACTTGTTTAGTTGAAGAACATCAGTTATTCGTAGCGTCAAGCGGGATATACCTGCGGCATGAAGTGGGGCGAAAATTAGGTAGAGGCTAAGGTGGAATTTAGCCGGTTACGGGCTTTCGGTCCGACATATGCGTTTTTGATTTTTTACTTCTCCTTTTTATATGAATCTATGTGCACGGGTACAGATGAGATACAGGGACCGGAAATAACTCGTTACCTACGCTACTTTGAAGATTTCCAATCCTGGGGCTCGGAAGGATCGAGAAGCACTCAAGGCGCAATCGAGGACTTTGATGAGTATATCGTTGAAAATTTACTGCTTCCATGTACTATATTCCCTTTCTCTAGGCTTGAACTCGCTGCTTCAAAGATTGTTACTGAATGATGGGAGTTGCAGTCAGAGCTGCGTCGGTCAAAACACCACAACCCACGCCCGCATCCCTTTCATTACAATCGCCTACGACCAATTCATCAAGACAACGAATATCCACCTTATGTGCGATCATCATCGGTGCGTGATTTCTCGAAAATTCGATCGACGCGAAGCCGAGAGACGTCTCGAGCAAGACGGGGAAGATTGTAAGGATGATGATGGACATTTTCTACGAAACGAATCAAACGACAGATTCCAATTTCCAGAAGTTGCTCATATCTTACCGCATTCCCTAACGTCGGTTTCTTCGAACAATACGGACCTGGTAGGTAGGTTCATTGTAACTCACAATCATTATACTGAGATATCGCATAGAACGATTCGGAGAAAAATGCTCTCCGAATCCTGAATATGTTCGAGCACGGAATCACCCATCTTCTAGAATATCCGAAGATCGATAGCCCCATGAACGCTATGACGTTAACCCACGAGTATCATCAACTATTTGGCGCATTTAAAATATACTTTGAGCACACAGACAACCCATATCAATATGAGATCAAGTCAACAGAACGAAAAACATTTTTGAGTGACCCATTACTCCCTGTTGTTCGGACCCTGACCCTGAGCCCTAACCGTACCATTGACCCACCATCTCAACGACTTCTTGCCGTCCACCGTGGGATTGCTTTTATCATAAAGCTCAGTGGTGCCGGGGGTTATATAGAGGGCATCCTTCGTGATTTAGACGAAATGAGTGTGAAAGCAGATGGATCAACGAACTTGGGACATCTAGTGAAACTTCAACTTGGTGGCTGGTTAGAAACAAGTGTCTCTTGATTCATTGCATGTGGGGACAGTCAAGACCCTTCAAGAAGCAAATACGGTGCAGACTGGTGCTATGAGACTCACCGACACCCACAAGTTCGACGGCAGGTTCGATGCAGGGCAACGAGCCAAAGCTGACTAACCTCGACTGGGACTATCCAGTTCGAGTCACTATGATGATACATGGCACCGATCCCAGTCCATCCCCGAGGCCATAGTGCGCGCCTCTTGAGAAAGAGCATCTCAATACGGCAGACACTCGATTCTCGAGAACCTTCCAACTTGCGAGCAGGAGAGAAAACAGCCACAGCCAACAAGATATTCTGCTCTGCGTCTCATCAGATGTCATGACGAGCAAACTTACTTGCCAACCGAAGCCTTCGCCCCCGAGCATAAAGCAAAAACGGATACGGCACGAACAGAACACACAAGCAAGCAAGTAACGTGCAAGCCCATCCTATTCCTAGATTATGGAACATTGCGGTGGCGAACAAAGGAAAGCCGGCGCCGAATGATGAGCGAAGAAAATCATTACCCGCCAGCACGGAGGCAGCATATCGGGGATAGGCGTGTGCCTGATAGCAGAAGATTGAGTTGAAGATAAGAACAGCCCCTACTGTAAAGAGGAGCGACGCGAGAATTGGAGAGATCCAGTGGATCGAGGCAAAATTGCCGGTCCAGCCAAACCAGAATAGGGAGACTGGAAGGCACATCGCGCCGAAACAGGCTGGAGGTAATTGTTTTTCGGGGGATAGATTCCCTTCACTGTCGATATACTTGGATTGCCGGGTGTATTTCCAGTAGAAATATCCAGGTACTGCGACGCAGCAAGCACCGACGAGACAACCTAGAAAAGCCAGGCCATTTTCTCCGGGATTAAATCCTCGCAGCTCCTCAAAAATGATTGGGAATGCCTCGAACCAGATATATAGAATGCCATATATTAGGGCAATATAGAGGTTCATTAAAAAGACAATAGGCTCGAGAAAGCACAGCTGAAAGGGTCGGATCAATGCCTCAAAGATGACGCTCTGTGCCACAATTAGAAATAGTGATGAGAGGGCCATGGGAATTTCACTAACCGTTGTACTCATGTTTGAAAGTTCAATTTCAGCTTCACAGTAGAGATTCTGGTTACCGGTCACTTTTCGCAATCTCCGTGCCCGGCGATATAAGATGTTAGGAGCAAACGTCTCTGGAAGGAAGATTACGCAGAACACAAGGACCGCTCCTGACATCCAGAGTAAGGGCCATATTGTCCAGGTCCATCCCATGGCAGAGCTAGCGAAGCCCCCGATAACAGGACCCAGAACAGGAGCTGAAACCGCAAAACAGCCCCATATACCAATCATATAATCACGCACGAGAGGGTCCCAGATATCGCCCATGGATGCCGCACCCGTAGCAAGAACAGGGGAGCCAAAGAATCCAGTCAGAAAACGGAAGGCGAGAAACATGCCAAAGTTTTTAGCGTAAATAACACCAAAGTTAAAGAACACAAAAACCGTTAATGTACTAATATAGACGGGTGTTCTTCCTACGACAGGAAGCTCCCCCAGAGGAGACCAAAGCATGGGCCCTAATAACAAGGGTTGTAGTTTAGTAACATGTCAATTAAATCGTAGTAAAGGGTGAAATACACCATGTTGGAGGGCGCACTTACCAAGTCCGTACCCAAACACGAAGAGGGTCAATCCGAGTGTGGAAGCTACAGTACTGACGTGGAACTGCTCGCTGACACCGGGAATGCCAGGCGTATAGATCGCAGAACCAATGTAGATAGCAAAAGTGAGGACCCAAATCTGTACGCTAACGAAAATCTTCTTGCTGGTTGTCCAGGCCTGAGGGTTCTATATCGTTGTTAGTGTGGCGCCCGAATGATGTATCCCTCCCCGCGATTCAAACAAACCTCCTTGTCTCTGTCTCCTGACTCTCTCCAGCTAATTGTTTTGAACTCATCGCCAAATTTCAAGATGCTCTCCCGGCGCCCGTCAGAACGGGTTTGAGTGACCTGAGACAAAACAGTGTATAAGGTGTAGGAATCCGAAATATCCGAGATTACGTCAGGGTTGCCTTTCTCCTGGGAGTGTTGGACATAGAGGGACCAGGCTGAAGGGCAAACTTCTTCGGGATAGGGTAGCCATTTCCCTCCACTGAGGAGCCGGATTACCTTGCCGAATGTAGTGTCACGAATGATCTCCATGTCAAGAGGGAGGTTTCATGCTTTTCTCAAGTATACTGCATGTAAGTCATGTACTTATAGCAGCAGGCGATGTAGCTTTGAGCTTTGTTCGAAACAATTAGAGTTTAGTTAACACAATTAGTGTTCCGGATCCCGACTTCGGATTTAATTTAGGGAAAGCCTCGTAGAGCTACTAAGTCAGTCTAATTAACAGGCCCTTCACGATGGTAGCGAGTAGATTGGAATAGCAGATAGCTAGCACTAGTTAGTGGAGATGCTGTGCTTACAAACAATACGGGAAATGAAACTTGTTAGAATTTTTCTCAAGTGTAAAATAATGGATCTCGCGCCGCAAGGTGGCGGGACGAGCAAGTGAGCAACCCAAAGATGTTCAAACCGTCATTGATTTTAATGAAGAGAGTGAGAGCCTCAAGATTATCCGAAATGGTTAAGTTTTAGTAGCCAATGGTACCATTGAAGCCATATACTCGGGGACGTATGATGGCACGTTGCCCGCCAATGTTGAAGTTGTGGATACCACTGGTGATATCAATACTCCCGGATAGACTTCGGCACGACTCAGTACAACCCGGACCCAACCCAACCCAACCTAAAATGGGTTTTGGGTTCTTAGCTATAACCTAAAACTCAATGGGTAACCTATTAGGTTCCCAAAATCAAACAAACAGGCTAAACAGGCCGCTGTCCCTGTGACTGCATAATTAATGCATTTTCGACTGTAATACTTAGTATTTTATTTACGCACTTTCTCCAGACATGACAAAAAAGTCACACAATTATTCAAATTTTATAATATTCATCCAATATTGCTCAAAATCATCATCTGCTCTGCTTTTACGCTTTCTTCTAGACACCCGCAGCTGAGTTGTAGTCTCTGGTAGTTGTGGCTCACTGTCCATATTAATCAGACCAGGAGACACTTCTTCTACCTCCTCCTCCTCCTCATCACTAATTATATCAATCTCAATCTCAATCTCAATCTCTTCCAAATTCTCATGATTCTGCTCCCTTACTAGTTCAATCTCCTCTAATGTAAACAACTGTTCAAGCTGCTTTGCCTCAGTATCCTTTAGGTCAAATCTTGTTACACAGAGGAATAGCATAATTTCCTTAACTGTTTCGGACTTCAACCGACTACGCCGATAATGATATACATTTCGAGCAGTATTGAAGAGCCGTTCAACCCCAGCGCCAGTTGCTGGGATAGAGAGAATATCTCGGGCAAGTAATGCGATCGCAGGGAAACGTGATTGATTATCTCGCCAAAATTGAAGGGGTTCGGTATCAACCAGATCTAGAAAGAGAGAATCAGTAGTGTAAATAGAGTATAATATAATAGACATACCGCTATCAAGATACTGAGTTACCTCATCTCCAACTGGCTTTTCTGATATCTTATTCCCATTTAGCATTTTATTCAGCCATGAACTCGGTTTGGTTTGTGCTTGAAGGTTTTGGGAATCTTGACCGCTTGAGAGGCGCTCTTGATATGGAATCAATGCAGCTTAGAATGCTTTCCGTTAGGTATTATGCCACTGAGGGTCCCAACCTTCGGAGAGAAAGAATTGGAATCGGCTATCAGGCGCAAGCATTGTACCAATTGCATAGATATGTCCTCGGATACGGTCAGTTTGAGAGTAGTACTCATCAAGCTTTTGTCGGCAAGCCTTTAGAGATTCAAGCATCTGCTGCTTCCATAAGACACGCTTTCTTTTGAGCTGATTCATTGACTGTTCCAGATGTTCAAAGAGTGCCTTATAGAGCTTAAAGACAAGATGAGTTGTGACTTCCTTTTTCTTTGAAAGCTCTATTGTATAGTCAAAGAATGGCTGAGTGATGTAGAGTAGATAATCAATTTGACGCCACTCTTTATCATTCAGGAACACCTCCTTACAGTTATACTGTTTACAGAAGGGCTTAAAGAAGCTGCGTAGTCTTTTAGCCCAGCGAAGCATCAGAAAAGTAGAATTCTATCGAGTCTTCACATCCTGAATAGGAACCAGCTTTGGCTCTGCTTTTTGAAGACAGAGAAAGTTCTCACGGCGCTGAGACTAGCATAAACGCACCTTATTCAGGGTATATGAGATCTCATGCTTCTGATGTTGAGCATTTGTCTTTACTGTTTTTGATTGTGAATCGGTCTTTTTTGTTTCTGCAGTTTCGTTTTAAGGAACAGCCTTAAAAGAAGCTGATTCAAACAAAGCTGGATCACATGGGCGAGACATGGAATTCAGATAAATGTTGTGCTAGTAGGTAGTGCTTGTTGAATGGCATCTACTAGTGTCTTGTTATTTGTTGCATTATCAGTTGTTAATCCGAATATCCGGTCTTGAATACCATGCTCAAGTAGTGTTTCAAAAAGTACACCACTTAGATTTGAACTAGTATGAGAGCCACGAAGTGGTTTAAATCCAAGTAGAGCCTCTTGGTATACCCAGTTTATATCAACAAAATAGCCTGTAATAGCCATAAATGCCTGATTGAATGGAGAAGTCCAGCAGTCTAGCGCGATTGATATTTTTGAGCCATCCGGAAGCGTTCGGAGAATTGATTTCTGTCGTTCTTAAATTATATTATGTAGACGGCGACGTATTGTGGTAGCAGAAAGTATAGAAGGAAGTGATAGCGCAGAGCGAGCTAATCGGAAAAGATTATGGAATGTCAGTTGTTCAATAAGTTGGAATAGAAGTTGGTTCATAGTAAGAAACTGTAGAAGCTGCTCCTTACATATAGATTGTGAGAAAGGAGCTTCGATCTGTATTTCATCCTATTAATCCCGATAACGTATTTCACAAGCGAGTCGGCCACACAAAATGAATCGGCCACCTGTATTCCAAATAAACCACTACTTTTTTATACTCGAATATCTCCACAACCAAAAGAGATAATTATATAATCTAAAGTAATATATCAGAATTATCTACTAAATATTATATATATTTATTTTCCTAGTCTATATACCAAAAATTATTCTGTAATATAAGATTATCCAAAATTACAAAATATACAAGCGTAATTTATCTTACCTAGATATATTGTGAATAGAATTAACTGATATCGACATATACTACTTAAATAAGTATTTTAAATATATACATACAATTTTAGCTTATTTAGACTTTTGGTTGTGGAGATATTCAGGTATAAAAAAGTAGTAGTTTAAATGGAATACAGGTGGCCGATTCATTTTGTGTGGCCGACTCGCTTGTGAAATACGTTATATTAGCATTGATTATTAATAGGACCTGAGAGCATACACCTTTCTTAAGAAATTGTGTGATTTTTTCTCTCCCTCCTTGCTGAGCTTTAAGATAGGCTGCTGTTTTAAGATGCTTTTGCATAGTTGATGTACTATGGTAGCCCTTCTGACTCGGTGTAGGGGAATGAGGATGCTCTAGGATTCTTAAACAACGTTTACACATAACCTTTGGTGCACCATCTTTGCTATGTGCAACCTGGTCAAAGTGTTCCCAGATGCTTGCATTACGACTTGAATCCTAGAGCATCTTGCTTTTCCTTCTATAGTCAGTTTGTAACTACCATTTCACCCATTCCTCATGTACTATATTATCGTATCGCACATACGTCGGTCTCCGACCGGGTCCAACGCGTATAAGAGAGGAAGGGATCGGAAGGGGATTACTTGGTCAAAGAATGTCAGCCTCACTAGGCTCAATAGCATCAAGGGTAAACTGGCTGCCTGTTGGGGTCGTGAGATGCCGTGAGGGTGTAAGATAATTAAGATTGCCTGTGTCCCTAACATAAAGAGAGGGTAGAAAGTCAGAATGCTGGCTTTGAAACATATTGAATAAGGAGAAGTATGATAACTTGATAAGGTAAGAGGAAAGAAAGAGAATAGAAAGACTGAAAGAGTACATGCATTGATCAGAAAAGGGTATTCAGACAAAAGTACCTAAGACTAACATTAAAGAAGGTAGATCAAAAGAAATATACTATAATGGCTTCTGATTGGCTTTACTAACTAGGTTAAACTGGGTCCGACCCAAAAAAAAAAAAAAACCAACAAAACCCAATGAAAACCCAATAGAACTGTCACGGTGCAGACCTAGGAGTACCGTAAGCGCTACTACGCCCGCCAGAACCCGATAGAACCGCCAGGTGGACCTTGGAGATGACCTCTAAGAGAAACAATTCAAGCACAGAAAGCCTTACTCATACTTTTTTTCTTTGTGTAGTTGAATTAAACGGTATTGTTGATTAGAATCTGGACGGCAACTAGGAAATATGTATGTCATACCCACTCTTGAAGAGCACATGTACCTATCAAAGAGGAATGTGTACCTGTACTTCTTGTGGGATCGCGTGCAGAGTCAGTCACGCTATTTCAATGTTTCAAGCCACCAACACGAATTGTAATATTAGCGCGCTAACCAACTCGCTCCGAACATGCATAGACTAACCGTTAGTTGACCAACCCGATTCCTTGAAATATGCAAATATGCGGGGATTGACATGATGGTTTCCTTGCTATGGTCTTGCTTCTGACCAGGAATGTTTGCGATCTACCCCAGTGCGTTGTTCAAGACACATGGAAATCATCCGAACGAGGGTGGCCTGACAAGGAGCCCATTGTGTTGACATATCCGATGCGGAGCTGTCACCGCGGCATTAAAAATGATCGAGAATGGATGAACCAGGATGTACATCCCATATTGGATGAAAGAGATCGGCGATGAAAATCGCAATCCTCCTGACAGCAAGTGTCATGTGGGGATGACTATTGAAACCAATGGCTAATGCAGAGGGCTCTGTTTTTGGGGTTGCTATCTTGTAAGCGAGTGTTTGCTGATCTTGGCACGGATGATCCGCTCTGATAATGGTAGTGTCTAGCCGTTAGTGGTCCTTAAAGTGGATGCCGATCAGGTACGAGAGAAGACGTTATGTATTCCTCCGAGCTGACGACCCTAAAATCTAGGACGGGCAATCATTGCCCGAGGCCCGCATAACCGAAATCCAAGCTTCCTTCTCCTTTTTGTGTTCTTGTTTTCTCGTGCACTCAGGGGACTTCACGTCCCCGCAGTTGGTGCTTTTTCTTGGTGTGATGTGGCTTATTTTTAGGTCTTCGTGTTCAGATAGTGTGATTTTTTCGCAGCATTGACTTCCCTGGGTAATGATTGGCATTGGCTTTGACCGAGGACACCCGGAAAGGAGCGCGGTGACCCAAAGGTTGGTCGGGCCCTCCTGAACCATAGATAAATATTGTATGCATCCTCAACCCAGAGGAACGGCTGTCATGAAATTTTTATCATAGCAACATCCTTTGCATTGGTCTCTCCTCGACACCTCCTCAATCATGACCCGAACTTCAATATGGCGGGCTGCCATCACAGCATCCCTCGCAGCACTTGCAACGGCAGATATTTGTTCTAAGCTCGAGGCCGAGGGAGTAACAATCGATAGGCGACTTACAATCGACTACAGCCAGGATTTGAAGGATTACTGGTCCACGGCGTGTGGAGACCTAAAACCGACATGTATTGCTGCTCCGTCGAGCACCCTCGAGATGTCCCAGATCGTCAAGGAGCTGCATAACTTCAATACTTCATTCGCGGTGAAATCTGGAGGTCACATGCCCAACAACGGCTTCGCCAGTATCCAGGACGGACTGCTTGTTTCCACAAAGAACCTCGACCAGGTGATTTATAACCCTGATGATAAGACTGCCATCATCGGACCAGGTCTGTCATGGGAGGAAGCGCAGAAAGGACTTGACGACGTGGACGCCGGCCGAGCAGTGGTTGGTGGTCGTCTCGGCGGCGTGGGTGTGGGAGGTTACATGCTCGGAGGTTAGGGCTTCCTGTCCCCGTGCCACCAACACATCTAACAAAGACCAGGTGGACTGAGCTTCCTCAGTTCCCAATACGGCTGGGCTGCCAACAATGTCGTCAACTTCGAGGTCGTGCTTGCTAATGGCACTATTGTCAATGCTAACGCAGATGAGAATACCGGTATGTAATTTCTTTTGTCTCGACCAACAAACACCGAATAACCAAGGAACTGTCTAGACCTGTTTGGCGTCCTCAAAGGAGGCGGAAACAACTTCGGTATAGTCACCTCGTATACCCTGGAAACGCACCCGATCGGCAAAGTCTGGGGTGGAAATTACATCTTCAAAGCTTCTCAGACGGCCGAGGTGCTCGAGGCCGTGCGCGATTTCACTGACAACTACCCCGACGACAAGGCGGCCGTCATCGTGACGGCTGAGCATGCCGCTCTCCTGAACACGTGGATCATGTTCTTGTTCTATGACGGACCTGAACCTCCACAGGGCGTTTTCGATAAGTTCAAGGCTTTGAAGCCCGCGGACACTACCAAGACTTGGGATAGCTACTATGATCTGGTTCGTCTTCTATACTTTCTTTTTCCAGCTCCGTCAAAACTAACGACACCTAATAGTTGAAAAACAACGACTTCTTTATTCTGAAGTATTTATTCCCATTTCCCTCCCTTTGTGGTATGATCCGAACTAAACCAAAACAGAGGCCAACGCTACACAATTGCCACCGAAACCACCCCCGTCCCTAACAAAACTGTCGGCGCGGAGGTAATGCAGACTTACTACGACCACTGGTTTAATGTGACCAAGTCTGTGATTGGTGTCCCTGGTGTAATCGGCTCGCTGGCCCTTCAGCCCATGCCTAGAGCAATCACCAGCAAAGCTAAAGAAAGAGGCGGCGTAAGTCACACCGAACTATACCGTAACCCGACCAAATGACAGGAATCCAATTGACAAAATCGTATAGGATCTTTATGATTTCCCGGACGACACTAATTACATTGTTATCGAACTCGACTTCTCCTACTCATTCTCGGCGAGTGATGAAAAAATTGATGCAGCGAACAAGAGACTGTTTAATGGTTTCGACGATATTATTTCAGACTACATCGATGCGGGCGTTCTTCCGGACGCGCGTAGACCAATGTTTATGAATGATGCAAACTACGCTCAGGATTACTGGGGGAGATCGAAATTCACGGATTATGCAAGGGGGGTGAGGGAGATCTATGATCCGGAGATGTTCTTCCAGAAGAGAACGAGTGGTGGATTTAGGTTGGGGTAGGTGTTGTTGTTGATTTTCATGCTGTATATAATTCCCTTGGAGCCTTTTTGAGCGTTTCTTGACTCTAGGTTTCAGATTAATTTTATTTAATATCCGCATTAATGCGGATCATGACCTCTTCAAGTACGTCATCCTCGCTATCAATGACAACAGACTAGGAGTTGGGCTCGTTACTCACACTCGGCCCTGCTCCCACACTGGCACGTACATTCAAATGCCCCCCCCTATCCATTGACAGCCGAGAAAACAAACCCCTATGTGGTATATAAATTTGACAGGTAATCCAACAAGATCGGGTCTATTTCTTCAATGAATATGAATGTTACAGGACAGAAAGTCTCGATACAATCTCATTGCCCCCTGACAAACACCGCTCCTTGTACTCAGCCACCTTCTGAACTAACTTTCTCAGAAGTTGCATATCCTTTGCGGCAATAGTCATGGTAACAAGGCTCCATTCTCCTGCGTGAATCCACGCTGTAACCAATAAGCTCCCTTCGCTTAGTTCATTTCTAAATACTTCCTCAAAGGCCTCTCGCGTACACCTGATCCGCTGATTCGCCAGTCCAGCAGCCTCCACAAAGCCCCTTCGAGCGAAATGTCCCCGCAGAGGCCCGAGATGATACGTCCCGGTTATCCGAACATTGAGATCAACAACAAGCTGTTTCCCCTGATCGTCTGTCATGACGTCAATTCCAGCAGGCCCAAAATAGCCATGTTCGTGCAAAAGCCGCGCCACGGTGTTGATTATCTCACGGTATCGCTCCTCTAAAGCGGGCTGCTCATTATAAGAGACAAATCCTCCCGACCAGCAATATGACCCATCGACTTCCTGTCTAGTACAGCAGTTGAAGATAGATCGGCCGAATTGCGTAACGAAAAATGTGATGCCCACTGTTTCTCCCTCAACCATCTCCTGTATGATCACGTTGCAAGGATTTAGATGTGCGTTTGACGGCGTTAGATCTCGCAACATCTTCCCGACCGTGTCTTGGAAAACGGTGTTTGCGGCTGTTCGTTCGCTTTCTGTGCGGATAATGAATGTTCCTTGGCCTATGCTTGCCACGCGTGGTACCTTCAGGATAAATGGCAGTGTATTTTCGCGGATTGGTTGGGTCATACGCCTGAATTCTTCATGGATCTCCGATTCGGTGAATGGGCGGTTTGGTGTCAGGCGGGTGTCAATGACAGTTGTTTTGGGTGTTGGGAGCCCCGAAAGCGCAAGTCCACGCTTTGACAGTAGATTATAGTGAACATCAGGATTTGTGACGTGCGGAAGATGAGAAATCCAGTCCAGGGGTACGGTTATTGCAAGACGAGAGTTGGCGCCGAGATTCAGAGATGCTGGGTTTTTGATGAATTGTGGATGTGGTCTTTGCTGTGCTGATATTTGATTGAACACATTGTATGTATCTACGTGGTGAGGCTGCACGGGAGATGATTGTTTGTGGTCGAGATCAAAAATGGCGATGCGCATAGGACCAGAGCAGAAGCCAAATCGCTGCGATGTGCCGTGGAACAGCTGTTTGGCGAGCTCTTCTCTATCGCAAATTGGACAGAGAGGCGACTGAATGGGAAATTTCGTCAGAACCGGCGTTGAGGATGTTGGCTGAATATCGACTGGTGGTGCATAGGCATATACGAGAACAATGGCTTCCTTAGACGTATTTTCAAGGTTGTAGAGATCGCAGAGGGTGTAGTCGAGGACTACAGATTCTTGAGGATTCATCGTGGCAGCTGATCGAGTAAAGAAGATATTGTGCTTAGGAAATCTGGCAATTGTGATATTTTAAAATATTGATGAGTACGGAGTACTTGACCGCTCATTCATGTCGTGGCCAATTGTGATCTGTCTGGTGTATCTAAGTTTACGCGCCCTCCTTGCTTGCTTAATTATTTAACCAGTCAGAATTCCAGGTCCAATGTCAAGTTTGCTTGATACTCTTGGGGATATATCTCCTAGGTCTTCCTCTTCTATTATTACACATTTCACCCTGTCAAATAATCTATTTCACATCTTGAATTGCTTTCTTTCCACCTCTCCCAGTGCCCTCTGCAACCGCTCTATACCCTCCCTCAAAGTCACTTCATCACGACTAAATCCAATGCGAAACCGACTTTTCTCCTTTGATATGAATGCCTAGACCTGTTAGAACATTTCTCTGGCAGGTTCACTTTATCGAACTTACTTTATTTGGCTGCATGAACACTCCATATTTAATCATATGCCGCGCCAATTGAATATCTGGCGACTCTGAATCGCGTTCGCTGAACATGTTCGTCCAGCGACTCAGATCAATCCATAAGTAGAAACCAGCAGTTGATGGAACATACGGAATTTTGTACTCTGTGAGAAATTTGATGGCCTTTGTCCGTGTGGCGATCAAGCGTTGACGAAGTGTGGGGATGTATACGTCGTCAATGAAGGCATGGTCCGACAGGAATGAAATAAAGAAATTTTCAGACAAATAGGAGAAGCGAGTAAGGCGACTGTCGAAGGTTTTAGCATTCAAGGTTTTCTTAATTTCAACAAATTGTACAAAGTTCTTACCCAACGGCTCGCTTGAGTGTGGTTAGAACATGCTCGTTGTATGAAATCATGAAGCCCATTCGAAGTCCGTTGAAACCAAAGTCCTAAATTACGCGTTAATTTTGAAACAAACACATTTAGTTGATGCGAAATACCTTGCTTATCCCGTACAAGACATGCACGTTGTCTGTTGGCATCTCATCCAAGCTCAATGCGCTTTTGAATGATTCCCCGAACGCCGATAGCGCATAGATCTCATCCACGACCAAATGCAATCCACGCTGATGACAAAATCGCAGTATCGCTCTCATGACATCCGTATCGTAGCATCTTCCGACTGGGTTATGTGGATTGCACATCATAATCACTCTGACCGGATTCCCCTGCGCCTGCGCTTCATCGATAGAGGATGAAAATGTAGCCAATAGATCATCGATGGCAGAAGCGCTGAATTGATCGATATCCTCAACATCGGCGAAGACACATTTCACTTCATTTCGTTTCTGTGAAACATCTGCTAACATACCATATGCTGGAGTTGGCATGAGTACGGTCTCATTTTCATCGAGAAGAGTGTAAATCAGGGAGTTGATCAGGCCATTGAGGCCATTTGAGCAAATCACATTCCGTTGGTCGACCAGTTTCGAGGGCGAAAAGTGTCTATTTATGAGATCTGCGACCGTCGTTCGTAGCTCGGGCGATCCGGTAGAGAAATTGTAATGGTTTGCTGGGAATATATGGGTGAGTATACTTCTTGCTTAGGGGGGAGGGGGGCTTAGTCTACCTAGTTTGGGGTCAACTCTATAACTCTCGGTGAACTCCGTAAGCATGTCCAACATGAGGGGGTTCATGGTCGTTCCGAGGTTGACAATGCCATTTGGATTGGTCTCAGAGTCATAGATGTCATCATCTACAATGTCGTTCACTTCTGTTAAGGCGCTATAGCCACTGTATTTTAAGGCGCGCTTGGATGGGCCGAACGATCGCGTCATTGTCGACTTTCAACGAAGAATATCGCACGGAAGAGTGGTACAAAAGTTGAAACAAAATGAAAAACATATGGTGTCTCTGTATTCCAAAGCGAGATATTATAAACCGCTCAATGACGGTTTCAGAATTCGGCATTGAAATGGCGGTAAAAGGGATTGAATTCTCCTAGATCACACGCAGACACCGCGGACACTTACAGGTCATATGCCTGACGATCGATCTCAAGTAGCGGTGTGGGCCACGGAAGACTCACCTTTGTGAACATAAGATGCAAGCACTCTCTGAATGTTAAATGGCCTGAAAAGTAATTCCTATTGGAAAAGATAGAAACTGTGCAGGAAGACCGGTCATATGGAGGTCTCCCTGCCTCCTTGCTCTAATCACTAACCGCCAGTGTCTGTCGAACACACTCCGGTCACTACTCCTCCAAGTCATTAGCAAACTTATTTGTAGTTTGCTTTGAATCTGTGAGCTCTTGATCTGCAGTCCGATGAGTCTTGTAACTTTCTCCCTTCCCCCATCACACCAATCCTCCCAACAAAAGCTGAGGCACACCGAGTCCCTCTCCACGCCATCTTGATCAGCATAGTATTCTGGCATTGACCTCCCATTGCCGACTTTTCTTCTCTGACTGGAATTTTTCATCACGCGGTGCCACCGCAGTATTCCTTCCTACCGAAATCCGAATTTCGTCAAAGCTGCGACGGAGGCTTTGTTTCTTGTTGAAGCCAACGCCTCGGCCCTCAAGAGACCAAGCCCTCCTTCAGCAGGACTGGCAAGAAAATTCCACAGTAGCAGTCCCAACGCATTGGTTGTAGTGCCTTTCCGATGGAACATCGGGATCATGACTGTGGATGTTATTCTCACTATTCTGTGATCAGGGGATGCCTCGTCACAGGTCACTAGACCGGCGAGTTCGCTGTCTGGATCAACAGCGCTCGGGGGTGATCACTTGTCGATTATGGCGAAGCACATTTCAGTCGGGCTGGTTTGGAACCGAGCTATAAACCCCAAGAGCTCGGAGAGTGTTTTGAAAGGCCCTTTATTCATGTACTTATATAGTTCTGGATAAGGGTGGGTGGCTTCGAAATAGACAGCGGCATGGTGGGCCTGGTTGAATTTTAGAAGAATTGCTCACTCTTACTGGAAAAGTTACATTACCTTGAATGGAACAAATTTGACAATGTTGTCTTCGAGATGTTTTAAGGGGTAGCAAAATCCGTTGTCTTGAGCGTCCATGATGTTGGGATTGGAGGCGAATAGTTTGTTTTGGGGATGGGATTATGTTAAAAGGTCTGGCCGATGCGCAAATTAAACATAGTTATTATATATCAGAAATCCATGCGGCATATTTGGCTGAGAATATAAAAAACCCTTCTGGTATCACCAATTCCGTGTTTTGCCTTGATTGGAGTGCTCCTTCGACCGCTCTTTTGCCCTGCAGGTGAACCACCAGCATAGCTTCAATGATAAGTCTAGGTGCGGAAATGAGCAATCTAGTATAATTCAAAGACCAGGGGCAACCTTGGAGAAAGTTTTCGGAATTCGCCACATTATATTAATATCCATGACCTGGTTGCATACGACGTGTTCAACGTAGATGGTGAGGACTATGTTGAATTGAAGAAAGTTCCCTGAGGTATAGTAACTGGAAGTTACGGACCTTCGCAGACTCAACTCTGTACACACCTTGATATTTTCCAATAAAACGAGGGAAAAATCGCCCTTATTCTTCTTCATCTAGCTAAGCCCTGAATGAAAAATTCTATTCCGGTTGAATTAATGAGTTTATACAAGTGATATGCTTTGATTCTAAAAACAAGCTATGTAATGATTGAGTACATGACCCTAGTTGATGTTAAAATTGCCGTATTAAAATCATTGGTTTTACAAATTTACCTAATGTGTTTTCTTGTACATGCTGAATCACCTGCACGCTAATACCTATGTTGGGTACAGTTATGAACCTTTGCTATTTTATGAGAATTAAAGACGACCACATAGTCTTCTTTTGGATATCTAAGAATATAAGCGACAAAAAAATCGAAAACAAGGAAATTGAAAAGAATAGAAAAAAGGCAAGACCACAAGATAATTATAGATCTTTTAGCCAATGAAGGTTCTAGTTGATTACTACATTTGCTTGTGAAAGCGTCTATATTGTCTCGGGAACTTATTCCGACGGTTTCATGGTTGTGAATCCATGTGGTTAATTTAGTAATTGCCCTAGCGAAATGCTTTCCTTTGCTCGATTCACGGAGATTGGATTGGTTATTTATATCGTGCTCATCTCCACAAAATCCTTTCTCCGAGACATGATCGGTATATCCCGAAAAATCTGTCTGAAGCCTTAAGGTATTTTCCCAATTCCACTTTCCTCATGGTCAAACACTCTTCTAACCCCCGAACGGTTGGCCTGGAGACTCGAATTATATTCCGTATGCGGGATTGCAGATATTGCAATCATTTCCAGGTAGAGAGCGATTCATGCAATCTCTATGGAGTAACTAGTTATAAATGAAATCTAATCTAAGTGTCTCACTCACCATGAGGTTGCCCCACTTCCATGTCTTAGTTTCTCCTATCTTCCGGCGAGGCCGGTGTCAGGCACAGAACAATTCTCCGGCGTCTGTTTATTATATAACGACGTGAAATCCCGTTGGCGACAGATGTGACTAGCATCCGTCATACCTTCCATCTCCTTAAAAACATTCAGAATGCCTCACCTCCTGTCCATAGCGGCTGCGGCTGCGACCTTGCCCTCTACGTTGGCGGCAACTCTGGATCTACCTATCCACTTTTTCAACAGCTATGTAAGTCAGCCGGACTATTATATGATGATCTTCCTGTTAAATCCTCAATAGGCGAATGTGGAGGTAGAGATTGGCACACCCGCCCAACCCTACATGCTCCATTTCGATACGGGATCGTCGACCGCATGGATGAACGACAAGAACTGTAGCGACGCTTGTCCTAACACCTCTGGGTATGTTGATCGCGCATTCTATATAAGACAAGGCAAAACTGACGAACTTAGACGCGAACGCGCATACTATGATGTCTCGGCCTCTTCCACCGGTCACTCTCGTGGCGCCCGCGCCAGCATGGACTACTTCGGAGGAGTGACCGCAGGCCCAACCTATGATGATAAATTCGGCGTTCCCGACGGGGACTTCACGTGGACACAGTCTTTTCTGTCCGCCGACCAGAGCTCCTGGAATAATCTGGGCTCGGATGGATTCATGGGATTGGCTTTCAACTCGATTTCGGACGGAAACACCACTACCGTCGTGGAGACCTTGATGCAGCAGGGCAAGCTGGACGAGAGCCGTTTCGGTATTTACTACGGCAAGGAGTTCAACAGCACCGGCTCCAACCCCGATGGCGTTCTCACCATTGGCGGCTCGCGCGAGGAAAAGTATGTTGACGGGGAGATCACATATGTGCCTCTCCGCTACGAAACTCCCTACGAGGTCTGGCGCACAGTGCTGAGCTCCATTACCGGCACGACCGAGAAAGGAGGAAAGAAGCAGTCTGCCAGCAACAGTCTGGGCATGTACGGCAACGCGGTTTTTGACACCGGTGCCGGGTCAATCTCTGTGCCCAACAGCATCATCGATGAGATCTACGAGTCCATTGGCTGGGACTATGACGCAATTCTTCACGGCAAGCATATGCCCCTTTGCTCGGAGTTCAACTCGTCTTGGTCTTTCACGTTCAACTTCGGTGATGGTGCACTTGACCCCAATTTGACGATGACTGGTGATCAGTTCGCCCGCCCTGGATTTGCTTACAGGGATGATGCCTGTTACCCTCCCTTCGAGGGTAGTGATAATGAGGGCATGGCACTCATTGGAACTCCTCTGATGCAGCAGTTCTATACTATCTTTGACTTTGGCGGAGACCATGCCGATGACTTCCATCCCCGGATTGGATTTGGTCAGCTTAAGAAGGATGTGAAGCCTTAGACGGATAGCCTATGCGTTCTTATTGTACCACTATAGTGAATACTGCCCGAAATGATGGAAAATATCTGGATGCATATTTGAGCCAGGCCAGTTTGAATATAATAGAGTATGTGCGAAATAAATATGGCCCAAGGGAAGCAAGGATTAATGGCAAAGACTTTTCATATGAGAGAAAAGAAAATCAATTCTTCTTCGAAATCTAGTAACCACAACATGCAAAGATGTGTCGCAGCCAGACAAAATTGTAGATCAGTCCTCGTCAATTTCTCTGACAACAATATCTTCACTCAATTTCTTAATCTTTTCGATCGCTTCGGTGCTGACCGGCCTGGCAACAGTGAAAATCTCAACTACAGTGTTTGATATCAAGCCACTTAATGTTCGAATACTCACGGGGGATAGCAGGTTGGAGGAATAGCTCTATTGCAGATCCAGTAGGAGACTCCAGTGTCATCTTGAATAATCCTACAAGGCAGGTCAGTAGAGTTAAAGTAGTATTCAGTTTTGTCCTCACATTCGGACTTCTTCATCATGCTGCCCCCACGCATCAATCGTTTTATAGGTATAGAAAATTCTCTTTTTCCGGCTAATGTGAGCATTCATCCGGGTGTCCTTGCATTGTCGGGGATCATACCTTTCGGTCGGACATTTTGATCGAGGTTCGGAAAATGTGATCTTTATATATCGCGTGAGATGGGGTTCTGGCAGTAAATATGGGATAGAGGTTAACTTTCGAGCAGAGTAGGGTTCCGGTGGTTGCAAAGCCTTCAGAAAATAGGATGTAAGAACTGTGCGGCACAAGGCAAAGGTGGAACGAACGCTGTATTTATGTCAAGGGGCGCAGATCGGGCACGCTGTCCCCACCACCCCATAATCCAGAGATTTCCGAATGCAGATCACCCCATGATAGCAAACAACGCATTTTCGGGGAAAGGTTTTCTTTGGTCAAGCCATGTACATGCACGAATGCTCGTCAGAGTCGGAAGATCGGAACTACTTCCCGCGATCACTATTGGTCAAGCCTGACTACAGCATATCTTATGAGCTATAAAATCCCACTGCCTAGATATTATGAGAATATGACGTTGAAAATTAGCAAATATCCTCAGCATAGTATCATCTAGCCTATGGTAGCTCTTTCCAGTTGGATCCGATTAGCAAACATGCGTCTAAAATCCAGGCTGCGCTGAAAGGCCAGTCAACAGAGAAATAAATGCGTCATTACACATCGGCACTGATGTCTTGTTCCATTGAGAGAAACATCTATTATCTGTTTATATCTTTCAAATGAAGGAAATGCTTATTAGAAGGCTGCGAAGAGAGGCGATAGGCACTAGAATATCTAACAAAAGACCATCTTACGTTTAGATAAATTCTTCCTAGGACAAGGTTGAATAAAACCCAGAATTGCGTTCATATTTTCCAGAGAACAGTAAATTCATATTATGTAACTTGCACTGACTCTCTTGACACAGGTTTTATATTTCTCCTTTTTTTTTACATGGTCTTGGCACACGTTGAGTATTTAAACTCTGTTTCCACTGATTGATTAGAGCTCATTCCACACAATGACAATGGCCAAGCAGTAGCCTTAGGGTGCAATGTGATCTTAAAGAAATAAACATAGATTTCCCTTGAGCAAGGCTAGATGATTACTGGAATTGATATATGTTGACCAAGACATGCACGGTTGGGTTTTTCTTGGCCAGGAAATACTTGAACAAACATTAGCCATTACGATTGTTTAAATGTAGATAAACTAAAAGAAATAAATAAGAAAAGACATGAATTTCCTAAAACATCCGATAACCCTCAAATCAAAGGAAGCAACTCAGGTTCGTGAATATCAAGGAATTAAAAAGCTTTCAATCCGTCAATCAACCGGTGATCATAGGTCAAGGAAAAATCATTTGCTCTGGATCATTTGCAGTCATCAAAATATGGCAGAGCGCAAACGCAACATACTGGGTGGATTCCAGCTTTTTCGTGAACGCGAACGATTCGGCCCCTAGTGAAGGCTCAGCGCAAGAGATTCCAGTTCATTATGTTACAGGTGCTGAGGAATTGGGGATAATATAGGAGTAGGATAAATCTTATTCCCAGAATCAATTTAAACCTTCATACTTATATTTCAGGCAATAGTTCTCTAAAAGGCACAAGTACGCGTCCCGTGATTTAACAAGCCCTCATCGTTGGCAATTCAGAGGTACGTACCACCGGACGCGTTCGACTACTGTAACCTGGATATCATGTTGATTTTCAATCATCATTACATGGCTGGGAAAACAAAGGACATGACTTAAGGCGACAAGCAAGGCGGCTGCGACGAGAGTAGGGACCCCATAAACAGGATCTGTTTTGTAAACGTCAAGATTCAACCATGATGGAAACATCAGACAAGGATCATCCGTGTATCTGGCAACAGACCTGTTTTCTTTGTACGCCTTTCTCCCTCCATTTAGCTATTGATTCTTCTGAATGATCATCTACATAGACTTCCCGCCTCATCTATTTCCAATTTCCATACTGATTACCAACGAGATCCTGCATAATTCCGCACTTTCGGCATTCGCCGCCGGCAGTCCACTTTTCTCTCGCTCGATATACGAATCCTGTTAACTCGAAGGTGGGGCTGGCGGAATTATGGAAATACACTGACGGCACGCTACTGGGTGAACCAAGGTACTAAGCCCGGATTTAACTCGAAGAACGAAATGTCAGACCCACTATGAGCTCTCAACGCCCAGTCGGGACGCTTCTCGGGACTGAGGAATCGCCATGTGGAGGACCGTGCCGATTTGAGAGATTCTTTAATAACGTCCTTTGTGAACCTTTGATCGTTCACAGATTTTCCGATTTTTAGAACCTGTTCTTCGCATTTCGTACATACTGACGGCTGGATACATTTTTGTTTCTTGTGTTTCTTTCGATACCCTGTGCCATACCGTCAAAATGCAACTAACGCCCCTTCTCATCAACGGAGAAGATGCCATTCTTTCTCCTCCCGACAGACTCGGCTCATGTTCTGCCTCAACGACGCCCTTCCAGGGCGTGACGCCAGATCTTGCCCTCCAGGCAATCAACTCTTCCGAGGAGGCATTCCCTGCCTGGTCGAAAACTATTCCCTCTCAACGCCGCCACCTTCTTAACAGAGTTGCTGAGCTTCTTGAAGAACGATCCGACAATATTATCAGATCCATGCAAGAAGAAATTCATTCGCCGACCATCTGGGCAAAGGTGAATATCCAAGCGGGTATTGATCTGCTAAGAGAAACTGCCGGCTTGATCTCCGATTCCATAATGGGCCAGGTCCCCGTCTCGCAGGGTGATTCGTATGCTATGGTGCTGAAAGAGCCGTTGGGCGTCGTCTTGGCTATGGTTCCGTGGAATGCGCCAGTCATCTTGGGACTCAGAGGTGTTGTGGCGCCGTTGGCGGCGGGGAATACGGTTGTTTTGAAGGTATTTTCCCCTCCCCCTGTCCCAGTTGCTGTAGTGAGGGGGTGACAGCTAGCTAACGGAGACTCCGTAGGGCTCTGAGCTCAGTCCGCGAACACATTATCTTCTTGCCTGTCTGTTCAGGGATGCTGGCTTTCCACCCGGCGTGGTCAATTTCATCCTCCATCGCCCTGAAGACGCAGCAGAGACCTTCGAAACCATGATCGGACACCCAGCTATTCGCAAATGCAACTTCACCGGATCAACTAACGTCGGTCGCATCATCGCATCCAAGGCTGCGTGGGCGCTCAAGCCTGTGTTGCTAGAGCTCGGTGGGAAGAATTTCGCGCTGGTGCTGAACGACGCAGACAGTCAATTCGCGGCGGGGGAGATCGTTAAGGGAGCCTTTTTGAACGTTAGTCTGCCCATAGTTGACCTCATGATTTACAGAACTGACGAGTCTCCTCAGAACGGCCAAATCTGCATGTCCACGGACCTCGTGTTCGCCGTCAACGATATCGCAGAGTCCCTGATCCCCGGCATTCTCTCTCATCTCCAAACCATCAAGGACTCGCACACGGTTATCTCGCCAGCCAGCAAACAACGTCTCCAGCGTCTCATCGATGACGCTCGTTCGAAAGGCGCGTCCATCCATCAAGCAGATCTTCCTACCCTTCAGGAGGCCCAGTTCCCCGCTACCATGATCGAGGGTCTAACTCCTGACATGGAGTTCTTTTCGGAGGAGTCATTTGGCCCGGTCGTTGGTATTGTGCGCGTGAAGACGGAATCGGAGGCCATGGACCTGATCCAGCGATCCCCGTATGGTTTGTCGGCGGCGATTTTCACAAGGTCGCATTTCAAGGCATTGAAGCTGGCTGAGTCAATTCGTGCGGGCGCGATCCATGTCAACGGGATGACGGTGCATGATGAGGCGACATTGCCGCATGGAGGTCAGGGAGAGAGTGGTTGGGGGAGGTTTGGGGCGAAGTGGGGGATTGAGGAGTTTTTGCAGACGAAGACGGTGATTTTGAATCCGTAGGTGTGATTATGAGTTATTGCTAGAGGGTTTGGTACGGGCGCATGAAGATTAGATGGAATTGCATAGACGTTCTAATAGTATCTGGATTGTTGAGTAGACTTTGTATGTAAGTCAAGACGAGGATCGAGGAAGCCATGGCTCATGCCTCGGTTATAGTTTGCAGAGCAATTTCATCGCTAAGCACAGACAACAAGACTTGTTTGCCCGCCGCCTCTGGCAGGAACCAACCAGGATGGATGAAGTTGAAGACAACCACTGCCAACACCATAGTAATCCCATCCAACCCGATGAAGAACCACTCGGTCGTGATCAAGTAAGCCTTCCAGCCTTCCAGCAGCTCGACCGTTCGGTAAATACTGCGGACATAGATGACAACCACCGAGAATATTGTCGCCATCATTAAGTACCGCATGCGAACGGTGAACTGTTCTCGCAGATGAGGCCTTCGTGACCGTCGGAGGAAGTCAATACCGCATACCACGAATGCAGTTATAGATGCCATCTGGAAGACGATACCCGCTACCATGGTATAAGTTCCTGGTTCGGTGTCTCCGTCGACTTTGCCAGCCTGGGATGCGGCCATTCCACCACCAATGGCCTGAACAACTAGCGAGATGGCATCGCAGGTACAGAAGATCCAGAGGTACCATTTGGGTCGCAGAAAGGAGCTTTCGGGCCCGAGGACCCGGATCAGGCTACCGAGGAGAACGTAGATACCGGCGGTGAAAAATGTGGGTGCTAGGATAAGTTAGTACGTAACCCATTGTGCCGACTAAGATCATTTATGCTTACCGATAACAAGAGTAGACATTTGGATGAGAAAGGCTTCCTTCGTGTACGGACATACTGCCGACCATGTTCGTGCGCCCCATCCCAGTATTTCCGCTTTATATTGATTTAGTGAGGTGTCAGCGGAGTTGAAAGGGCGAACTTACTCAGGCAGCCGATTGAAAACACAGTGCACCACCATTGGCGCTTCCAGACAAGCTGGATGGTGTGGGCTAACATGGACAGTCCAAAAAGCGCCAGAAAGCTAATACCCGCAGGCAGTGATGGTTGGTAGCCATACTGTGTGTCAACGCCGTCAACCAAAGCGTGACAGCCACTCTGGAGTACTTCCGGGTCCACGGTTCGATAAGGCAAAAGGGAGAATTAGAATTGATGGTCTTTGTGGTAGCTTATGCGGCAATGATCAAACAAAGTATGCGAGTCTCTTGTCTTTCCTGAATGAGTATGTCTTGAGGCATGATGGATGCAGCCTTTCAAGTGTTTATATAGATTCTGAACGTGGCACAGCCTCGTCAGACCCAGCATTTTTCCACTCAAAGGATCCCATAAGGATTGCCTTACTCGTATAATCTGAACCTATCGAGGGTGTATCTCTGTTGGCCTGCGAATAATCTCGGTCTTCGAGTTCGGAGGACGGGGACAGGATTCCTGACTCAGCCAACCCCGAGCGCCGAGACTGACCTCCGACGACGAGAACAGGAACAGAAAAACCAAGCAGCCAATATCTGAACGAAGATGCCTGGAGCGGGGAGAGAACTCGGCTTTTCCTCGTGGTGGTTGCCACTTTTTCTTCATTACAGGAAAATTCCTGTTCCAGGTTTATAAACACGTTGCCGGCCTCACAACAGGATGCGGACCACAAAAACTTCTCGAAGCCAACCATGACTTGTGTGCCGGCTAGCGAGGCAGAATCATTTGAGAGTCTTGGAGACAGCGGTCAGAAATCAATGTTCGTGGCGCTAGGATCTTGTGAGCCTACATGCAGAAGCTGACAAAATCGGTACTTTCTAGGACTTCAATCAGCGACGCCACGACAAACCGAACCTTTTTCATCGCACGCCCTGCCCCGCCGAGACTCTGCCAGCGTCTTTCTTTACGACCACGATTAATTTTGCAGGTGCAAAGAGCCTCCAGAACAGGCCGTGCCTTTCCTCTCCTTGAGCTTTGGCGCCCTGGCATCTTCACTCCGCGGGTCGCTGAACCCGTTTGCGCCAAGAGAAGGTCAAGTGCCAATGACCTTTACATAATCCAGTGCGATAGTCAAGCAAGCGACGCGGTATCAGCAAATAAGGAAGAAGATATTATTGCGTTGATGCGACAGAGCCGATCCAATCGCAAGGAGGAAAAGGCCTCAACAGTACACTTTATAGGAGGATGGATAGGCAGAGCATCAAGAGTGAGCGAAGGCCATTATGAATGTGTTTGGGAACACAGCGAAGGACAACGGCTGAAGATGGAGTCAGCTCCTTCGAGTGGGCAAACAAATGGTGATACTCGTGTGATCCGATTATCAGACGATCATGTACAGAATGTTGACTTTGCTTGTATGGATGGCAAGAGCATTTCTTTCGACTTTGCAGAGGGCTCGCCGCTAGCACAAGGCGCAAAATCGTCAAATCTGCTTGACCTCGGCTTAATCTTTAACCTATGGATATTAATACAAGACACAAAATGCTTGTAATCGTGATATATCAAATCACTCTACTTGGGATCAGTAGGCACTGTGCAGAGAATAGTCGCGTCTCTGGTTCGACCGATGCGCCAATTTTGAACAGGACAATATCCGCTCGATAAAAGCGCGTGATTAGACATTGTCGAAGAGAAAATACTGATCGAATGGCACCGTCGTCCCAAATAGATCCATGACATTGAAGCCTGGAGGAAATCCAACTTCGGGTGTTATATCGTCAAAAGACGAAAGATACAGGGGTGTTGATTCCTGCAGGTCCATAGATATTGGCACCTTGTTGGCAGACTAAAATACTGTTAGGTTGGAAAACATATCAAGCCTGGCGAGCATACCGGAGTTTCCGATTCATATGACCTCGAATCGAAGTTAGGCTCCTGGCTAGTCACAGACTGGCCTGTTACTGTAATAGGAGCAGGCTGATCGTTCGGTTTCTGATTTTCTTGGCTGCGAACGAATGTGCGAGCCAGGTATGCAAATTCGGCCAAGATCGAGCTAGGTAGCGACCCCCCGGTAACGTATTCGAGTCGGCTGAAATGGCCACCCGCGACCTCTAGCAACGCTAGGTTGCTAGATGTCTCTGAATGTGTTGGGTTGTGAACAACAAAGTCAAATAGGATGAACATTGCGGTTAGGGGTAAGAAGGCAAGTATGCTTTTGATGTTAGCCATAACCCCCCACCAAGGATTCTGTTACTTACTAAACAGGTGTATACGATTCCATATCAATGTGTGGAGATAGTTCGATAATTGATCGAGTCGCTTGCATTAGAATCTTCTTGCTTTTCATTTCGCGCGGGTTATTTTGATTCTTCCCGAGGTCTAGAGTCAATCGACATAGCGCTATCAATGCGTCATAGTAGTAATAATGCGTTCGTAACGCAATATGTGTCTCAGACGGGCTGTGAAATGATTGGGCTCGAAATTTCTCTCCAGGCCGAAAAGTCAACGGAATCGACTGTCGCCAGCGTTCTAGAAGGTTATTCATGAAATCCAACTTCTGGTAGCATACCTCCTCACTGTTCCGAGTCGCAGTGAGAGAGAAGAGACTTTCAGACGCCCTTGAGGCGATGCGAGCAAAACTTGCAGAGGTAAGAAGCCAGTTGTAGTCACCGAATATTGCCTCTGGGACGGTAGGAATAGGGCATCCTATATTGCAGTCCATAATCACCTTCCACGCGTGAGTTTATAGTTGTAATATTTGCAAAACGTCCAAACTTACCGAGGTTCGTGCGTGGGTAAATGCCAATGTTTTTTCCAATATGTAGATGACCCAAAACGTCCGGTACCTAGCATCTCGATCGAGTTTCTTCGAAGCCTCATTCATTTCCATTCCCTGCGCTATTCTAGCTGCCTCCGTGATGAGCAGAGTATCTATGTGCATGTAAGAGAGATTAAGTGCGAATATAGCCTATCATAGTTAGCTAACGCAAGGAGAGGTCTTGTCTGATACCTACCATCGCGGTGAGTGCCTAACGTTCGTTAGTGATAATTGTAAGAATCAAAGATTTCTTTCGACTCACTTGTACACTCGCAAGGCTCTTTTTCGTGATTATTATGTCTGGAAAGAGGCTGAGGGCCATTTGGTAGAATTTCCATGCCTCGCCTTTTCGTGGTTCAAAGCCACCACCTCCGTGATATTGGCACCCTAGAGCCAGGATCGTATAGTATAATGCGGTCCAATGCTTATCTGCCGCCAGGTCCGCTGCCAACTCCGGTCTTGAGATCCTTTGTTCGAATGCGAATCTGTCAAGGAAAGGATAGACTGGATGGACCTGGCTGAAGTATGCTAGTCAAAGTATCCGCCGTCAGTACCCCTCAGATGATTTTATTTGGCGTATGGCATACCGCTGATATATACCCCTGCAGTCTCTGTCGAAACTACAGGAAGCTCTTCGGGCTTGGCCCACATGGTAGCAACGATTGGTGCACTTTGGAAGCGCTCATAGCGGTCGTCAATGAATCTTGAAACTCGTTCCAACACTATTTCAAGTCCATTATTACCTAACTTCCTTGAGATCGCCTGTATGCGACTTTCTGAGAAGTATGCTACACTTGCACTGGCGACTATTTCCAGATGTCAGTGATGATGAAATATTCGACGGGCCTTAAGACTTACTATGGTTCTCGTCTCCCTGATAATGAGGTAAGCCATATGTTTCGCACATATCGAAATTGTCGAAATTGTCGTTGGCTTACCTTGAATGGTATGTCTAGATCATGAGCTTTCCCTGTAGCTTCCTGGTTCTCGATGAGGTAATCCATGTAAAGTGGCTGTTGGTCGGCCGGTTCTTGTGTGCTATCACCATGAAATGTCGGCGGAGTAGGAAATTGGTCTATAAAGATAAGTTAGAGGACTGATATGTTCATTATCCTGGAATGACTCCCGTACTGTGCATTACCGGCGCTAGGCCAGTCCGGCCAGCAGGTACGTCACCTTCACGGCTCTCATAGCTCTGGGATCTCTCCGGAGAGTATTGATCTGCGACGAGAAACTTTCTCTTCGAAAAACTAAAAGTGCACCTTTCGCCTCGTTTCTGTGTTATGTCAAACCTCCGACCGTAATATACAGAGCGACCAAGACCTACCAAGCAATTGGCACACTCCGACTGGGCTTCTTTTGATCCTATCGTTCATCAGCCTTATTTTCCATCAAGTCATCTACGAAATTTGTCATACTAATGCAGCGAACTTTCCGTGAGCGACAACGATCACAAGTCTTTGCCAATCTCTCGTGGAGAATTGGGTCCGGCATCGTTTCTCATTGCGTTCCATCCAGATTCCAGAGATGCCTAGGAACGATGCGGGAGGCGAAGATCACCAGAAGGCCGCCGTGGGGGACTCACCGCCTTCTTGGTGCCTGGGGGTAACCAGATCTACTAGCCTATTCGGGATATTTACTGCCTGAGGTATATACACTTAGCTGTCTGACCGATCTATATCCTTCAGGCTTATGCCCGCCATGTTTGAGATTGTTGTTAGTTACTTATTTGAATTCAATAAAGCTCGATAATTTGTTTTATGTTATATTAGTTTACTCTACACTATCCGATCATCTTCTCTGGCCCTTCTGTCAAAACATTCATCTGCGCAAAGCAAGGTCTTCAAATCTCTGCATGCATGCGACCGCTCGTATGTATACCTCCAGTTTTGGTCAGCATCAATAGCTTCGAGATACATGATTCAAGTTTTGGTCAGACTTGGTATATAACAAACTCCTTTCAGGCATGTGTAATAGATAATCCTTTCGCTATCGGCCTTAAGCAATTCCAATAGCTTCATTTCGGCGAGTGAAAATGCATCATCATAAAGTAGAGTATTGCATAAAACAAGGTGAGTGAAGGAGAATCACTTACTCGTTGGTTTTCTGGGCCTCCTCATTGTTTTTCAACTTTATATTGTGAAATAATTCAGTCTGAACAGTTGACCCTTCTATATTTGCTTACAACCCAATATATATAATCTAGGAAGTCCTGTTAATGCTCGTCCTGCTACCTGAGAATAAGACAAACCCCACCTCTCCTCAATCTAACTTACTTTGTGACTCACGATCTTAGGCCGAGATGAGTTAACGGCCTTGTGTAGCATGACAGGCTCGTATTTGCAGCCGGAAGGTATTTTGAAGTGGAGGTCCGTTACAGTGCGGGCACCATTTTAGGAATGCGATCTGCATCTGTAGCCTCTCAAGACACATGTGATCCTCATTTCGGAAGCTTTATTGTACGGTGTGCATGTGTTAGAATGGATGAATAGAAATACTGGTCAGGCCATTCTTGATTCGTGAAGCTGTAGTAAGGGAGCATGTGAAACCATCTGGCTTGTCTCTTGTTGGATTACAAAAGATTCTTCAAATGAATACCTAATTAGCATGAGAGCCAGGTAAAACAATTGCTACACCCTGAACAAAATTCTAGGTCCATTCAGATCCGTCCTAGAATATCTCCGCAACATACCGCTCCTCTTCCGCATCCTCGGAATTCTTCAGACGAGTCCCAAGAATATCCTCGTACGCTGCTCTAACACTCTCAGCCATGGGCCTAGCCCCACAGACATAGATCCTTGCCCCTTGGTTCCACAGGGAAATAATGGATTCCGATTCTCTGAGTAATCGGTCTTGCACGTAGCGACAGCCTGCCGCACGCGGGTCATCAATTGCTCGGCTATAAGCCCGTTTCACCTGGATTGCGCCTTGAGCTTCCCACTCCGCTAACTCCTCGGAGTATAAGTCATCGTGGCCTGGGTGCCGACATCCGAATATCAGAAGACCAGGTGCAAGTTTCTTTCCTGTGCCCATTAAAGCGACTCTTTCCTGTATGAAAGACATGAAGGGTGCGAGCCCTGACCCGGCACATATCATGATGATTGGCGTCGTTTCTTGGTTGTCAGGTAGGTGAAAAACGGGCTTGGCTGGGCGCGCTGATACGTAGAGAACGGATCCCGGAGTCAGAGTGGCGAGGTAATTAGACCCAACTCCGAGATGCTCGCGTCCCGGACTAAATTCTGTGTCGTGGAACGGTGACTTCAGTATCAGGTACATTAGGGATGCATGGCCGGGATCGTACGTAGGTGAGGATGACAGAGAATATATTTACAGCCGCAAACCAGGCAACATCGAAATGAAGCTAGTCAAAGAGGATGGGTTGGGGATCGCTCGAGGAGATCTAGGACTAATGATTGGTTCGGTCCGGTCATGTCATCCCATGAATGCTTCATGTTGGTCAGTTGTTCTTTGATACTTTCGTCATCGGTTCAATTACAAAGGGATTGGATGTTCTTTCAACCGTTAGCTAAAATAGTAGATGCTAGATTACGAATATACCTTCGGTGTAGCGAAAAGCTCCGCAGCAGTTAAGGGAGTATCGACAGGTATCTGACCGCCATAGAAAGATGTGACAGTGAGCAAGTGGTCTGGAGAAAGCTAAAAGCGTGACAGCACACGTTCTACATCACGCGGTGAATTTCGTGGCAATATATTCAAATGATCGCCAAGGCGAAGAGAGAGGTCGGAGTTGGGCGGTGTTGCGAATTCGAGATGCCGTTTTTCAGGCTCTTGGGGACCTGTTAGACGATGGGCTTTGGTAACGATTACTTTGGTAAGTCGTGAGTGCAGTGATATTCTGAGCGGCGGCTTTACGTGAACCTCGGCCTGAGGCAGCTTCGATAGAACTATTAAACCTTCCGCCGCAGGGAACTTGGCGCGGATCGCCGGCCACAGATGATCTTCTTCCCATCTCTCTAGGTCCGAGTAGAGGTCGCTGATGGCTGCGTCGGCAGCTACTCTCTCCGTCAGACGGTCAGCGCCAGCCTTGTGGATGGCATTGTCGATTAGTATTGGGACTCGGTGGAAATCCTGCATATCGCCTTCTTGCGCAGGGTCTTTGAGCATGTTTACTCTTCTTAGGATTCTAACAGGGTGGGTAACGCCTAGGTGTAACCAGGCTACCCTTCCTGTTAGCCTTCTCCGGTCCGTTCAGCCTCTTCTAGAGATTCTAGGCCTCTTTTATTGTCTCTCTCTGCTCTGTGTTGGTCCTTTTGGTGTTATTCTCCAGAAAGAGCCGCGCCTAGAAGGTTTCGCTATTCCTGCTCTATCTAGAGCTGTATATAGTATCTCTCGTTGCCGTTATCATTGTCTGCAGCTGATCAGTATATAAGAGACTGTTTCCCTAGGAGCTTAGCAGTTTTGGCAGGTCACTTTTTCCCGAGATTTTATGCAGTATAGATATGATCTGATAGCTGCATGTCCTACTTTCATCTGAAAATATCGGCTAGCTAAGCCTTTAGTAGCTGTTACTACTATAGGATCTAGTTGCTAGCCTCTTCCAGATGTATAGTTTCTCTGTATCGCTCGTAATCTCTGGTTAAGACTATTCTCTAGCCAGTGTTATCTGTTTGTTCTTAATATCTCTGTACGGGTTCTGCAGGTAAATGCCTATGAGATCTCTCTGCAGCCTGATCCCGGTATTCGTGTTGCGGCTTATTTTACTGTTTTATCTACTTTTTTATTTTTCCCTATCTCTGCGTATCCTGAGACCCATTAAATTATCGGATTACAGTCTCTTGATAGCAGGTCCTGAGCGACAGTACATATATTAGTAGCTATTATCTGATCTAATCTAGGTCTTGTATATTGTAATCTGCGTATAGCTACTTGAGAATCGAGTAATATAGTAATTGGTTTTTAGCTTTCTATCTCTCTCGCCAGCTGTAGTCTCTGGTAGACTCCTAGAAGCTCTGTATCAAAGACTTCTTGTCCTTTTCCTATTAGGAATGTTTTTGTCTTTCAATAGCCTTGCTGGGCTTGTTATGCTATTCCAGCTCCAGTTTTCCCGTCTTCTAGCCTAAATCTATCTGTTTAGATAGTCTGAGTTACTGGAACTATTTAAACTGCCTGAAGTGCTTCCTCTAGAAACTTAATGATAATCTGGCCTGGAAAACTGTTTTCCGAGATTTGTATTGAGGTTTCGAAACCTCCTAAAGGATCCACTAGTAAAATCTAATTTAGCTGATGCGCTAGATGTTGGCCTAATAACTATAGTCTCCGGTTTGATTCTGCTTAATTTCGGTTCTCTTTTGGCTATTCGTCGGGTTGTACGTACTAATCCCCTTCTCTAAAGCTGACTGGAAGAATTTGCCTTGCTGGGTAGTTCTCGGGTAGACCTAGTAACTGGATAGTATATTCTAGCTGTCTAGATTCTAGTAGATATTTCGCTGGTATTAGGCCCATATCCCGAATAAAAGGGCTGATAGAGATAGTTCTGAGTATTCCTGTAATTGCCCGAGCTTATTGATTGAGTAATTGCTGTACCCTTTTTAGCCGGTCTTTCTGGCTCTGTTACCAGAGTTTTATTCTATATAGAGTTACTGATTGCACTGCAGCTACCTGGATCCTGCGTACTAGGCCTAGAAATAAGTCTTGTCTGTAATATAGAGACTGTACCCAGGTTTCCGCTGTACGGGCCTTCCGTAGGCACGTATTGTAGTAAACTTTTAGATTAAGGCCTGCATCCAGTCATAAACTTAACTACCGGGTAACTTCTTGGTTAAATAAGACTTGGTATCTTTTGATCACTATACAGATTCGTTAAGTCTAGACTCTAAGTTCTTGGCTTCGTTTTCAGATAAAGAAGACTGCCTCTATTTTTTTACGTCAAACTGAACTTTATACATTTAGTTTTAGCTAATTGTTATCTTTGCTGCCCGTTGCAGCATATCGCATGTTTCTTTTACTGAATACTCTAAGACTAGAAGACCTACATTATCTGCAAATGATAAGGCCTGAATCTCTGATACTGCCGTTTTTATAGCTTCAAAAATCCTGCTAAAATAGATAATAAAGAGGATTGAAAACACTGGTAATCCCTGAAAGATATTTGAGTTAATTAGCTGTTCCGAACACTGAATATTATTGATAACTAGCTGAACCCTTCGATCAGTTAATAAGGATTGTATCTAGCGTATGAGATCTCTATCTAGATTAAACTCTATCATCCGGGTTATCAGTTTGGCTAAGTTAACATGATTAAACGCTCCCTTTATATCAAGAAAGAGGGCTTTTATTAGCTGTTTTAGGCCTTATACCTGATAAGTTCTTTATATCAGACAGACTATAGCGTCTATAGTATTTTAGTCCTTTCTGGATCCCATTTGACCCGGGTATAAATTTCGGGTAATTTTGCAATAGTTAGTTATAGTTTCTGCTGCTACCTTTTTTACTATCTTTTTTAGGCAATTGAGTAGGCTGATTACCCAGTAAACTTTAATTTTTGTATAGTCTGGCTTATTCAGTTTCCGCAGTAGAATACCTTTAGCTATTTTTTATATTTTTAGAAAGACGTTTAGCCTAAAATACTGTCTTACTAAAGATATTAGCTTGAGACTGTTCCAGTCCTATAGTAGTCGTAGAGCTCTAAAATTTAGCTTATCGATACCAGGGATCTTTTAAATAGTTTAGTAAAACAGGGTCTGTTTGACTTTCACTTTATCAATCTGGATGTATTAGGTCCTTGGTAGTAATCGTTCGGGGTCTTCTCCTTCTGGAACCGGTAAGAATGCTATTTCTCGTACTAAAATCTCTTTTTTATCGATAGTAACTGCTATTTGGCCCTCTGGGTCTTGTAAAGCTAGTATAATATTAGCTTTACTGATCTTGATATATCGAAGTGTTTGCCAGTATCTTTCCGATTCGCTAGAGTCTGTTTCTCCATTCTGCGGCCCTACTAAAAAAGCCTTCTAGTATTCCCGTTGGCTTTTCGGATAGCGCTGTAGTAGATATTTTAGGCTGTCTTGTATTTGCTGTTCTGGATACTCTGTATCGTCCAGGCCCATTTTGCTCGGGCGTAATTTTGTCTGGCTTTTTTTATCGCTGGATTCCACTATCGTTTTGATCGAGATGTTACCCGCAGTTTCTTTACGTATTAATTTAGTACAGTTGTAAGACTCTCTTGGATCTAGTAAGCCTATTTAGCTACTTCATCATGTTAGCAAGTGTCATCAAGCTGTTTTTTCTGGCTTGATATGTGGCTCTAAGCTTGTTTTGTCTTCTCTAAGGCCTCTGGATCTGCCTGTAGAGTCTGGATCTGCTAGCCTGTGATTTCCGCTGAGGTATCGATAGACTCTCTTTCCAGGAGTACCCATTCCATAACTATTAGTTCATGATCAGATCCTGTAGGGTGTTCTCGACCTACTATCCACATTGGCAGTAATCCTATGGTCTGGGTAGTGAGACTTAGATCAATAATAGAAATGCCTAGGGTTATTTTCGGTCTTGTTACGATCCCTGTCTTATTATTGATATAGAGACTATAGTCTTCAATGAGCTTTTTCAGATTTTCTGCGTTCACTCGAGCTCTTGCCTAAGGATTCTATAGAGAGCTATGCTCATTAAAGTCTCCCAGTAATAGATATCTTCCTTCTAAAACTTGATTTCACTGGATATTCTCTATCGCTTTTTTTCGACGCTCGCTGATCCCTTGCCAGCAGTAGTTCTTGCCAATCCAGTTATCATAGCAGTTAACTATCCGGGTTCTTCGGATCTTTTTGGCCCTATTTAGCTCCCAGATATCTAGGGCCATCAGGTAAGGATAGTTTATTAGGTCCGTGCGGGCCTCTATTACCAGCTTATTAAAAAGATCCTGGCGAACAGCAATTGTCACTTTCTGCTTCTTGCGTTTACCAGCCTCTGGCCAGTACATTTGATATGCCCCGTATCGAAAGTCTGTATCAATATAGGGTTCCTGTAGGTATGCTAGGCTCACCCCTAGCTTTAGCCCTGCTTCTAGTGCCGCAATTGTGACCGCGTATGTCTTGCGGCAGTTGTACTGTATTGCTAGCATTAAAAGTTATTCGGTTCCGTAATAGGCCCCTGGGAGGTTCTATACTCTTCTATGTCTATATCATTCCTGCGGCTGGCTATTGGGGTTTGTATCAACTGGATTTCTCTTCCCGTCGGAGTTCGCGGGCTAGCCGGTACTGAGCTGCCTCTTGTTTGCCTAAACTATTGATTTTTGTTAGCTTCCGCAACAGCCGGCCTCTGTGGGCTTTAGCTGGCTTGAACGTAATATTGTTTTAGATTGTCTCTTTGAGCTCTTCTCGCTCTTTCCTGTTTCCTGGCTGCTCGTTTTACTGGACAGTTTTCTGTAGTGGCCATATGCGGGCCCCGACAATTTCCGCATTTCGCTGGTGTATGCTGGCAGACAGTTCCTGGCCTTACTGTACAGTTTACTATCTTGCATATATGTTCTACTCCCTCGTGAGAGCCCGCACATATAAAACAACATGGTCTTCGATCTTTGCAGGCTCTAAAGCTTCGATAACCTAGATTACAGCATCAGAGACAGACCGTATCTGGTCTTATCTCCCAGTATTGCTCTGCTCGGTATCGGGTTCCACCAAAACAGATTCCGTTGGTAAGAAGCTTGCGAGCTTCTTCTAGGGATCCTACAGTGATCACTATTGTCGAATCTCTTTGGTCTTTAAGCTCCTTAGGGCTCTTTAGCTATGTAGGATCTCGTTTCAGCTGAAAGACAGTTCCCAGTTCAATCTTTTCTCGGGCTAGGCTGAGCCCGCAGCTCAGATATCGTTTGACCGGGACTCTATAGATTTTCAACCGATACCATTGCTCCGGAAGTTCCATTGAGACTACTGTTGGATCGGCTTGACGTACTGCTGTTACTAGTAGATCTCGATAGCTTAGCAGTATTGATCCAGTAGATCCTTTTTCTAGTAGGATACTGATTGCCCCTGTATTGGTATAACCCGTATCTACTACTCGTATAAAGCTTGCGAAGCCTGCATTTGCAAGTGCCCGATTAATTTCTAGAATCACGTCTTCTCTTTTAGCTCTTGGCGCTTCTGTTCTACCTTCTCTGCGGAATAGTGTCGGGTTGTTCTTAACCACGAAACAAATTTTTTTCCGTCATCAGTCGGTTCGCCATTATAGCTCGTGGTTATGATGATGACAGGCTGATCTGTCGGCAGCTGGCCAACTGCCTCATCGAGGGTAAGGATCCGTTGTCGGTTATATCCATAGGAGATAGCATTGGAAGCCAATCGGTAGGCCAGCGATTTGCACGACCCACTGTTGGAACCGTATAGTATCGTAAGCGGCTCGCCGATAGATTCATCAGCAGGGCCTGGATTTGCCATCAAACCGCTCTTTTTCGACGCAGCTTGTATAGCCAATCCCGTGTATTCTCTATCTTCCCGAAGTTTGGCACGAATTAAAAGTCCTTCTGGTTTTATAGTCAATGTCTTAAGCTTATAACAAGGATCGTCGAATTCTATGTCGAAATGGTGGAGCAGCATGGATATGAGATGCGCTTCTTGCCAAGCGAATGCTCTACCAATGCATCCTCGTTTACTATTGCCAAATGCCTTCCACGAATTGGGTGGGAGCTTATTGAAATTCTCTTCAAGCATCCTCTCGGGTTTGAACTCATCAACATCATCACCGAACACAGACGTATCACGATGAGATGCTACCGAAAGAATGATTACCGACTCCCCAGGTTCAATCAAATACTTTCCCCCAACGATCTAGGGTGAGAATAGAGCAACACTAAACCCGGGCGCTGTGGGCATCAACCGAAGTGTTTCTTTCAGCACGGCTTCCAAGTAGGGAAGCTTTGCAATATGTTCTACCTTGACTTCGTCAGTTCCAATGACGTCGTCGACCTCCTGTCGCGCCTTTTTGAGGCACTCCGGATTGGCGAGCAAGAAGTAAACAGCGAATGATATCAAGCCGGCCGTAGTTTCATGGCCTGCCACTAGAAAAGTGATCAGGTTGTTGATTATCTGATCTTCGGTCAACCCCTTTCCCGTCACTGAATCACGTCCACTCAATAATGCATGAAGCAGGTCGTCCGCGTCCGCAGATGAGTTCCTTCGGTCTTGTATGATATCCTGACTCACTTGTCTCATGAAATCCATGTTTCGTTCCAATTGTCTGGCCGCGAAGATGCGGAGAGCATTAATGAATTCAGGAAAGCACGATTGAAGGTCAGCCTCGTGAAGAACCTCATTGATCGCCTGTACGAAGGGATGCTCTTCGCTGCCGCGGTAAAAGCTGTTGAACCGAAAGCTCGCTGTACACAGTGCAAGGGTGTCCATGGTCAATTTTGTAAATTCTTCCGTTATGTCAATCGGGCTTGTAGGCCCCATGCGAGCACTTATATGCAATTCCGGGTCAGCGTTCATCTGCAACATGGTCACTTCGGGAGTCGTGGCTTACAGTTTCAAGCAGAATTGCGTCGTAATATCTTGCATATTGCCAAACATCTCCCGTATTTTCATTGTGCCTAAAGCGGGCCGGATGATATGGTGTGCAATGGCCCAACCTTCTTTGTGATTGTGAGCTGTGAACAACCCATCCTTTACAACGACGCGCAGTCGTTCCACTCCACCCATGACCATTTTCTGGAATCGGGATTCATCGCAGAACTCGTCCACCATTTCTCGACTAGCAGCGAAAATCTCCGTTTGGCCGGCAACGGTTATCCTAAAGATGGGGCCTATGATGATTTTATTAGGAAAATATTACATCTCCATAAAGGAATATGGTCTCACCATATCTCTTCGCCATTTCCAAGACTGCCTGAATACCATTGGACAGGTCTAAATCGAAAATATTTCAGACCAAGGGTAAGACTACGGTAGCATGTTAGCAGCTTGAAACCGTTGAAGGTCGTACAACTAACCTCTCGGACAGGGAATAGGCTCCAGGCGCTCATTTGGCGTCTCATTCACATGTCCATTCATCTGCTTGTGATCTTCCATATTGGCAAGTGTTCAAATGGCAAGTTTGGAGAACTGATCGGACGCGTTCAAACCACAAGGAATCTGCAATACAGTGTAACATGATGATTGCAATTTTTCTCAGATTCCAAATTTGTGCGAACGTTTACTTCCACTCCCGAGGAACAATAGGATCCCGCATTGGGGCCTTCTCATTGTCTTCGAAATGTCACGTGCACGAAATTAGGGCTGGTAACCCCAGACTGTTTGGATCCCTTTTGCCAAACCTAAATTAAGGTTGGGCGATCCTGTCCCCCAAATTCAAGGCTTCCATGGCCGGCAGTAAATAGGGCTCGGATCTCGGATTTTCGGCGTTGGAGCTCCACTAGGTAGGTAAAGGCAGGCTTGGCAGACCTGAACCCCGAAATGGATCTATATCAGCCCATGGATTCACGTCCTTGACAGACCTCTCTAATCATGATGAGGCTGAGTCCAGCACTAGCATAGCTTTATACTATTTTTGGAGGAATGTTTATATCCCCAGACTCTTGAAGACCCTTTCTTGAGTGGTCTAGAACTCTCGTAGCGGAAGATGTTGGTATGTCAACCCGGAGGGGTCATACTCACTATGTAGATACAGGAAGGACTTACTTCAAATACGAAAAACACCAAGACTATTGGGAGAGTATCCACAAATTTCTGCATAGATTGGCTTGGGAGAAGGGAGATTATACGGATAAGGAAGGAGTTCCGGTCCTTTCCACTCGCCTGGCATCAAGCACTGACTGCCCAGCTCTAGATATACCGTCTAGACTTCCCCTCCACGAGTAGCAGCCTCAATATTCCCAGTCGTTTACAAATGGAACCTTGGTGGTAAAACCCATCAGGCATGTGGAGAAGAGTGATTTCTAGCCTCCGTTCAAGGAACTTGCTGTAGATATTGTTTTTCCCGAGTCTACATACTCTGTAGATAGACTTGTATTCTGCGTAAGCTACTATGTTGATCGACGTCTAGACCCCTCAATCTTCCATTAGCGCCGTTCCAGCCTGGGCACTGCAGAGTCACCACATTCAGCTCGTACTACCAGCCAATGAAACTGAGTAGGATCCCTGTAGCCCCATGTCTCATGGCGTTTTGGTGCGATAGCACGTGATCTTAGAAGCAGTCAAACCGGTACCAATCTACGAGGATGAGGGGTGTTCGATCTCCACTATTGCAATCTTCGAAGTAAAAACTGGTTCCCTGCTTTCCTTCAGTACATGTCGTAGGGCGCGGTCCATTTAACGGTTCCGTAGGTTCGGAGGATCAGGAATTGGGGATAGTGGCCATGTCAATGGCTCGAGAATTGATTTCTTTCTTATCTTCTGGACCTGGTATAGTAGATGGGTTTGATGTACTTGGAAGCTTGCTGGGACAGAGGAACGGTTGAAGTGCTGATCTTGGAGATATTCCGCTTTTTATATGTCGGATTCCCAGAGTAGTTTCTAGATCTATACCTTGTTGCATACGCATAGCCTGAAGTGTATGCAATTCGGACATATAATGCATGATTTATATTATTGTACACGTGCATTGCAGGTAGATCTATAATACAAACTCGTTATATACTATTTACACGGGTTTCTGGTTTCCCGGTTATCACTCATCTGGTGGCTATTCGCCAGTTCGCCGGTGACTGCATCCTCTGTACAGTGTAGATAGATACCCATCTCATCCACCGGGAGATCCGATAAGGTAGAGAACCAATATCCTCGACTCATCGAACCACATCCAATCCTACCCAATATGCATCTATTCATTCTCCTCGCCATCCCGACTCCGAATCGCTTGCATCAGCTCATACAGCTGCCCGAGTTGTTGATCTGTTAAGGTCAGCATCTACCATCCACCAACCACACCCACTAGAGTATCTTCTTGTCCAGAATCCCAGCTTCAAAAGTCAACCAAAGAGACGTACCGCTCATCTTATCCAATTTCGCCTTGTCCAGTTTATCTCCCACCCAGGTATCCCCTTCGAGCTTTTGCGCGTATAATTGCCATTCCGTCAGGAAGCCGATCTAGTTTGTTTGCCATTAGCATTTCCTCTGTGTTCTTTGTCTGAACCAACGATAGCCCAATATTACACATCTAACCCATAGACACGCTCCCCGCGGACCGCGGACCAAATCAAAAGACACGAGGAGGGCGGTAAAGACATACAATGTGCAACGGATTCTCCACATCCTTATGCGCCCTAAATTCGCTCTTCACGTACCCATCCCCCAGCAAACGCATCTCGGGCTCGAGTTTCCTGCGGTGCACCCGGAGAATGCGCCGGTAGAGTTGCAGTGGCGGAAGCAGGGCGAGCGATTCGCTGAGACTCGATTTGGAGCCCATTGTGGACGGCGTGGCCATGAGGAGGCGAAGGGCGGGGCGCATTTTGCTGTCTGGAAGTATGGGACTGGGATTGGATTGGATTGAGGATGGGGAGTGGAGGTGGAGATTGGAGATGTCAGTTGGAACTGTAGGAAGTGGGTGTGCCGGATGAGGGCGGTGAGGGGAATCTATTCCAGTAGGGAAGGATTTGGAGATGATCATCCCGCTTTTTCATCCAAATCGAAGACAAGACACTTGAATCCCAGTTGCGCGCATTGCATAGCCTGTATGCATTTATTACAGTCGACGTCATAACATAAGAGAAATACCGAGTCGCTATCTGCCCGCTGCCTGATCTATAATCAATTACTCCCACCTATCCTCAGTAAAGATGCTCCCCACGCCCTGCACATCGCATGTCTCCTTCGACACCATCTACGAACCCTCCGAAGACTCCTATCTCTTTCTGGACACGCTCTCATCGACGTCTGAATCAACATGGCTCAAAGAACGATTCAACGCCCCCACCAGTTCCTCCGACCCCTCCATTAGCCCCTCGACATCCTCCCCTTCCCCCCTCATCATCGAAGTCGGCTCCGGCTCCGGCGTCGTCCTCGGCTTCGTCGCAGGCAACTCCTACGAGATCCTCGGCCGTCGCGACATCCTCACCCTCGGAATAGACGTGAACCGCAACGCCTGTCTCGCCACGAAAGAAACAGTCCAGAAAGCGACCCAAGAGCGCCAGACCGATCCCATTCCCAACCCGACCTCAGACTCAGACTCAGGATCAGGATCAGGATCCAAAACAAAAACAATCTACACCTCCTCCATCACCTCCGACCTCCTCTCCTCCATCCGTCCCTCTAGCATCGACATCATCCTCTTCAACCCGCCCTACGTCCCCACAGAAGACCTCCCCCGGATCCCCACCGCCAACGAACAAGACCGTGCCACCGAAGAGAAACTATCCCGCTCGGAGCTCTTCGATCGCGAATCCTATTTCTTGTCGTTGACGTACGCAGGGGGAAAAGATGGGATGGAGACCACGGATCGATTGATTGAGCAGATTCCGGACGTGTTGGAGCCAGTGCGCGGCGTGGCGTATGTGTTGCTTTGTAAACAGAATCGGCCAGGGGAGGTTAGGGAGAGGATTAGAGCGTGGGGAGGGAGGTGGAGGGCGGAGTTTGTTGGGAATAGTGGGGTGCAGGCGGGGTGGGAGAAATTGGTTATTTTGAGGATTTGGAGGGAGTGATTTGGATATTAAAGATATCGGATATGGATTTGGGTTGGGTTTTGTGTGTGTGGTGTTGGGAGAGGAAGGGGTTGGGCATGGGGGAGGTAATGTTTGATGATGAGGGATGATTTATGAGTGATGAAGGAATATAGATATGATATAGACTAGGTATAGAACTCTACATGTTGGGCATATGGTATATGGGAGTATGGGAGGAGTATCTTTCTTTTCCTTATTCAAGTTCAAGTCTCATTGCGTTGTACACGCGACATGGGTCATGTCCACATGTCGAGATTAATTTCTTTCATACAGGATATCATCCAGCCTGCCCGATCCATGATAGGGTGAGGTGAGGCTGTTGTAGGGTTCTGGATTCCACCGTAGACAGTCCGATATCCGAGTCGTGATGTGCTGAAACCGAAGCAAGGAGTATAGGTCATAGTCGAGTAAACGTCGAGAGCAGACCACAGCTTCATGAGATTCGACACGTCCAACCCTGCCTGGTCATGGATTCTTTCCTTTCTTCGCCCGAATCTCACGCCAGAGCGAAAAACACTGAGGTCACGAATCGACAACAAGCCCAAGTCATCGAGTATTTTCTTTCTTCTTCTCCGCCACAAATGAAGTATGTAGTCGGTAGTTCGGTTCGGTTCGGACAAACAAAATGAAGAATGGAAACCTCAGATATCACCCATATCATCCCATCTCAGAAAAAAACAACAGAGTCAAGTCCAGACAATGAATGTCATCGAAAAACAAAAAGGAAATTAAAGTGAAAAAAAAAGAACAAACTCCCAAGCCCGAATCTATCAGAGAAACTTTTCCCCATTATCTAGAATCCACGACCGCGCCCACGTCCACGGCCCCGACCTCTACCACGAGGACCACCGCGGCCACCACGGGCACCCCTGTCGGCCTCCTTGCGCGCCTTGTTCTTCGGCTTGGGCTGGTCGTCTACCAGCAGGGTGTCCAGCGGCAGGCTGTCGGGGAGGATGAAGTAGCGAATCGTAGAGCCGCGGATGTTGATGGTGTCTAAGGAGATGGGGTCGCGGCCTTTCGGGGTCATTTTGACGGTGCGTAGAGAGGTGTTCATTTGAGGTGAGACAGAGGTGATGGTGCCGTGGAGGATTGTACCTAAGGTGGATGTTAGATTGAGTGGTGAATGGATTGGGGGATTGCTAGAAGGTAGGTAGGTAGGTAGGTGACTTCGGGGTTGCGAGAGTTGGAGGGTTCTGAGGGTATGGAGGTACTGTACTGACCATTCTTCAACTCGATGGTCACCGTCTCATTGGCGCACTTCATCAAAAATCTAAATCAAAGGTTAGTCGGTTGCTGCATGATTGGGGAGTTCTGTCATAGCTCGCTGGAGCTGTGCATTGCAAATTCCGCGACTCGAGGGTGCGTACCGGACGAGCTTCATGGTGGATACGGGTGCACCGGAGCTGGTGCTGACAGCAAGTAGATGGAGAAAAGTTCAATCTGTGCAGGTCGCACTCGTGGTCCAGAAATGGGCAGGCTGAATTGGTGGTGGTGGTGGTGGTTCTTAAGTGTCGCACAGGCAGGTGTCTTCGCGGGTGGTTGATCGCGGCTCAACAGAGGCTGAGGAGCTACGGCACGTGACCGAACTGATCTAACCGCCGTCTTCACAGCACCGGGTATATCCATTACGAGGATGGTCTTCGAATATAGACGGGATTTGAATGATTACTGGCAATTTTCAAGGAATAATCCTTACAAGACATAGTGATATGTTAGATCGTTAATCATGCTACAACAAAAATATCCAGGACTACCAGGATTCTATCTCGACTCATCATCAGTGGTATCTCGAAACAATAAAACAGAAAAACAGATCGCTAAACCCCGCCGGTGCCGGCTTCAAATCATAAAACTCCATGTCGCGCCTTAAAAATGGCGATTTTGTCATCGTAAAACAAGATCTCGCGCAGCCGAAACGTGACGCGCGATCGGCTGCCCTCGAGATCGGATTCATCTCCATCCGATGATGCGTGGTCCGACGACAGCACCGACGTTGTATCCACCGTACTGGCAGCTCCGGCATCGTCGTCGACTTCGTCGTCATCCGTGTCACTGGCCGACCAGGGCTCGCCGTCTCCGAGACCCTCGCTATGGCTGTCATCCGCTTCGTCAAAATCAGCCTTATCCCCTCGTTTCCCCTCAAGGATCTCGTAGCATTTGTTCTGCATCCCTACGTAGCTGATCCCAACATCCGGGCGGATGGTGACAATGTCCAGTATTTGCAGTGCAAGCTCCTTGGAATCCCGGTGCACGGGGTGCGCGATATGAGGAATGTGCAAGGCCCGAAGGTGCGGAACATTGGGCAGTCTTTGTAAGAAATAGTGCTAGTCCAGGTTAGTAACCTCGTGTGGAAACACAGAGTAGAATTCTTACCCAGTCCTTGGAATGTACGGTCATCGACAGCTCACGCAGTCGAGGCATGCATCCACAGGTGACAAAAGAAATCATGTCGCGCGTGAACATCCATTTACGCCAGCGGCTAGTGGCGATCTCAACGCCAATTGCGGACCGCTCCGTGCTATCAATGAGGATCTTTCTCAGACTCATTCGATGGTTGCGGATCACATTTCGGTAAATGGCATCAATCTGGACGATCGAGTCATACATGGGGGCTTCGTGCAAGAAGAGAGTTTCAAGTGTGTTAGGAGCCAAGGTGTCCTTGATGAACAGCAGCAGATACGGAGACACGGCGTCCGTATGAATGTGTTTGATTCTCAAAGAGTACTCCGATTGCCCACCCTCCCTCTTTCCAGCTCTCGGAGAAGAGCGAGGAGGGCATGACGGGGGAAACTGGCGACGCAGGGATCTCCACAACTTCTCATGGCCTTCGCAGCGCAGTATCGTCAGAGCCGTGATCCGAGTCCAATCAAGACTTTGCAGTATCACTGGAATAGACAGAGACACGCGTTCTAATTCCAAAGTCTCCAACTTGAGTGGGTTACGGTTGGATTCAACGTCCGAATTAAGCGAGCCAGGAGATAGTTTGAAGACGGTGCTGGAGGGTTTTGACGGCTCCTTGGCTCTTGGTTCCGACACTGCAGACGACTGGTCCGGTGGGGATTCTGGTGATTCTGCGGGAGGAGGCGCCTCAGGTTGAGGGTTCGTACTACCGGGAACACTTCCACCTGTTTCGGTATCGGGCATTTTCTTGGTGCTTTCACCAGCCACCCCACGAGAGCACGAGCCATCAGTTTGGCCCAGTAGTGCCCCTAACACGCCCCCAGCCTTCGGCCACCCAGTCATGGCCGTGTTAGTTGTATCTCGGGAGGACCAGCCCCCGAGCGGTTTTAACCAGTCGGCCTGGCAGACCTTTGAGGAAATGCCGACACGCAACTCCTTCAACCGATCCCACGAACGCCGGATGAGTATAGCTGCTTCTTCAATATACGTCGACTCATCTATATCGAGAATGCTTAGGCTCTTCAATGGCGGCACTATAGACAAAGACGGGTATTCCACATGTCCGTATTTATGCAGCAACGGCGACCCGGCTGGGAGGGGGGTAAAATCGTTCTGCGTATCTGGAAGTGCGAAAGACGACGCAGTCGGAGCAGAGCGTATTGGGCTCTCGGAGTTATCGTGCCATCGGACCCAGACGCGCTCCAGGCGGCATTCGTGTCCGGGTCGATGGGCTAGCGATGAGAGTGCAATCCACACATCCCTCAAAACTCCCGTAGGCATGTCCCAGACGAACGTCTCCAAATTGACCATGCGAGCAATGGCCAAGGCAACTAATGTTCCCAGCATTTTGCCTGTTTCCTTGGTCACAGAGTATTCTTGGACCCAGATCAGCGGTCCATTTCCAACCGAGAACTTCCGTGTATATTGTGCATAGTAATTCCCTCGCCGTATCCTCCGCATCGGACCCGTTTCTCCTTGCGTAAGGGTTTGGTCGTGAGGAGTGTTGCAGCCACAGTGTGTGCAGTAGCCGGTGGGCCGATGCGTAGGAGGAAGCTCATGGAAGATGTCATCTCCCATGACCAATGTCGCTAAACCGTAGGAGAGGGCGTCAACGCCCGCAGGATGATCGGAAGACGACAAGGTATCTGGCCAGACAATGTCGAACCGGGAGTACATTTGAGGAATCGCCAGAGCATGAAGGGTGGAGCACGTCAGAGCCAGCGACGTCAAATCATTGGTATGTGTTACCTGCAAGATGACCAGAACGGTACGAGATTAGTATCATGCAAGGAGAGGGTATCAAGGTAGAGGGATGAGACAGCGTCACCACTTACCTCTTTCACGATTTCCTGCAAGATATCCATGGGCAAGTCCAACAAAAGTAGAGGCTTTTTTGCCTCCACCGGTTTCTCATCCGTCGCAAGACTAATATTCGCCGTTCCGATCGCCAGAGATGTGGTATCAAAGCTATTATCGGCTGCCTCAGGGCCAACAACAGAGCAAGTCGGCGATGGTTGAAGGCTATCCGATTCATCTTTGTTCGACACCGTGACGGAGTCCCGCTGCAATGGCCGTTTCTCCGTCAATCTATCGTCGGACGCAGCTGAAGTCGTGCTGGCGCTGGAGACGAAATCTTCCTCGTCGGATGATGCGCCTATGTCGGGGCTGAACCGATAATCGGAATAAAGGCTGCTGGACTCGGCCATATTGTTGACGGCGGACATTGCGCGATGATTTCCCTGGTATGGATTTAAGGGCAGAACATCACCAGTTGTGTCAAACAATGCGTCGAGAAGGCAAGGCGGGCAGCATGGAGGGATTTAGGTTGAGTGATTAGGTAGTGATAGATTGTTGATGATAAAGCGGAATTGACGGATCGGATCCGGGGTAGATGGAGCAAGAGGAGCAGTGGAGGGCTGGCGTGGACAACGCAGGCAGAAAACGAGTGTGGTACAGGGAAAAAGAAAACAACAGCAGATGATCAACCACAAACAAAGTCCGAAGAGTTCAGGTATAAATAAATAGGCCAAAGTCGAGTCTGGTCAGGCCTCAGTCACTCCTCGACTTGGGCTGGAAGACTCCGAAGTAGAGGAATCGAGACGAGGAGCGACATGGGGCAAGAGAGCTGCTGGCCTGCCTTGGCGAAATGGCCGCTACTTATGCCTGGATGTCCTCAGGCACTCAGGCCGCCACTAGTGGCCCGTTAATGGCCGCGTCGCCTGAGGCAGATCGTCCCCGGACTACACGTGCCGTCAATAGAATATTGACGAACATAATGAAGATGACAATCAAGCAAAATTAGATACAACTAAACACAAGAAACTAGGCAATTTCACGCAGTGGAAAATTCAGGATAAAGGACTTCGCACACCCTTCCAACAAAACCCTCGAGGCCCGACGGTGTCACCGAATTCTGCGCAGAGGCCAACGCGACCGAAGCTCCGGGCATGAGGAGCACTCGCGACCCAATTTCAACCCACTCAACCGATGTGACAAAGGAAAAGGTTATCTTCACGTCCTCTTGAGATGATGCTCGAGAGGCGCGGACCGTGTCATTCACCTCGGACTCCCCATATTCTTCCCGGTCAGCCACGTCGCCGTCAAAGTTGAAGAATTCAGGCTCGGTTGGTGACGGTGCTCTTGAAACAACCTCGTCCTCGGCAAGCGCCATGCATGTCACTTTCACTGTGGAGCGGATATTGGCAATGTACACGATGGCATTGCCACCCAAAAGCAACGGAGGTGAGAGCGAAGAAGCGAATTCGCTCGACGCAAAGCTAGCGACAAAGCCGGTGTGGAACAAGAGAGACTTGGGGATAGAGGTAGGCGCCTCGTTCAAACTGGCTAAGACAGTGCCCTTGCGAACTTTGCCGAGTCGCGGTAATTGCCCCATCGGTTGAGAAGGGAGAGGCTCGACTCCGACCGTGCCCACTTGATCCTGGATCAACTTTTGGACTGGCAACCTCAGATTCCTGACGCTGACAACACGAACACGCTGCCATTGTGCTTGAGTTGGGAAGGTGGTCTTCCCGGACACAGAATTTTGGACGAAGGAAGCCGAGAGTTCCTGCGACGGTGGCCTACCCTGAGTAGAATCATGCTGTGAATGCGTCCCTGAATGCCGCTCTAACCTGCTCCGCAACCCTTGATCGAGAAAGGTATTGGTCAGTAGCGGCCCAATAACTAGCTCGTCCCCAACCGAGATCGCTCCGTAACGGACCAGCCCGCACAGAACGACGCCATGATTTTCCTTTCGAGGCTGCTCTGCAGAGACAGAGTAGACCTTAGACGGAGGAATAGCAAACACCTCGTCAATGTCGAAAACATTGGTGGGAAGATGGGTGGGCGGTAATGACCTTGGGATAGAGATGGACCTGGGCGGAGGCCGGGTTGGGATAGGAAGATACCGGAGGAGCGCGTGCAATTTTCCAATGCCTGTGCCATCGACAGCGCTCGCGAGAACAATAGGCACAACAGATGACCAATTGTCAGTGGACTGTACAATCTTTCGGACTTCTTTGCTGTCTTTCGGTTCTATATGCTGTAGATCCACGGTCATGCCAGATGTGTTCGGCTGTGCAGGGAGCATAGCAGGCTTCTTGCCGGCAGTCTTCAACGCAGAGAGTACTCTGGTGAGATTCGTCCTCAGGCTCGTAAGAGATGCAAGGTCCATCTTAGTGATCACCACGATTGTGGGCACGTCCAATTTGACGCACAGTTCAAGATGCGACAAGGCCAAGCTGATATCAGTCGTTTGCTCCGAAGCACCGTTGCCCGACTCCGAGGAGGCGTCATCCTCACAATTGGCGGGGATGCAAAGCAAAACATAGTGCGGCGCCCAACTGATCAGTCCTCGCAATGTAGACTTCAGGTAGCGGACTGAGCCTGGAAGATCCGAAACGAAAGCAAGACGGCCACTTTGTGCAGCCGCATGAACATCATCCCATGCTGCGACATTGCCTGACGCATAGTTGATAACGTTGACCTCCTCGGCAGGGGCGTCGGCAGAGTATCCGATCAATTCATGGGCGACAGAGCTGGTGATACCTGAAGAGATTTCATGCCGATGTTTCAAGAGACTTAATCTGCTAGTCCCTCTACCATTGTCCAGTACGGACGAGGTCAAAGTCCCCAAGAGTGATGACTTTCCGGCAGTGCTTGGTCCAGAAATGGAGACCCGGATCTGCTCCGTAGACGAGAAGCAGCCCTCCTGTGAAATGGTCTGCCCGGCTTCGACTGATCCAGAGCTATCTCCCCGAGAACCTTTCCTAGGCGACGGGACCTTGTAGAAGTCCCAGTCCGGACTCACCAACGCTTCGGCCACCCACAGATCCCCGGTGTGGACTTTCTCGTCGTCATGAGCATCACCAGCAGGTACATCGTCCGTCCATTCGCATTTACCCACAATAACGCGGCGGAGTATATCAACCTTACAGCCCAAGCTTGCAGCCATTGCCTGCAGATTAGACAGACTTTCCTCTAGCTCATCCTGAGCCAGTCCAACGAAGGTTCCATCGTCGGCAACGCCAATCTCGTACAAAGCTCCCTGGCTTTCCTCAAGACCAGGCAACAAACGAGACGGTTTCTGAGGAGCCCCCAGAAGGTCTGTAGCATCTGGAAGAACCGGCAGCACAAGGTTGGCCGCTGTAGAGGAATGGAAAGGCGACGACTGCTGCAGACGCCATAACAACTGTGTCGTCAGGGATTGTAGGCGCTGCTGGCGACTGAGAGTCGAGCGGCTTCCAGAAGGCTTTGGATTCGACTCATAGCTAGAAGGCGTGGGGCCCGACGTCGACAAACTTGCGCGGGAATGATACGAGCCACTGACAAGGTGACCGGTGGATACTGATGCATAGTATCGTCGCGAGCGCAGCATCAGGTGGAGTTTGTATTCCGTGGGTCCTTCCTGGGGTTCTGGCTCCAGCTTGGTGATGCCGTAGTCCGATAGAACGTCGGCGTCGGTCCGGTCTAGATTCGCGTTGGAGCGGTTCCGAATCACCATGCGGGTGCCGCCGCCCCCGGCTTGCTGTGGGGTGGAGGACCCGGATGTGGACCATGGCGAAGAAACCCGCGGAGGGTCGGGATCGTAGGTGAAGATAGACGCCATGTCTCAAGAACGTGAGGAATCAAGGCGCAATTGCAGGAACAATCGTGCGGATAAAGCCGTGGCAATCCGGAATAGCCAATGAGTGGAATTAGAGGGGAATGCAAGTTCAAACAAGGCCCAGGCGCAGATGCAATAAGTGTATAGATAATAATGAAATGGTCAAGTCCCAGAGTGTGTGAAATCCTACGCATGTGCAGTTTAATCGTATTGGTATAGTCATTTTAGGGGGGGGGGACGGAATGTAGCAACGTGGACAGTAGAAACCGAGGACGCAAAGGCCAGGAAGAGAGAGAACAATCGCTCCAGCTAAATAAGCCACGGTGAGCAGTTATGCAGTCATAGGGGATTGACGATGTAGAGTGAAGACATGGTGCACCACAAGTGACTCACTATTGTTTCCCTGAAATTCCAGGCATCCCATCGTTGTCGCTGATGGCCGGCACGACGGTCAGGTGATCCATGATGTAAGCGACTGGTACTGGCTGGATGCCTCAGGCAGTATATAAAGGTTTCCCATATTGTTCGATGCTTCATCATTTCGATATTTGATAGTGGGTTCAGGATTCCTCGCCATTAATACATTGTTCATTATCATAGTCTCGAGTATATCATTTCTGTCAATTACCAGCAAGCACGTTGTCATCCAAATCAATCTCTTTGTATTGCGTTTTGTATTTCTTCTCCATAACTACCAAAGAATGACCTATCTAGACCTATGTTGCTTTGTGCTAAGAATATTCTCTTTTGGGTACTTGGAAGCTAGGCCGTTTGTCTATTATGAGTTTCTCTAGTTCTGAACACTGAAATTTTCTGTCTAGATTTATGACAAATTATTTTTCCTCGCAAGGATTTAGTTTGCTTCTCTGGGCATAGTACCCCGTACCTAGAAGGTGGAATACAGTAGCAGCTTATAGCTTGTAATTGCAAAAATCCGTCAAAGCCGAAGGATCGAGGCTGTCGCCTTGGCGCATTATGTTAGAATATACGGAGAAAAATTACCGAAATAAAGGAAAGATAGTCCAGCTAACGGAGGCCGAATTGAACGGAAATCATCGACAATAGGTAGAATTACCAGAACAATCATTATATGTAAATGATTGATTTATGTTCACCGATAGGTTTAATAGTATTCGTAAAGATGAGCTCTGTTCTGTCGGGCGTAGCGATCGAGTGCTGGCGATGTACTAATTTCTTACTGGGGCAAGCGCTGGTCGGTCGCCGCTGATTAAAAGCCGAGTCTCCCGGACCAAAAAAGTACATCATTGAACTCACTTTCCCCTCTCCTCATATTATCGTCCATCTTGGTAAATCATGGGCACGATAATAATAACAGGGGCTAATGGCTCTGTCGCAATTCCTGCCGTAGAGCAACTTTTGTCTCAATACCCCGATCACACGCTGGTTTTAACCGTGCGCAACGCGGCCAGCGAGGACCCGAACACTCAAAAGCTTCGCGATGTCATCTCGCACCACCACACAGCAAAGGCATCTATTCGTCAACTTGACCTGGCCAGTCTTTCTTCTGTCCATAAGTTTGCTGGACATCTCGCGACCGAGATCACGGAGGGCAAACTCCCGCAACTCACCAGCATCGTCTGCAACGCGTATTACTGGAACCTGGTGGCCGAGGCACAGCTGACGGAAGATGGGTATGAAAAAACATTCCAAGTGAACCATCTTGCACACTCAGTGCTTGCTCTGCGTCTTCTGGGTCACTTTGGCCCGGATGGTGGTCGCATCGTGCTTTTTAGCAGCGACACCCATTTTCCTGGCCAAAGCCCTCTGGAGAAGTATCCGCCTGTCATCCCGGATGACCTAGACTTGTTGGTCAAGCCGCCGACTTATGAGAAAGTCGATCATATGGGACGTGGTTTCCAAAGTTATTCCGTCTCGAAACTGGCAATCACCATGTGGATGTATGCGATCAATCGGCATCTCGAGAAGGTAAGGATAAGCAACTCATAGCTACTTTTTAACGACGACACATCAGCTAATGTATCTCCTTGTGTAGGATGAGAATCTCAAGAACATTACCGTGGTTGCCATCAATCCTGGTAACTTGACAGACTCGCGGGCCCTGCAGGTCAACACCCCCACACAGGTCAGGATCATGTCGAGCTTTATCATCCGACCGTTTTCATTTCTTCTGCGTCGCTTGATGGACCCGACCATGCGTTCTGCTGGTGAAGCGGCAGATGATATCGTTGGGCTGGCGACCAGTAAGATCAATCCCGGGGAGGGTGGCTATTTCACTCTTTCCAAAAAGGATAAGAGCTCGTCAGACAGCTACAACGAAGAAGTGCAGGAGAAACTGTGGAAGAAGACCCTGGAATGGGGAGGAATCAATGGGGAGAATAGCGCACTGAAGGAAGTTTAATTCGTTAAGGGGCTCTGGGGATGGTGATATTCTGTTTTAAACTGTTAGTGATGATATGATATTTCTTGATACCTACCAGCTATGGAATTAAGTGCCGACCTGATTCAGTTGATCGATTGTTCAGAACTTTTGATCTTGTTGAGATCGATGGGATGGTTGTAGAAGGATGGGCCTTCCTAAATTTTTTGTACAAGAAAAGTGATCAAACAACAATATCACGTGCATGCATTGTGCCCGAAAGATAATGTATTGACCACTGCTCTTGTCTTCTCCTCTCTCTCTATCTGCTCAAAAGTCCTGCCTTGTCTAGATCCCGGTCATTGATCAATACCAGCCGCGGAGCGGCTGCTGTCTTCACGGTTGTAGTTCGACAAAACAGATCCACATCCGCAGTTAGCAAGCGATTGGATTGAGTCGAACAATCATCCGGTAATTCCATGTTGGTACAGATTCGATTCCAGCGAGCTTGCTGACCAGAAATGGCCAAGAAAAAATAGAGGAGGTACGCCCCGCAGCGGAGTCAAGGTGTGCTGAACTGGCCTTTTCTGCACGTGTTGAATTACGGCTGCCTTGTGTTCGCGTTCAAATAAAGTATCCAGATAGACGCTAACAAGGTTATTCCTTCCGTGGGCCATGTTATCAGTGGATTTTATCCCTGCAGCCGTAAGATGCTGACCAGAACATCGGGACAAGCGGGAGTTTAGCGTGGCTGTTGAAGAGAGTGCACATGTTCTGCAAGAGGGTCAAGAACAAAACATCCGAGTGCTCTACTCCATAAACAAGAGTCCTGCGCTAGTATCTTCTCTCGGCTCGCGTTATCACTTTCGTCACAATCCGAGCCGCCGGGCAGATGGGGCGCATAACCCTAGTGAAAGATGGGTTAGCGATCAAAATGGCCTCTATCTAGAGGGGTTGTGATTGGCATCATGACCCACCATGCCAGACAAGACTGGGGCCGTGGGGTAACAACTCCGCTCTGGAATGCGTTAGAGAGGTTGCGCTGTTAATGAAATGGTCATTATTGGTAGCGGACCTCATGCAATGCGACCCTTTTCTAACTGCTACATCCCTGTCCGTCATGTGACCGGCAGTTGACGCCGACGACATCCCCTCCTCTGCGCCTTCTCGACCGTTGCATATTCGTGGCTGGCCGAACAGATTCCACGATCATCATGTCGAGTGAAATTGTCAACTTCGTGGAGGGTCTAGGTCTCCCATCGTCCCGGTCTGAGGCATTGCAGAGCAAACTAGTCGAGGACACTCGGCTGCTAGACTATTTCTCTGACCAGGAGGTCTCCCAGAATTTCAGGAACGGACTGGCTTGCAAGTTGCTCCAAGAAGTGCTTGGAAACACAACTGTAGAAATACCACAGAATGGAGTCAAAGTTGAGGGTAGTTGGTGAGGGCGCTGTGCAGCACCGAGTCTAATCAGACGCTTCCGATCAAAGGACTGACCATACCAAAGGTCTGCGACTTGCTCACTGCCCTCAAGCTGTGTTGTCCTCCCAGCTTCCGCCCAAGATGTATCCAGAATACTTCAAATCATCAACCTTGTCAAATCAGATTTGCCATCCGCAGTGGCGGTCATTCGCCCAACCCAGGTTGGTCCAGCATCGACCAGTCGGGTATTCTAATCGATTTGCAGAGACTAGATCAAGTGACAGTCAGTGAAGATAGATCTGTCGCAAATCTAGGACCGGGCGGACGATAAGGAGATGTCTATAAGGCCTTGGATCCGTACGGCGTCAGTGTAATCGGAGGCCGCATCCCGCACATTGGGGTTGGAGGATTGATTCTCGGGGGTACGCACGTTGGTTGAGAAAGCCGTATTCAGGGAGATGGTTGACCAAATTTCTCCTGTGAAAAGGAGGATTCTTTCATTTCTCCGGCCAGTATGGAATGGCCGCTGGCAATGTCAAGAACTTTCAGGTATGGTCTACTCGCACTCGGACTCGGAAACCTGGCACCCAAGCCCTAACCAGATTACCAGATTGTATTGGCGGACGGAACGATTACGGACGCAAATGCGAAAGAGAACTCCGATCTCTTCTGGGCCCTCAAAGGCGGAGGGGCCAATTTCGGTGACTCTACCAACAAAATCGCAGATGGAATTGGCTCGCAAGGCTAACCGGTCGAAGGAATTGTGACTCGATTCGACTGTTATACCATCCCGGTGCATAAAATATGGCGCCAAGTGGGCACATACAAGGTAGAGCAAGCGCCTGCTCTTCTTGAATCCTTCGCCAAATGGCAAGAGACCGGAGCCTCAGATGTCAAGGCCACCGTTGCCCTGATAATCGGCTTGGAAACGGCTACGGTCGGATTGATCTACTCCGAGTCCGCAGACGAGTAGCCTGCGAGCTTTGCTCCCTTCAAAGATATCCCCCCCCCTTGAGTTACGCCATACAATCAACGAATGGGACAGTGTTAGAATTAATCCAGATCCTGGGTGGCTCCTTTGCTAATAGCCCCACCAAGTAAGATGACACCTCACAACACCTCGATATTTTGGAGCCTAGGGGGTTGGAAAAAAAAAACTCGAGAGAAAAAAAAGAAAAAAAAGAAAACAAAAAAAGCCTATAGGATATTGGGATCGTTCTGCTGACAGGGTTGAACCGAAAAAATAATTAGTTTCCAACGACATGACTATCGGGGCGCGAGTTCTCGAATCGATGCCCAACTATCCAAAGAAAGGTACGGTTTCTGGAGAGAACGGGCCCTCGCGGTTTACGAAGCCACCAGCGCTACGCAAACGTTTGTCCTCCAGCCGATCTCGGTGAACATGATCGACCAAGGGATCGAAAAGGGTGGAAACGCCATGGGAATCACTCGAGAAAATGCGCAATGTCGGTTGAATCCTTTTTTTCTTAACTTATCTCTATTGCCCCCCTCTCCTCTTCCCTTCATTTCTTTTTCCTCCCCTCCCCTCCTCTTCACTTAGTCCCTACACCCACCCCCAGTTCCGGAACATCCAACCAATCAACCCCACAGACACGAAAATCATGAAACGACAGCTTACGCCTAAGCTAACTTTCTTTTTCTTCGGCCGTAGGATGGACCACTCTTATAGACTGGGAGCACGAGAACGACGACGAGACGGTGAGAGCCGTTTCCATTGCTACAACCGAAGGGTGGAGACACCTTGGAGAGAAGCGGGGACTCCATGACCCGTTTGTATACCTAAACGATGCCGCAAGGGATCAGAATCCGCTGGATTCCTACGGCGTGGAGAATGTGGCCAAGCTGAAGACCGTGTCGCGGAAATATGATCCCCAATAGATCTTCCAGAACTTGCAGAACGATGGATTCCTTCTCTCAAAGAGTCTAGTCCCGCCCCTCTCCAGCATCTAGTTCAATAGTCAGTCAATCACTTAGCGCATTTACCCAATCCAGGGGGCTACCACGAAGAAGGCGTCGGAGCCGGAGCGAGTTCCGACAATCTACTCCGTACGGGAGGAAGATAGTCTACCTGTCGCGGTGAAGGAGCGACGGAGTAAGTAGGTAGTGCGTCGAGTCAGTGACATGACATGACGGGAGAAAGAGAAAAGCGGGCTAAAGATGGACATGTTGAGGATGTCTCATTTCTCGTGTTTCTTTCCCATTTGTTGTCACGTCATACCACAAATGCATATCTTCCCCTAATACTATCGAGCAGGTCGTATCTGCTGCTACTATCTGCTGCTAACCAACCTAACTACCTTTCACCGGGAATTCACTCTCCCTGCTGACCTCTAGCAAATAAAATCATACACTAACGCACCATCTATCCATCAAGTCACGTTTCAAACCCCATCCCCAGGTCGTCGCAACAGATACCCTAAAGATAGACACACCACCCCATACAACCAGACAAAAAAACAAAAAAAGAAAAAGTCCCAATTCCAATTATAGTGCAGTGAAATTGGCCCCTTTTTCCATTTGACCTCCTTGTTTTCTTTGTTTTCTTTTCTTTTTCTCTCCCCCTTCCATGCTCTGCCTCAACAACAAGGATATTGTTCCTTCTCTCACCCATCCACCCTCTCACCATCTTCCAGACTAGCTAGTAGCTACATACATCCTACATAGCTAAACACTACCTAGACGCTAACTAGTCGAAACTACTCGACAACACCCCCAAATCCCAAACCGAGTAACTGGTTATCGAACGTTCTAAACCTACTTTGACACGTGGTTGTGCCGCTGACTGAAGACGATGACGATGACGATGGGCGATGACGATGGGCAAGAGGGCTCCACAACGCTCAGACTTTTCCGCAATTGTTTGATTCAGATTTGACTCCATGCCTCCTCCTCCTAGGCTCCTACTCCGTTCCGTACCTGAGTACTCCGTCCCTACTCCGTCCCTACTCCGTAGCCTCGTGCCTACTTTTAGTTTTTTGGACCCCATGTTTAACCCATCTCTTGCTCGTACTATCGCTCTTTCCCTTTTCACGGTACGAAGGACGGGACTATGGGGTTCTGTATATAGGGATTGTCGATTCTTAAATTAATTATTAATTTCTAGTTTACCAATGATGCGGAAGCGGAACACTGCCGGCATCCCTCCGTACTCCGTACTACCTACATACTCCGTACATGATATGTCTATCAAATGCTCCATTGAGATCTACCTACCTAGTACCTACCCAACCCAGTTCTTAGTGTTCTTCATCATCCCCAAGCCTCACTCCCTTTCTCTTTAGGATGTAGTTCCAGAATAGAAAGGGAAGGGAAAATCAGGCAATTCGAAACCCAAGGCTCAAAAAAGGCCCCCTTTCACTTTCGCTGGGAATCGTCATCGTTTAACAGCAACGAAATCAAAAAGTCGAAGCCACTAAAAAGATTAAATATAGTACTTTGGTGATTTTTTTCCTTCTTTTAATCCAAACCCCTGGAATGATTCAATGTTCCCTTGTGTGCTTTCCGTTCTATATACAATATCCCATAGTTCCAGATAAATGCTAAAAAGACAAAAAAAAAAAAAAGATGATGAAACAAAAGAAAAAATAAAAATAAAAATAAAATAAAAACCGGCAGAAAAAAAGATCAAAGGCTGTCAAAAACAAACTCAAACTCAACACAAAAAAAGGGGGTAAAAAAAAGTCAAAAAAGAAAGAGCATAAGCCACACCGAGAGAGAAAAACGAAAATGCAAATGCCCCAAACCAAAAGGCCCCATAAAACCCCCGAAGTAACTCCGTCTTTAGTAAATTAAACCCCAGCAAAGTAACAAATCAAAACCAAAAATAACTACTCCGGTTGAAGGGTATCAGCAGTTCCCCAGTCTAATTTCACCCCCGTTTCTCCCCAATTTGACCTTTTTTGGTTTTTTTCTTTTTTGCTTCGCGCGTTTCCGTCCGTCAAGTCAGTCAGACATCGATCCACCGATCCCGTTGAAGGGGGCACTCCGACCCGGGAGGATCATCTAGGCCTTTTTCAGCCACGAGTGAGACAATGCCAAAGTCAAAGCTAGTGCAGGTCCCTCAATCGGATGGATCGCCCTCCAAATCGGTCGATAGTGTTCGTGATCGTCGGAATCGAAAGGTCGTTAACGGCTGGCTGAGGTGTTTCGTTCTGGTTTGTTGCCTCCCCCAATTTCCCTGGGTGAATAGTCGGATTGTTGAATGGATCGTCGCGGACGTATGCAGGTGTCGGTCTGTATGAGTGTCTGTCTGTAATTCTAGTAGTAGTGTGCGTATGTGGTTGATTTGGATGTTTTTTTTGGTTTCTGGTTTTTTCTTCAGTTCTGGCGTCCCCCCTGGCGGGTTTCGATTCCGTCAAACCTAGCCGAATAAGGTACATAGATAGGATCTCGGTCTCGGATTAAGTTCAACGCGCAGGCGATCTCGTATCAAGTCGGTTCATCTACTCGATAGATGTTTCGCGGCCTCCGCCTTTGCATTTGCCCTGGGCCACGTGGATATTGCGAGCCGTTGTTCGAGTAAACACTGCGCCACAACTAGGACATTCGGCCTTTGCGACGACGCCGGATTTCTCGCGCTGGTGACGGAGAAGGTTGCTGAAGGTGGAGAATTCGCGGCCGTTGCAGCCATGGTCCCAGCATTGGGGCTTGGGTCGAAAGCTGATAACTCGCACTTGTTGTTCGGGATCTGATGAGCCGGCGGGAGGTGTTGATTCGGTTGACGAGTACACTGTTCCTGGGTTGATTAGGCTTTGGCCTGGAGGGTTGACGCCAAGGGAGCTTGGGTTTGAGCTGTGGGGGGTTAATTGGGTTAGTGAGATACGTTTTCGGGTGGGTTGATGAGCCGAGGTTTGGGGTGAATGGAAGGCAGGACTCACGAGAAGGAGGAGTTCTGGGCGAGATAGTAGTCGGGTTGGTTGAGGAGGTAGGATGAGGGACTGGAGGTAGTAAATGTTAGCGAGCTGATCACTGCTGATCCATCCATTCCTTGGTCTTTTTTCTTACGGAGATGCGAATGCTTGGTCTTGTATCGTCGGAGGACTGCTAGATACTTGACTACTGGGGTACGAATAGGGGACAGGAGAGCTATCCACAATCAGACCAAGGAAATGGGTACGATCTGCCACAAATGGAATAATGCAAGCTTACCTGCGAGCGTGATGCCGACTTTGAGGCATAGATGGGTGCGAAGAGAGATACTGAGGAGCGGGAGCACTAGGCTGGTAGTAGCTCTGCGTGCTGGGAGGATGTTGGTTGTATCCAACGTGATATCCTGGTACAGATGAAATGGGAGGTTGCGAAAACGGTTGCTGATCCATGGCCATTGAAGGAGGATGGAAAGGCTGCGACGTCCGGCCTTGCCAGCCGTAGTCTGTCGAGAGTCAGTTTGTGAGGCCCAAACCAATGAGGGAAAACAAATCCTTACTGTGTGAATTGTGTGCCATGGCTCCTGGTAGATATGATCCGGAGGCTGCGTACACAGACTGGATGGGAATTAGTTTTGCTTTCCATACCTTGCCGTGACTTCTATAGAAAAGGATATCACGGGTTATCGATGCACGTACCATGAATCTCTAATTACCTTTGCTTTTGATCTTGAAATTCAAAGGCTGGTGTGGTTGGAATATTTCCCTGATTGAGTAAAAGAAGGAAATGGTGGATTTGGCGTGTCGCAGAGCTTCAGCGCTCTATTAGTTCTTGGTGGTGAGATATGACGAGAAAAGCCTCGTGGGCTTGATGTCCAGCTCTATGTTCAGATCTCGGACCGACAAGTCGGTTAGCGGCGGAAAGACCAAGTCCAACCGTTTTTTAAGGATGGACTCGGCAATTAGCAATAGTGATGATGGAGAGTGATGTGCTCTCCACAGATACTGGTGGTGGAAATATGGGTTAACAATCGAAACCGAGACACGAGAAGGGCGAAGACAAGGACGGATATTTAAGAGACAGTGAGAAACATACAGTGCGTGTCTATAAAGGGAAGAAAGTCTGATATTGTTGGTCAAGAGCCACCGCAGCCACAGATAGGTTGTTAAGTGAGACTAATGCTGACACGATTCAGGATATATGGGAGGGTACGAGGCTTTTTAGCCAGAGGCCGAAGTAGCAAAGAGTATTTAAACGCCGTGGACGTGAGAGACCAGGAGACACACGGCGCGAAAAATAGAAAATCGAGTCACCGAAATTCTGAGAAAGCAGAATAATAAAAATAATAAACGCAATGAGCATGAACTGGGGGGCCGAGAATAGTTCGTCTGGGATTTAGTTTGGAGCTCAGCTTATGGGCAGTGGCATTTCTTTTTAGTCCCAGGCTTAGTCTTATTAGGTAGTCTTATTATCATTACTATTATTGCTGGTGTCGTAAGTGCCTGGTTATCGTTTCGGAATGATTTTTTGAATTATTTTTGAATTTGCATTTATTTTATTTTTTATTCTATCATTTAATTTAGTTGGTCTGCAATTTATTTAATTTGGGATTTTTATTCGATTTGCGAATTTCGACTCTTCTCATACGTTCCGTCCCACTGCCACGGTTAGACTCAGGACAAACCAACATTGTCGACTTCTTGCTGACTGGTCCTGACTGGAATGATTTGAGTTGAGTTGATTTCTTTTCATTGTTCACCGTCTTGCACCGTTGATTCGGTCGCGCTGGCGGCTATTGTTCGACCCTTAATCTTGACCTGGGAGTGGCCTTGGCCTACCACGGTCTTTATTTTTATTTTTAATTTTTCTCGTTTGTGCGTGCCTTTTTGGTTGATGCGCGCATAATATTTTACGAGCTAGAGGGAGAATTCGGGATACCAGATGCAGAATGGCCCTGCAAATGATTTTCGCCATCCTAGGACCTGGAGGGCATCCAATCCAGTAACGGAACCGTCTGCAAATGGGATCAGGAATCACCTGGACTGGAAATGGACTGGGACTACATTTGGGGATCCACTCCGCAGGGCTTGACATAGGCAGCCGACGTTGGTCAATGGGCAAAAAGCATGGTTGCGCCGTGGAGTGGACGGACCCATTGAGGACGGAGCCTTTTTGAATCCCGTGAACAAGAAACAAGGTGCTGGAGCCGTCGTCGAGCCGGGGGGAGTAGGCTGGTTCCCTAGTCGCTCTTCTTCTTCTCTTCGACCACGACCCCCCCCCCCTGGCCCCGGCATTTGGAGATGTCCGCACTAGAAGGGCGATGGTCTGCCTCTTTGTTTTCGATTAAAAAAAAAAAATTTAATTTTTCTTTCCCTTTTTTTTTAGACCCTTACCTGAAGCTGATTCAGTGTCTGGCGTTTCGCCCTCCCCCTGTCGCTTTGTCTTCCTGTCTCCGTTTTTTTATTTATTTATTTATTTCTTTTCTTTTCAGCCCCAAGAGGCTAACAAACGCCACAAGTAGTGTGGTTTTTCCATTCACCTTCTTCGATTTTCTTTGGTGGATGGACTGATTAGTGATTTGGGGGCCAAAGGTACCAGGATATACCCGATTCGTATATCGGAACCAGCCAGAAGCGGGTACCGGACTCGGAGAAGAGTAAGACACGGCCAGACGTACGTGGAATCAACAATAATGGAACATCATGATAGGAAGAAGGATAATTTAGATCCGGAACCACATGGCGATAAGCAATGGGCGGTTCAATTGGAATTCCCTTCCTTTGTCTTTCCCCGGAGGAGCAAGAATAGATGTCATTTGTCCATGCCACCCGGGTCTAACAGAAAGGAGGGGGGAAAGGAACGAAAGGGGAGAAAGGGAGGGGGGAAAAGGGAGCAATACAGGCGACTGAACCTAGAATCCATTCGGGATTAACAGTGGAAGGAATGGTTCCCGCAGATGACATGACGATGATCGAGGGGAGTGAATCTTGTTCGGATGTATCAGGACTTTTGGTCAATACGTCAATACGTCTGGCCCCCACTAAGTTGGCAGAGTTGACGCCAGCCACTAACGGATCCGCCCTTTACAATCAGTATCGCCAGATGCTATGGTGTGCTCTTTTTGGTCTGGATTCTGGTATAAGGGGTGAGGTGGAAGCTAGAAATGTGACCGAATTAGGGCTGAAACCAAACGATTCACGGTTGGGTATGAGGGAGATTTTGGCCGGTCAACTTTATTTTTTGTTTTTTTCTTTTCTTTTCTTATTCGGGTCTAAGATAGAGGTCGCATTTCATGCGGTTTTTGGATAGTACGCAGTAGCTCTAGGATCTTAATTGAGTCAAAAAAAACAATCTCACGTAAAATAGATTAACAGCAAAATAGAATATAGTGAACCCACAGGCTGGCCCTTGACATCGATCCAGCAAGAGATCGACAACCCCAATCCGACCATCGTGATGACGATATCTGCTGGGAAAGACCGAACGAGCTAAAAAGACCCCAGTGAAGTCATATTCCGTTGGGGACGGGCGGAGAAATACGACTGATGCTCGCATGGATTGGCGAAGGGGGGAAGAAGAAACCAACGCCCAGGTCGAAACGCCGGCGGCAAAGCTGTTTCGTTCGGTCTCGACGGGCGGAGACGGTCAGACCATGACACGTCGTTGCTTTTGGTTAATACGGTGGATGACGATGAGGATGCCTGAATTGCCCTGTACTGTACACACTACTCCGTATAGACAGTAGGCGCCAAGCGGGGGGTGGATGACAGCCACCGTCAGATCGCGGACCCTGTCTGGTGCGTGAAATACCCGCCGTGGGCTGAACAGTTGGATGTGAACGAGGACTTGGGCCTTTTTTTGCGTTCATGAATCATTCCATACCTCTGTGATCCAACTAAAATCGACTTCTTTGGAAAAGGAGGGGGCCGACACGGAGTTGAAGGGAAAGTGGAAATGTAGGACGTCGATCGAGACGGCAGGATTATGGGAAGGAAGAAGGAAAAATAAAAAATAAAAAATAGATTAAACCAACGGTGCAAAAACCCCATGACGCCGTGGGTGTGTCACTTGATGCGCCGCACTCCGACTAACTTAACGCTTTCTCCCTTCCTGGACCTCCGACCTCCGTAAACATCACTGATGGCAGCCACTTCCGACGGCGCCCTTTCTTTCTCCACACATATCCTGGTCTATCCTCATTAAATGTTGGGGCCGTTTCTCGGCGACACGCTTCCGAAGCCGCCATGATCTGGGATTGTCTACTCCATGGGTCCCGCGCCTCTGATGCTCCCCTAACTAAAGGTGCCACGCCCACAACGGACAACTCCAGAGCTCCATCTTCCAGCATCCCCATCGCCACGCGCGACAGATTTGAGCGACACAGCCAGACGGGGAGTCCGAGAACGAGGCGAGAGACAAACCAAAGACATGCGGGACCGTCCCAACCGCAGATCTTTCCGATCGCCTCGACCGGAGACCCTCACTCCCATGGAATCTGTCCATCTAGTTGAAACCATAACGTATTTTCTCTCCCCTCACCTCTCCCTTCGTGCTCTCTCTAATCTATAAAGTTTAAGCTGAGCCTTCCAGGATCAAACGATCGGCCGGTCTCCACGTGCCGCGCACTTTTATCGATCCTGCTGGCTCTGCCTCTTTGGTTACTCCGTAGCTTAGTGATCTTTTTAGTCCGTCTTTCCCCGAACGGAGTACGGACAACGTTCATACCGTCGCACCCTGGCGGGTGGGGAATGCTGACTTGACTTCGAACGCGCTTGCCTTTGCAGTGTCCTCTCTAGAAGGAAAAAGAAGATCCAAAAAATCACCCAATTCCGCCACCGTTGGCACCGTCTCCTGCAAGCGCCGAACTAAGTCGGTCTAACAGACTAACACCCCTGCGCCCCTCCCTAGCCGACGGAGTAAGGTGCCAGACCATTCCCGCAGAAGCATATGCGCGACCCTTTCAATTTCGCATGGGTCCCTAGACAAGGTCATTACCAATCTATCTTCCGGCTCCCCCTCATCTACTCCAAGCGCCATGTGGCATGGCATGCGGTGTGGAATACCCTGGAAAGGCCACGAGGATCGCGCCGTGCATAATTCCTTTGTCCTTTCTTATTTTTTTTTTTTTTTTAACCCCGACAAAAAGAGGCACAGGGTGTCGCTCCGACGATTTTTAATCGGGTCCGTCACCTTGGCAGCTCACGTGGTCGGCGTCTAAAGTTATTATTTTATTCATTGGTATCGAATAATTAGGCAGCGAGTGAGTCAATCCGTCCAACAGCAGAGAAGAGGGGGAAACAAAGACCGGACCCGGCTCGCAAGTACTACGGAGCTACACATTACGGTGTACACGGAGTATGCAGTACGGTGTGATACGCGCCGGTTTAGTGATGCGACCCTCCGCCCAGCTATTGACTGTTCTATGAGCGGCCCCGGATCAACGCGAGACCCTTAGGGCGTAGTTCAGGGCTACATGCAGTGAACTCGTGCAAGGAGAACCCAAAGCAGAGCAAAGTGTTGCTTGGCTCCCCTGATTCCCTGAGTGGATCGTCAGTTGTTCTTCCCCCCCCTGACCATGCCCCATTATTTTTCTGTGCTTTTTCCTCAATCCTTTTCGCGCGTACCATTTATTTGATCAAATTATTACGGATCTGCGCACCGCCAATTGTCCCCTTCTCTTGCTAAAACGCGGGAGACGCCGAAATACCTGCCAATGTTTCGGACTGAACTATCTGCTGCAAGGCCTTCACAGCGACGCGGCGAGCCGAGATCACCATTAGTTTCGAAGGGCATTGGGGCCGAGGGGCAGAAATGCATCCTGCACAATTCAATTCTCTTTCCTTTCGTCTCGAATATTCTAGGCCCTGCATAGGGGGCAAAGTTCAAAATTGAGCTTCTGTCGGCTGTTGTTGGCAGTTGGCCCTAGAATGTCACCAAGAATAGCTAGCTATCCAGATGCTAAGCTTGCCTGACAAAAAGGGTTTCGTGTTCTCCTGTTACTATTTTTTCCTGTTACAGAAGGGGCGGCTTTTTGCTGCCACGGGGGTGACGGACAGGTGGCAGTGCGTCCCCCTTTCTTCTTCGTCGGGGAGCGGGGATGGTCGAGCCCGACGGTGACAAAAAAGGAATTATCATCGTGGGGGTACTTTCTCTGACAGTGAAGAAAGTGCTGGTCCCAGAAAAAAGGCAATGCACAGTTCGATTTTAAAGATAAGCAATGGGAGATCGGCTGTGCCGATTCTCCTAGCTCCGTAAGACTGTCTCATGTCATGTTACAGAATCAACTCGGAGCTGACATCTATGTCCGTCATGGAGGGTATCTATGGGAGAAAGCGCGAGATAAATTCGCTTTCCGAGCCGAAGTTATGATTATCTGGCATCACATCAAAGTCTGCTTGGAGCGAGCTGAACGAGCGAGAAAAAGCAAACATGCAGGAACAAACCCTTTGCCAAGCGCCAAAACCAGGTATGTGTCATGTCTCCGGCCTAAAGAGGAAACTTGCAGCTCCATTTTGGCATCGTCATTTCGGATAAAAGAACCGGAAGAAATGAGAAAGAAAACCATCTTGCCGGCTCATGGGGTGGTAGAACTATGTCTACACCGCCATTAGTTCCGCGGAATACTATGGACTTTCACGGTCTGCCATTTGGGTCAATTGACTGTCCACGTTAACCTACCCTAGTCGGAAGATTTTCAATCGCAGGGTGGCACACCTTACCCAAATCAGTATGACGATGTCACGAGAACTAAGTACGGAAATTACACTGCTCTACATCTCATCTCAACTGTACGGACTACGGACTACGGAGTATCATCGAGAGATTAAGATTTCCGTCTCGGGTCTGAGTTGCCTTCATTATTAATCGAATTATGACGGACAATAGGGATACTTCAGATGGTGATATTTCGTTGGGGATGAACATCTCTTAGCATGGCCTAAAGTCTAAGCCGCATTTGCCGTGATTTTATCTCATGACGGTGGGATCACACCGACGTCATGCTTAATATGAGCCTGAATCCAGGATATTATGTGGGATGCGGATCTACCCATTGCCACGCAGGTCGATAAGGGTTGAAGAGGGACTTCTGAACCAATATTGCCCTCTGGTCTCTTGATTTTGGTGAAATTTTAGATCCATGGCTCCATTTGACTCTATGCCCGGTTTCTCTTTGGTCCGCATGAGCAATGGAAATGAATACTCGTGACTAGCATATGATGCAATGGGAGAGGGGTGGCATATGTTCCTTCAGTCTCTAATCAATCGTTGAGAAAGGTGAGCCTCTCCATCTCACTTTCAAAACACAAGAAGGAACGCTCTACTAGTGATCATTCGCAATTTGTTCTTTTTTTATTGCATATTATCTTGAATTGGTCGTGTCAACCGACTGGTACTAGACGTAGATCCTGACGCCGGTACCAAAGAGCTGTAGTCTAGTAGGCACGAATGGAACCCTAACCTGACATGGCACGAAGTAGAGGCACAAGCTTCAAAGTTGGTCAATTACCTACTACCTGTGTAATTGTGTGCCACCTACTGAGTAGTCGACGGTGTACTAGCAACTTAAGTGATAACTAGTAGCCTGACGGCCACTTACCAGGGCCTATTAAAATGCACCAACAATATGAAACATGCCTATGCAACCCGCCTTGCCCTAAAATCATGGTCACTTTAGCCATTACCGCCTCATATCTGCTTCTAGTACCACAAATGGGACCTCCTGGCTACCCAACTCCGGCCTCCGATATCCGCTCTCCGTCCATCTGCACTTCCTCCGTACCCCGGAGCCCTGAGCCCGACCTATATCTAGTACCTATTGTTTTATGTGCCCCAGGCCTCCAATGTACTGACCTTCCTGTTCCAGCTAGTCCGGGCCGAGTGACACGTGGTGGCTTATCTCAGCCCTGTGGGTCAATAATGGCACCGTCTCGAACAATGGGCAGTTCCAAGCGAGGCTCCGTCCATCTCGTTCTCTTGATCCCCGGTCCGATCTGTTGGCCATCACTTTTGGTTTTCGAGAGTTAATCGTTTATCAATTGTTGGATTACGCGTTCAGCAGCAATCATACCGAAATGGTGTGCAGTGGAACACCAGCCTTGCATTCATTGTGCATTGCAGTCCCCTGTCAGCTGAAAGACGTTAATATATCTCAGACGCTATATAGACGCTAGGACTTTTGGACATGGCACCGGCGATTTTAGAGGCATGTGCTCAATTCTCCCACAATACACGCGATCTGCCAATGAGACCCAATCATGGCCATTAGCACCAGACACTACTGCAATGGACACGTCCGCCATTTCCTACTACTATGATTCCCAACATTGTGGCAATAAACTAACTTTCCGATAGTCGGTACATCTTCCTTGTCGCTCGTGGCCACCCCCTCCCGGGGACACTACCATGAACCGGGGGTTGGAGTCACATAACTCCCTGTCGCCGTATCCCCACTGCACTGGCTTGGCAGTTCCGATGCCGAAGAGCCCCAGGAAGCAGGGACGTCTCCGGCTCGTCGCGAGGCAGCTGTCAGGAAAGACGCAAAGGACCATGTCAAGTCCGTGGCCGATGTGGGTTCCCCGTTGTCGCGGGTGAATTGCTCGGCCAACCCGCCATCGCTGGGTGTATACTCCTCCACCACCGACACGAAGCCATCTGCATATGTCTTAACGGCGTTGGTGAGGGCGGTATACTCGGCCGATGACTTGGAGTATGACCCAGTGGTGACATTGCTGGCGATATCCTTGAAGAAGGATAGAGACGTGTCGGTGACGGACAGGCTGCCCTGCTTGTCCCATTGATAGAGTGCGTCATACAGCACTTCTGCGGCTGCCAGGGTGGTAAGGTACCTTATTTTCATCAGCATGGTCGAAGCTCAGAATGTGGATGCGCAATCACTAACCATGGATTTCCTCCCTGATAGGTATCCTCCGCATAGCGACCCACCGCGGCTGCTTTGCCCGCACCCCGCTCCTCGTTAACGTTGTAGATCGACCGGAACGAGTCAACTACGGCCTTGTGGTTGGATAACGCACGAGGAGAGCAAGGCTGAAAGGTGACATCGTCGCACGCAGCGGTTGGGTCGAAGGTGTGAATGGAGCCCAACAGAGAGTTGGCGTCTAGACCGCTGCGCCCACTAGTTGGAATGTTGGAAATAACCGCTGAGCCACTCCAGAAATCCTGGAGATGGCAGAGGATCTGAGGTGCCACGGAGCAGGAGTCGCAGGTTTGGCCCAGCGCTTCTGCGAAAGCATTTCCCTCAACCAAGGCCCTGTGTTGGGCGGCGGTCGTGAAGAAAGATGACCCTTGGACCTCTTCCCAGAGATCGAAGGTGCTTTCATTCCAGTACTGACCGACGTACGACAGATCGTTCTGGACGATTGGCCAGATGTTATCTTGCGCCTGCGATTTCTTGTCCTTGGCGATCAGCGAGTTGCCATATGCAATCAACGCGGAAACGCGCAGAGCCGGGCCATCACGCTGAGGACGACCCCAAGAATCGGTGAAAGCCGAGATATCGACATTGAATTTCGGCTCGCCTAACCCCGAGCCGTCGGAGAGATCACCAGATGGGCTCGACACCGTTTGCTGCTTGGCTTGGGCGTCGACATAATCCTGGATCAGGGATTCAAGGGAGTCATCACCAGCGAGAAACTGCTCGATGACCGCCAGCATGGTGAGTCCTGCATCCCTTGTCCAGGTGTAGAAGTCTGATTCGGTTAGCAATGCAATCAGGCTTAGCTTATGGCCTCGACGTACAGTCTGGGTCATCCTTCGATGGCGAAGCGACTACGATTCCCGCTGCAGCTCCTTCGACACGCTCTCCATCGGCGCCGATATTGTCGAGAACTCCTTGCTTGGCGATGGGTGTTTGTTTCTCGATAAACGCGTCGATATCGGCCTGTCTCCTAGAGATGGGGAACCGTGGTGAGGCCACCACGACACCAGCGAGGATGTTGAGAGAGAGTAATGATTTTGTCCACATGGCTTCACCGATGATAAGGATATTAGAAGGTCAGTGGTTGACTGAAAACAGATGATGACCCTTAACTGAGCAAAAACCGGTGGCCCTTTATACCTGCAGCTCCGGTCCTCGACGGAACTACATTGCATCATACTCTACAGGCAACGGGCCGATCACTCGGAAATAATTTTATTTCATCTAAAGCTCATGCACTGAGTCGGAGAGATCTTCGTGAAGACGCGCCAAAATTGAAGTTCGGTTGGATGCGATCGTCCCGATAACTCCCCGGGGCGCAACGTTGATCTTGGATATCACTGGTTGAGCGCAGCGCAGCGGACATCGGATCCCAGTCTAGTCGATTTAGTCTAGGCTTGACCACAACTTACGCTTGACTATTGGGTTGCCGTCTCATATCTTCAGAAATAGGATCGACGTCCCGGGCCAAATGAGTGTTCAGGGTTCGGTGAGGATAATCTCCGTCCCTGGGTATTTGTAACCAGTGATATGAAAGGACTGGGTTTTGCACAATGAGGGCTGCAGTCCGTGCAATTGGTGGCACGGTGCCTGACAATACACCCGGTGAGTTGCGTAGACCAGAGCTTATCCCACAAGCAGAGAAGCGTGCGATGGGAATGCTTGCTGGATCTGTATCTTTCTCAGGGGAGAACTAGGGATTCCCTAGTATCTACTTTGATTAAAATTGTTCTTTTAATGCAGTTCCTTATTTACTTCGTCATAATCATACAATCATTCATAAATCCTTAACGCCTGTAGAGTGGAGACTGGTTAGTATAGATCTCCTCACCTCCTCTGACATCAAACACTACGCAACCCAAACCTTGACCTCCATACCCTCCTCCCCCAGCTAAACACGAGAATACCTCTTCCTACAACATGGCCCAAAACCAGGGGCAAACCAAACTTCAACAAGGAGAGAGGCCTCCAGAGCGTCGCCTCCGGACGAACAGCCACTACATCGTCCCGTCCACCTTCCCTCCTCCCAATCCCCTCCTCCCCTCCCGTCTCCTTCACAAACGCCTCAACAGCCTCCACCATAATCCCAACCGTCGCCCCAGGCTGGCTCAGAAACGGCGAATGACTCGTCCTCAGCTCTCGATGCTCCACCCTTCCGCCCATCTCCCTCGCCATGCCTATTTGCATCCGCTGCGCCAGCACCGGCAACCCGCGATCCTCGGCCGTCCCGATATACCAAGTCGGCACGTCCTTCCACCCCGCGTATGCGTGCTCCCGGCCCTCGAATAGCGCTTTCAGACTCTGCGTCGTCAGCTGCGATGTCCAGTACGAGGCCTCGGAGGGAGAGAGGTCGTGGTAGAATAGTTCGCGGGGTGGCGTCACGAGTTCGGCGTAGCCAGTTTCTTGGTTCACGCGCCAACCTGGAGGGGGGTAGCCGAACAACGGGTCCATGAATGCTACCCCGGTTAGGGTGAAGCCGGAGGCGATGAGGATTAGGCCGATTACGTTGCCGTTGGGCATTTCTGTGTCGGTGTTTGTGTTTGTTCTTGTGGATGCCGATTGCTGTTGTTCTTGTGGTTTGGTTTGGCTGCCAGTGGCAATGCCAACGGTGTTGGCATCGGCATCAACATCTCGAGTCTCCTGCTGCTGCTTCGCAAACCCTCTAATAGCGCTATTCCCCACCATCCCACCATACGAGTGCGCCACGACGACCACATTACGACCGTGGCTGGTTTCATTCGCGATGGCGGCGCGCGCGACATCGACGTCATCTTTGAATGTTGCTGCGGGGTTTCCCGTCGTGGAGGGGAGTGTGATCGCGGTGCATTTCAGATCGTGGTTGTCTTGGAGGAGTTTTATGACGGGGTCGTAGCAGGTTGGCTTGTGCCAGGAACCGGGGATGAATACTAGGGTTGGGGGGGTTGTCATTTCGGGGGTTGCGTTTGATGGATGGTGGATGTGGTTGTTGTTGTTGTTGGAGGGATTACCTTGGAACGGGTCTGGGCTTGCGCTGTCGAGGTAGGTTTTGTATTGCCACGTCCTGGCATTGTGCATCGGTCATGTCCTTGTGACGTTTGTGCCGAGTGTGAGACACTAAGGCGACCAGTTACTACAATAGGCTAGCTCTGGTAAGCATTATCCTGACGCTATTCCACAATGGGTAAGGTGTGTGTGGCAGGAGGGATGGTGCTGTGGTGGTAACAGCTGCCAGTTCACAGTAGTATAAACCTTTATTCCTTTATTGCATCATCTTTCGAGGTGGATTTAGATAAGAGCTCTGAAGAACTTCATAAATCTTGCCCCGTCCCTCATGCTACTCAATTGCTTATAGTATGATAATTCAAGATATATAATTATGTGTTGTAACTCATTATCTTCATCTATATATGACTGTTTAGTTGCAGAAGCCACGTCCGCATGACGATATCCACGAACTTAACTCCAGAAATTTATCTACCTTCTCTTCGTTTAGCAATGGCGGAAGCTCTCTCCGCTGTGGCTTAGAAACATAGTCTCCAAGAGCAAGACGTCAAGAGACACAAATCCCTGCTATATAAAGTCCTGGTTGGTGCCGCAATTCGGAGTCCTCGCATAACTCGCCATACAAACTTCCGTTCTCTTTATCTATTCAGACAATCTCTTTGACCATGAAGCTCACCATCTTTGCTAATTTATTTGCCATCCTGGCCACCGTATCCTCAGCACCGCTTCATCACCCAAAGGATCATTACTGCCAACCCCATACCTACTATTGTGGATGGGATCTCCTCGAAACGGGTAGCATCTGTCTTCACCAACTGTTACTCGAGTTTTCCTAGGTTCGGGTTCGCTGACTACTACCTGCCATGTAGGAGAGCACTATATACATGATATCAGAAAAGCATTAAACGATGCCAATCAAACTTCCGATAGGTATCATATCGAGGAGTCCTTGTTCTACTGCAGACAGCCGGCCGGTGCTGGTATCAGATACCAGAGGACATGTAAGGCCAGATGCCATCTTGATAGATCGGGAGATGGCTACTGTATTGACGGAGTGAGTATTTGTGGTGTCTTTTTTTCTTTGGTGTTTTTAATCTGACTGGGTATAGAATTAATGAGTCTGGTCTTTGCTTGATTAGTAGAATAGGAGATGGGCTCTTGAGTTCTCTTTATTGAAGACTCTTTGGTGGGTTGGAGAGATTGCTTGGTTCACATGTCTTATTGAATTATTAGCTTGGCGAGTTTAAGAAGAGCTTTAAACTAGACCTCAGTTGAATCTTTCAATTTTCAATTCCTTGGCTATGATAATATGCTCACGTACATGGAAGTTGTTCTGTGTGTGATTTATACAATGAGTGGAACTAACTTTACGTTGGATCTTGACATCAAGACAGTCCGATTCCCAACATGAAGATATTATAGTTCTGCGTTCTTCAAACAGCTACACCTTTTCCTTCTTGGGTACTTTCCCTCTTACGGTCTGCGGAGTGGTAGGTAATCGTGTTTGGACGAAAAGGGGAATTTGAACCATTAAGCTTCGAGTCTACGGAAAGTCCAGGATTGTAGAAGATATTTTAAATTCCAGGTGACAATTTTATCACATAATTACATCCATCCATCATGCACTTTCATGTTCCAGCAAAGCAGTATCACGAATAATCAACACCCTCAAACTCACCCCCGATACAATCGCCCAATCACCTCCCCCAACTCCGTCTTCCCTCGTTGCACATTCGGCACCTCCCCCAAATCATTCTGCAACGCAATCCCACCCTCCAGAAACGAGAGCGTCATTTCAACAAACGGCTGCACAAGCGGACCTGGGAGGAACTGCGTAAAGAACGGTCCCAGATCCGCCTTCTCAACTGGCCTCACTTCAACCTCTCTTCCTACCATATCTTGAAACGTCTTCTGCACGTCCCGGGAATTATAGGCCTGAGGTCCGTGCAGTTGGTAGATGTACGGACTCTCGGGGAGAGGAGCGCTTGTGCCTAGGAGCTGGGTGGCGGCTGATTGGCCGATGTCTTTCACGGCGATCTGTGGATTTTGTCAACTTGGAATTCTTCGGATCTATATGAGGGGATGTGGGATGGAGGATGGGGAAACTGACCATCGGAAGCTCATACTCCAACGGCGTGATGGTGGTATGGAAAAAGGGCGGATCCGATTTCACCGTCGGTATGGCCGTCGCCCAATTTTCCATGAAATAGCCGCATCGAATGAAGACAACTTCCGGTGCTGCGTCTTTCAGGACGGTTTCGGAGATATGGTTTGCCAGGATTTCTCCCTAGTCGGGGTATGAATCAGCTCAAACGACTCATGTGAACGATCAACCCATCCATGCATGAATAAGGAATGAAAAAATCCAGCAAAAAGAAAAAAGAGCGGTAATGCATACCGTACCACTCTCACACTGCGCCCCAATACTCGACAAATAAACCACCCGTTTGACACAACCTGCCTTCCGAACCGCCGTCTTGACATTTTCGGCCGTCGTTCTCGCGCACTCGAACGTATCTGCGCCATCGAACCGCGGAGGGGTTATCACGAAGAGAGCATCGGTTCCAGAGAGATCGAGCGTCGAAGGATCATCGATATCGCCTTTCACGGTGCGGAAGCGAGGATTGGAGGCGAATTCATCCGGGACTTTCGAGGTGTTGCGGTAGATGGCTTGGACTTTCGCCGAGGGGCTGATGTTGAGGACGGCGCGGATGGTCGCTTGCGCGGTTTGAGTTGATCCCGGGAGAATTGTGATGGTCATTTTCTTTGCTAGTTGGGTTTGAGGTGGGGTTTTATTGAGAATTGCAGGGAAGTGCGAGCTGAGTTGTGAATAAATTGGATGTTAGGTCTGGATGGAGTCGAGTATATATAATGTCGTCATCTCGTATTTGGGTCCGTGGAACGTCACGGGAAGCATGTGTACATGTATCCTCTCTTTTTTCATCCTCGGCGTCTAGACATGCCACAAAATCTCAGTCGGGTCTGAGCGAATGGATTTGTTTGATCGACAAAGGAATTGAATTCGAGCAAAGGGTGTTGAAAGTCACTTTGGTGGATGGTTAGTTTTAGTGGTTGGTCTGTGCCTTGGTCTTGCTCTTTAGGTGGGAGTTTAACTTGTCGCTAGCGATGAGGGATCCATGGAAGGAGGAGAGGATGAACTCGCAGTATTGAATGGGACTCCTGGAGTACTAGAATTTTATAGGATTTGTACTGGTCGATAGAGCGTGTGGACTGGAACAATGTGCGCAGTATGTTCTTAAACTTCATTTGACTCTATAGATTAATTTATTAGCTATAACAGCCAATCAGCTCGCATGGCTTAGTTGGTAAAGCGCATGACTAGTAATCATGAGATCCTCGGTTCGAATCCGAGTGTGAGCATTTCTTTTTGCCCGATTTCTATCGGTCCCCCCGAAACAACGGGAAAGCCAATGGACAAATCTGGATAAATCTTCTTTTTTTCTTTATTTTTAATTCTTTTTTTTTTTTTTTTTTTAAAAAAAACATTTCCTTTGATTTAATCATAGAGCTGACATGATAGCTCGATATCAATCAATTCCCAACCACAACGGCTCATCTGACAGACAAAAAACACAGACAGGGAACGGAAGTGTTGCTATAACGTAATCGGTAAGCGAGTCGGCCACGTTGGCCGGCTTGGCGGGCCAGCGTATATACCTATATGATTCTTACACCAAAAATGGAGCTTTTCATATCAAAATTAAAATGTTTAGAAGCCTGGAGTTAGATAGTTTGTTTCGGGCATCTTGTACGTATATGTCCAACAATATGACACCGACTACACCGCGGCGGCGCCCGCCGACATAGCTGACTATCTAGAGGTCCTGTATCACCAGCTGCTTCCTCCGCAGCCTGCGCGTTGGCGAAGGCCTCACGGGCTTCCTGAATTGTAAAGCCATCCAGACCATGCATCTGGGGTTGATTGCGCTGCTACGTTCTTGGTGGCCCGCTCGGTCAGGAATTACGTTAACTATTCCCTAGAGCTGATGTAAGCATAGTAGTTATAACTAGTTAAAACAGCTTTTCCATACTATATTCTGATCCCTGCCGAAGGCCGAGACTACTGTACCCACCCTCATCCGAACGCACTGTACCATCGGACATGAGCGTTTCAATCTCGACTACCTCGGCCGAGAGTTATCGCCACCTCTGCTATCACATGGGGTCGATAGCAAATCAGAGAATAAGATGGTTTGTTGTAATCTCGTCCGATAATGCGGCGAAAAATTCGGAGTTGACGCTTTGCGGCTCGGAGATGGAGTAGCAGCTAACAAGCCGCCCGCCCACGATTGCCAGAGCCTGAATGCACATCAAAGCATGACCTACAGACAGCGGGAATGCTTGTTGCATATGGCTTGAAGTACTCAACTGCTGGAGAGCTCCTGTGGCTGTGGACATGTCGCACAATACCGTTTCTGAGGCTCCCACTGCCATAACGTCAAAAGAAAATTTATCGCTCATCAAATTTCAATCTACGGAAGGATATAGAGTACACAGCGTATTAACTCAAGTGTTCCGCGTTTTAGACAAATGGAATATGTCTATTGAGCTCGCCTGCACCAGCGAGGTTCATATTGCCATGGCAATCAAGTCAAACGCCCTTCGTATTCGCGGAGATGCCACCAACGATGAGGACCAGGTCTGGCAAGATCTAAGAATCGCGATATCTCACTTGAAGGACCATGAGAATATCAGAATCCTGCATAATATGGCAACGATCACGCTAGTTGGCAAGCATATGATACGGGCATTAGGCGTGACTGGACAGATGATCGCCACGTTGAGCACAAATAACATCAGGGTTGAGATGATTGCGCACGGTAAGTGATGCTGCTATCTTTTCTAGCCGGAAGCTGATAGAGATACCCATATTAGCGAGTATGAATAGCATTTCGTGTGTAGTGAAAGAGCAGGATGCGGGAACTGTAGTAGCTCTTCTGCACGCTGCATTTTTCACAACTCTGGAAGATCAGCCATTTCCCACAGCACTAAAGCCTTGCCCGCGAATTCACTCTGTCACTACGGTGTGTACTGGGCGGTAGACTATTTGGCTCGGAAAAGAGTACTAAAATCAGGACCAAGACTTCTCGGTCGAAAGCAGACATGGTAAGAGGCATGGGATCGCTCCGTGGTTTGTCAGCGGATTGTTATCAGACAGGCGATGATTAAATAAAAAGCCCATTTCATGTAATGCAATCCCTTAAGTTCATTATGTTGTAACACTTACATATTCATCACACAGTAAGCACATACACATTATGGCTGCCAGCCTCACCATATTCGGCTACCCCGTGAGTGTTTGCGTGCAGCAATATAAAGGTTTCATATGGAACTCATCGAGGTTCACAGGATAATCCTCGAACGCGGATCATCCAGATTGTGGTACGACAAACCTTTCTTTCATTATTTGCTTTCTTCTTGTTGTGGAATATTTCCCTGAGCGTCGTCATTGACATCCCGACAGGCTGCCGCCGAAGATATCACACTGAACCACTCTCTAGTGGTTCCACGTAACAGCATCAACAAGGCCACCTACATAGAACGATTCCCCTTATCCCAAGGCAAGATTCCGGCCTTAGAGGGTCCTGGCGTTAAGATTACGGAGACAATTGCTATATGCTATGTAAGCGGAAGACCTTGGTAGTTGTCTATTGGTGTCTTCTTTGGTTGACACTTGTCTGGGCTAACGCATTATTATTCAGTACTTATCTAAACTCAACGCAAAGAATCATCTCCTTGGTTCAGCTGGCACTCTGGTCCAAGAGTCCGCTGTGCTTCAGTACGCCAGCTTCGCGAATCAGGAGCTTTTACAGACCCTCGCACGCTGGTTCCTCCCTCTAATACCAGGCTTCGCAGATCCTGCCCCGTACAATTACGAGGCAGTTGAACAAGGAAAGCGATCAAGTCTAGAGCTGCTAGACAAGCTTGATGCAGTACTCAGTCAAGTAACATGGCTTGTGGGTGACAGTCCGACGCTTGCCGATATCTTTGTTGCTATCGCTTTGAGCCGGGGCCTGCAGTGGGTACTGGGCCGGAAGTGGAGAGAGGCGCACCCTGGTGCTATGTCACATTTTGAGCGGGTACGAAACTGGGGACCTGTAGCTCGGACAATTCCTGATTTTGAGCTTGTAGAGGTAGAGCCGCCGAACGCTTTGCCTACGAAAGTGAAATGAAAACTATGGGCTCAATGTCATGTTTTGCTGCTGCCTTAATGTCTAACTATTGGCTCTGCACAACGGGGTATTGCAATTATCCTAGCAGGTTATTCGGAATGGTAGATATAAGCTTCCTTAGATTATTCTAACAGGCAATCAATCTCATGGCCTTAGGTAAACTTTGCAAATAGTCCTCCTAATACACAGATGAGAGGTTCACCAGTCCTAGTGAGATATATCAAGAGACAGAAAGAACCGAAAGAGATGAACGTCGGAAGAATATAATTGACAGCGCGGCAAGCATTTAGCCATCCTGCTGTCGGGAGGCTTTTCTCATGCTTTCTGCGACATGAACAATATTATGATCATTCAGTCCTCTAAAATAAACAAACGTCAGTTTCGACGCATAACCGGGGGATGTCTGACAGATATACGCTATGGATAACCGCCCTGTATCTTGCAGATATACAGCATATTCTTCCCTTAGCTGTGTGAACTGTTCCTGAGTGAAAGAGGTGTACCTGGCAAAAACACTGATTAGTGAACATGTAGCGCATCTATGTATTCGGGATCAGATTTACAAGAACATCCCAGCTTGCCTCGTCACAAAATCCCATTCATCATGGGAATTGCCCCTGAGTAGCTCTACCTTCAGCTTCTTCCTTCTGTCCGCAAGGTCCTCTGCCAGGCGCTTGATGTCCTCTTCCCACTGTATCTTAAGGCGTGGGTTTCCAAGGATATTGCTAACCAGCCTGGCACCAAATCGTGGTTGTGCTCCTGTTTCTGCTCTGGCGAGAAGCTTCATTTGTTGCTCGGACCGTGCGGCGGCTTCCGCGGTAGGCAGGGAGACGCAGAGGTATCCGACGCGTTCTCCATATAGGCCCAGCGCCTTGCCGTACGTTGCCGCGACCAACAAGAGGAATTCCGACTTTATCCATTATGCGAATGGGCATGCAATCTTTGGCGACGCTACCAGACACGAAGCCGGGATAGGAGAGGTCGAGAAAGGCGAAGTGCTGCTTGGCTTTGAATGTGTGCGCAAGGCGCTGCCACTGTTCCGTAGATGGATCACAACCGGTCGGGTTGTTTCCGCACACTTGAAGCACGACTATTGACTAGGAGGGGGCTCTTGTGAGGGTCTCATTGCAGGCATCGAAGTCAAACATGTGAGTAGATGAGCTGTAGTACGGCAGGTCGATTGTCTTGAATCCTGCATCGTGGAAGATATTGGGATGATTCACTATAGCCAGGCAACGCACGGCCAGACCACAACTACAGCACACGTCTGCAAATCACGCAACCCTCGGCATGGCTCACCCCAAGATTCCGCGGGAATATAGGCGTTTCTCTCCGGATCTGATTCGTACGGCTCGTAATGCCTCCGCAGAAACCTGGCACCCATGTGGCAGGCCCCGCTACCTCCCAGAGCCTGCATTGATGCTAGTCTGGTCACATTCAATCAGCCCGGAACATGTCGGCGAGTTGGAGCGTGGGCTGGTTTACCTTTTCTCCCGCACAGTTTGGCTTTCATCCCCGAATAGCAGACGAGCGCTCCAATCCCGAAACTCGACCTCACCCAGATGAGAGGGAGGATATTCATGCTCCCATTCTGGATCATCGAACAGCATTTGCCGTGCCTATTTACTGTTAACCTGGAGTGAAAGTCTTTGAGCCTTGTAGGGACTGCTTACCATTTTCACCGAGGGAAAGACATACGGATAGCCATCCTTCGTCTGATACACGCCACGCATCAGGTCCGACTTGTGGAACCGGGTATCATTGTCGAATTGTCTCTGTAATGCATTGAGACTCTCTGTGATGAACGGTAAGAAGTTACGCTCGGGTCGGAGTCGATGGGTGAAGACTCACCGAGCTTCCCCTGGGGAATGTTTGCCAGGGGATGTACGACGAGTTGCGATCGAGAGCCCACGGAAGCTGTCAGGGTATGCTGTGCCTCAAACATAGTAGTACCTCAAATTCGAGTGAGGGTTATAAGTTGTCACAGAATTCGTGACTATATCACCCTAGAATGGGGAAATATAGAATGTATCAGGACCCGTCACTCTATCGTCTAACAGCTCGAGCATGAACCCAGCATCCAGCCGACTCGGAGATATTTAGCATCTCCGACTGGGGTAGTCAGACTTTCTCGAGCATCTGGCATAAACTCCGGACCGAGCTGCGATTGCAATACATTCCCTCCCTTATGGTACAAGTGTACAGATATCAGCGACTTCTCTTGGCGAATGGGGCCGTGTGGCAGCAGGATGGGATCAGAAAACAGTTTAAACTCTGGGGAAATTGAACGTGTCAAAAGCTTCCCTATTCCAAATGAACAGGCAGCGCTAACCTCATTTCCCGTAGAGCTATTTCAATTTAAGCACTTATAAGAAGCTCTCCATGAGGCCCCTTAGCTCCCTCCCACGCTTAAACCTATCTGCAAGTCGTAGTACCCGAATGAATTCATACCCCAGCGCCTGGTCATCCTCCAAGCTACAGAGATCCGTATGATCGACTCACTAAGCCCGTAAGACGTAGCCCACTCCTTTTCACGGGAGAAAACTGTCTGCACATACGGCTGTGCCAGGGTTACCGAGGCGCCCGATGATGGGCCCTTGTGAACATTCATCGCGTCGAAGAAGGTAGCAGCTGTAACCACGCTCTCGAATTCAAGAGTGAAAAGGCAGCCGTAGCCAGGGGTAAAATCGACTGTGTCGGCTCGCATGCGAGCTTCGTAGTTGCGACGTGACCAACAGGTAGATGAATAATAAATATGCGTGAGCGAACTAGACGGTGATTTGGCAAAAGGGAGTAGGACTGAGACTAGGTGCTGGGCGTTCCTGTTCATGATGGCGGCGCGAGCGAGGAATTCCCGGCTGTTTTGTTCGAGAACGCGGGCGTCGGCAGCGAAAAGCTCGTTCACATACATACTGTCGAGGCGAGGCCACTCTTCAGCGCCGCGAGGAAGGGGGATGATGGCTTTGCCGCTGAAACTCTTGGTTAAAGATGTGACGATGACATCCGCAATGCCTGCGACATCGACATTGGCAAAACTGCTAATAGTCTCGTCGATCACTACAACGAAGCCGTAAATATCTGCCAATTGTCGAATCCGTTGGAGGTCGACAGTCCTCAGCAGCGGATTCGATGCGCATTCACACCATACGGACTGTATTGTACGCCCATGCTGGTATTCCTCGGAGAGATAAGCTTCGAAGCTCTCTAATTCATCCTCGCTACCAAGCCCGTAGAACTTGCATCCCAGCCCGTACTTCTCAACTAGCTCCAGCGTGAGCTCATATGGGAAGCCGAACACAACTGTCGATGCTAGCCGCCAGCGCAGAAGCAGCTCGTTAGTGCTATATATTGCGGCCATGCCGGTGGGGTAGAGAAAGATATCTGAAGATGTAAATTGTTCACTCTGGAGAGGGTTGATCGACGCCCGTTTCAGCAAGTTGGCAATACGTAAGCGCACCAAGGCATCTGCTTTTGTGTCTACTATCTCATTGACACTGTCTGAATGGTCTTCAATTATAGAGTCTGTCGATTGTGCATATATGCTGTCCAGGTGCTGGTGCATGCTTTGAGCCAGTCGTGATAAGATGCCCGTTCCAGTGAGCCGCCAGAAGATCATGGCACTGGCGATAAACTGTGCGGGAAAGAATGTGATAAAGAACGATCGTGGTTGGCCAGCATCAGTTGGCTCATCTAGTACAAAGGCCGCCGTCGTAACTCGGACACTGCCAGCTGCTTCCGGTTCCAGGTCAATAATCGTACGATGACAGGCTAAGGCATGATTTAAACTTGGAAATATCAAGCACTTTTCATCTTGCTGCCCAAAAAGAGCCAAACAAGCGGTATTGACCTACCCAGTACGTTGGGAACCTCGATGTTAACAGTTTTACTGGCCCGCAGTGCATATAAAAATACATACTTTGACGACATCTGTGTGAAGGAAAGACCTAGGATATCCGATCTGCTGTACACCTGTGACCCGTGGGTCTTGGGCAACCATCCCACGCATATCCTGCCATGTCGGCAGCTGCACTGAGACTGCATGGCGATGACTGGGTACTGGGAAACCAAGAGATGGAGGATGAGGGAGAGCCGTAGGAGTTGACTTGCCTGGAACTGGCGGTAAAAAAGGCATGTTGAATGTCTCGCTTGTGATATGCGACTGAATACCGACTTTTGCATTTGATTTACGAGCCTGGCTAAGATAAATAGCTCTCGGGCTAAACTACCACTACGGCATAGACTACTCCTACAGCAGCTTACGACCACCCCTAACAGTTTCGGCTGAGATCCGCTAGAGTCAATTAGTTAAGATGAATAGCTCCGACGGCCTTGATTGAATGATAACACCCCAGGGTCATATCCGAACTGGGGGGACTCCTCTCTGCTGCCGGGGTTTGATTCAAGATATTCCATAGCACGTCTCCTATCCTAGAGCACAAGACTCAACAGTAGAAGGAGCCGTCGACGGAGACTTCATCTCCTTGAACGGTAGATCTGGTCCCCTGCGCACAAATAATGGGCGTAACTTCATCGATGCATTATATGCATCCGAGGACTGGACGGAATCTTGCCAATATTCGTTCACATGGCAAATCAACGCTGCTCCGAAATCAAGCCAAATTTACTCTGTCGATTTAGCAATCATGCGGTCTTTTTTTGCAACCCCACACCAAGTTGTACCCACGTTCACATGGCCGAAAGCTCGTCGCCAAGGGCTGCAGTTGGGAGATACCCGGTCGGATATTCGCACATTCATAGACCAAGCATTGCGAGACCACGACAGTACGTCGGAACCAATAGCAATAAAGCTGATCTTGCCCAAGGCAAATGGTTATGTGGCACAGTCCGATATTATCCAAACGCGATTCTACGGCTGTGGCCATGTCGAGTCCGTGACTGGCTTTCTCCAACCCGGTGAATATCTCGAAGCTTTTGCAGCACCTACGACAGGAAAGGGGACTGTGATTTCAGAGCTATACGGTCTGCTCACCGCGACTATTGGAGCTGTTAGAAGCACTGCCCCCGACTCCAGTTCGCCCTGGCACATCCTCAACAGCCTAGAGCACGAGCTTCAGAACCGCCTTGGTATACATTTTCTCATGTCCGAGCCTGTCCGACGAAAGCGGGTCGGGCTTGTCCAGTGCCTAGATTACCGCATGTCACTGGAACTGCTACAACACCTGAATATTGATCTCGTTGTCTTTGACGAGCCAGGAACATGTATGGAAGACTCCAACGGTCCCTGGCCCACCTGCGGGTGTCTTTCCACGCCATTGATCTGAATCCAGATGATGGGTTTGTCCAGCGCCTATACATTGCAGCCCGAGATTTACATCTGGATGGTCTCACATCGAGATTCGACACCATATTAGAAAAGGTAGCGCAAGTAGCCGAGCTTCTGAGCCTCCCTACTTCATTGCCGTCGGCTTTGGCGATTGCCACGGACAAGTACCTGACACGGATTAGTGAACCTGAAAGCGACCAGATGCAAGATAAAATAATATGTGTAAAGAACAGACAGGAGCTAGAGGAGCGGCTTAAGGATCCGATGAAGTGTTTGCGGGTCTTCTACCCTGTTGTTGTGAAACCCACGAACGGCTGGGGCAGCTATGGTGTCGCTAAGGCTGTGAACGAGACAGAACTGCTCGAGGCTGTCGAGTGGGCAGCAGGCTCTATCGTCGGCTTTGTCAACTCGGAAGTCATGATTGAGCCGTACTGCGACGGGCCCGGAATCGACCTGAACATCGCTCTGTGGGATGGGGAGGTGACCTTCGCTGAGGTCTGTGACAATGCACCGACTGCCGGAAACCTGGACGTGGTAACGGGCAGTGGTAAGAAAGACTTCCAAGAGGGCTTATTTATGTACCCGTCCAAACTGCCTAAGTCCGAACAAACCATGATCTGCCAATACATCCGCGAATGCATCTTACGCATGGGCTTCCGCAGCGGGGTGTTCCACTGTGAGGCACGCGTACGAGACTCCTCTATGCACTACGTGCAGAACAGTCAGAGCGCTATCATCGACTTGGAGCCAAACCCGGCTACAATTGGCCGACGTGCCAGCGTTTTTCTTTTAGAAATAAACGCACGAGCGCCAGGCTACGTCGGTTTATATGCTTCCGGCTGGACCTACGGCGTAGACTTTTGGGCTTTGCACATACTTCATTGCATCGGGGACGAGGCCCGCTTTCGTGCTCTTTCTAGACCCTTCGCCAGTGGGGCCCAGCATAACAGTGCCGTGCTGCTCATCATGCCGAATAATTGGGGAATACTTAGATCTCATGATCCCAGGCCGAGACTCCAACGGGAGCAGCCTGAGTTGGCTGCGGCCGTGCCCCTTTGTCTGAACTACTTCACTGCAGGGGAGGAGGTCACGCCACCGGACGACACTGAGAACTGCTTTACATCAGTATTGGTGGTGGAATCGAAGACTGGAAGGGCTGACCTAATGAAATTGGTAGAGAAAGCCAGAGTTGAGTGGACACCAGTGATTGAGTGATCATGACTCCCACCAAGTGACTTACCTCCTGTATCCTATTTATACGCTGGAATGCAAGATATGTCACACATATTGTATTCTTGGCATGGGAAGATCGTTTCGATGCTATAATGAATTGATATAAACAATTTTGGACTTCGAATAAAAGCTAAAACAGGAAAGAGTTTTGAATTACAGCAGCACAGCACCACAACTATTGCGAATATAGAACGCTTATATATCCTTTAGGAGATACTGCTCTTCGACCGGCGCTCCTTCTTCATGTTTCCACAACAATCGATCAATCTTGCCGCTACCGACGTCGCTACCCTCAAACGATAGTTGAAAATGCTCTGGTATTAGCGGATATGTTACCATGCGTCCTCTCTTGGCCTGGTGCTTCCGCGGACATAAGCCATTAGCGGGGATCAGTGGGGCGGTCAAGACCCGTATCAATCATATCAATCAGCTGTCGTTATCAATCAATCCAGGGGTTCACTGATAAGCCCTCCGTAACCAATAGTCACCCCAGGCTCTTTCTTTGTTTACACACTCGTGTTGCACCAAGTAAATCGGTCGCAAATGCCGGCTAATCCGGACAAAAATGTCAGCCCACCAAAACAAAGAACTGAGTCTCCGGAGCCCGCCTCATCCGTGCTCGGAGCTGCATAAGACGCTGATCCCCGAGACATTGTTTGCTCTTGTGTAACCTTTGATCGACGTGGGTGTGACTTGGTGAGATTTTTACTGTGCCTCTATCTTTCCTCCCGATTCATCACTTTTTCCTTTTTCTCCCCGCGCGTCTGGATTTTTCAACAACACGGAGAATGGACACGGAGAGAAAACAGACAGACCAAGAAGGTCAAAGAATCGAGGAAGCCGACATGGAGAATGTCGGAGATGGCACAGATGTGGCAAAAGGCGATCTGGAGAAAGGTCGCTCTCACAACAAGGATGTCTCTGGTAGTGGAGAAGCTTCTTGGGACGACGCATTTCTTGTTACCTTCGGCCAGAATGATGCCCAGAACCCCTTTAATTGGACCAAAAAGCGAAAATGGGGAGTCACCGCGGCCGTCTCTGGCACGGGATTTGTCCGCATCATGGTGTCAACGGTATGATCCATTCCAAGGTTGTACGAGACGTGGTATACTGATGAGCAATCTGCAGATGATGGCGCCGGCAATTAATACTATGGCAGAAGAGTTGCATATGTCCATTACCGAGTCCAACATGGCATTATCTGTCTACCTTTTAGCGACAGCGTTTGGACCACTCATTATCGGCCCCTTATCCGAAATTTATGGAAGAAAGACGATTTTCCACATCACAAATATTTGGTTCCTGGTCTGGAATTTTGTCTGCGGTTTTACCCACTCTAAGGGTCTACTCATATCCGCTCGTCTTCTCGCTGGATTTGGTGCTAGTGCGGTGTACAGTCTGGGATACGGCGTGCTGGGAGATGTGTGGTCAGCGGAGCAGAGAGGACAGTCGCTCAGTCTATATTTACTTATTCCCTTGACAGGGTCGGCTGTCGGACCGATCGTCAGTGGTTTTATTATTAAATATTCTACTTGGAGATGGATGTTCTGGTCGACAGCTATTCTCCAACTTACCCTCGAACTATCCTTTTCGCTTTTATTCCACGAGAGTTATGCACCACTTCTCCTCCGTCGCCGAGCCGAGAAATTGCGCAGGGATACAGGCGATTCGCGCTACCACGCGGCGATCGAGATGCGCGAAGTAGGCCTTTCACCCCTTGGCAAGCTGGGTCGTAGCTTATCTCGCCCCTTGCGTTTGCTGGCATTCCATCCAATTATTCAAATGCAGGCTATTCTCGAGGGCATTGATTACGGCCTACTATATTTCGCCCTGAGTTCTTTTTCCGCTCTCCACGTTGCAGCGTACAGTGAATCGGTCGAAATATCCGGACTCCATTATATAGCTATCTGCATTGGCACTATCTCCGGTTCTCAGCTCTGCGGTCCGCTTATGGATTATACCTATCACCGACTGACCAGCAATACTGGCGAAACCCAAGTACCTGAGCTTCGCATACCACTTCTACTCCCCGGAGCTCTGTTCACACCGATCGGCTTTCTTCTCTATGGCTGGGCCGCGCAATATCACATTTTTTGGGTTGTCGTCGACGTCGGCGCAGCCTTATTGTCCCTCGGTATGCAAATATTCGACACGACACTGCACGCATATGTTATTGTCGGTTGACTTGGTCATTGCCCTAAGCAGATATCCTATCGATTCAACTGAATGTAGGTATATGCTCGGTG